ACCGGATTCCACAAAATCACGCGCCCAGCTGCCATTCTGACACTTGCGGTTGGCAAAGGTATTGTTTTCTCTGACGGCGCCGCCACGGAACGCGGACATATCTCCGAGATGTTATGCGCACACGCGCCCGTTATTTGACAATGGTCCAGCAAACGCGGTCTTTTTCCAGATCACATTGTGCACATACCAACCATCAATGCACCACCACCCGCCACTTGCCAGTATGGACACTCTGTTGAGAGTAATGTGCCATTTGCAGAACTCATCAATCACTACTTGGAGGCAGGGATCCTGGAGCTTGCAGCTTCTCCCTACAATGCCCCACCTTTTTGGTGGACAAGAAGTGTGACGATCCGATGGCACTGATCAAGAAGCGCTTTTGTTTGGTGGAGAATGACAAGGAACTAAACAAGCTGGTCCTCAATGATAATTACCCCATTCCTGTCGTGCAGGAGCTCATCGAGGCTCTTGGTCGTAAGAATCAGTACTTTTGCAGATTGGATCTACACAATGCCTACCATCATCTTCTGATTGCGCAAGAAGACCAACCCAAGACTGTCTTTATGACGCCCCGTGGACAAGTACAGTAGAAAGTGCTTCCCTTTGGTCTCAAGAACGGCCCAGCCATGTTCCAGCGCACAATGAATACTTTCCTTCGGCCTCACCTGTACAAGAAGTGTCTGGCTTACGTTGATGACGTGCTCGTCTTTGGGGAATCATTTGAAGTACTCTGCGCTAATTTAGACAATGTTCTTCAAACATTACAGGACGCCAGCGCAGCAATCGATTTAAAAAAATCCAATTTTCTTGCAAAGCAGACTCTCTTTTTAGGGCACATCATCAATCAAACTGGCAGCCAACCGGCGGAAAGAAACGTTGATGCAGTACAAGATTACCCAAAACCCGCCACGACTTGATAGATGCAACGGTTCCTGGGGATGGTGACCTATCTCAGGGCCCATCTTCCCACAAACTTCACGGATTTGGAGAAAGCTCTGAGGTCAACAATCCCCCGGAAACCTGACACGCGCCTGAAGTGGTCCGATCCTGCTGAGCAGGCTTTTGAGAAGCTTAAATTGTGTCTCACTGACACCTCCAAGCTGGAGCGCTTTGACCCACATCTTCCGCTTTCTGTCCATTGCAATGCCTCGGCTATCAGCCTAGGGGCTGTACTTGTTCAAACGGACAAGGACGGGAAGGACCGCATCATCAAGTATGCAAGTAGAGTTCTAAGCAACACAGAAATGCATTACACAAATATCAAGCGCAAGCTCCTGGCTGTGGTATGGAGCGTTATGGAGAAGTTTAAACATCATCTTCTCCACAAGCAGTTGTCCGTTAATACTGACCACATGGCACTTTTAGGCAATCTACAAACAGAACTAGCAGTCAGCCTGTATACAAAACTGGCAGGATTTAATTTTGAGCTGCTGTATTGACCAGGTTGATTCCTTCAGGGGCCTGATGCCCTTAGTTGGATCTCCCTCAACACCGAGGAAGTTTTACTGACCCCTGACGTTCAGGACCGCGAAGCCATAATCGATGCCTACCAATTTGAACTTGCCCATGCGGGTTGGAAGAAAATTTACATCACCCTTCGCTACTGTTTTCAGTGGCCCGGCATGCGTCAGCAGATTTGGCCACGCTTCATCAGCTGTACCACCTGTTTTTGATTCAACCAACCGTCACAGACCGTAGGAACTAACCTGTTGCCTATTGAATCAACACGCACGCGGGAATGTCTTGTTGTCAACTTCTACGGCCCTCTGCCTACATCACCTGAAGGTTTTAAGTATGCCATAATAGCCTTAGATCATTTCAGCAAGTTCATGATTGCAAAACCGATTCTCGCTGCAAATACGGAGACTGTCGTCCCTTTTCTCGCAGAAATTTGCAGGGAACTGGGAGAATTCGAGATCATACATACTGACACTGATTCCATTTTCTGTAGCAAACCATTTTGTCATTTTCTGAAGGGAGCTGACATCAAGCAGCACTTGGCGCAGGCATCCCACCCAGAGGGCAAGGGCTGCTGTGAACAGGCAATCAAGACCCTCGGGCAGATCCAGGCCAAGGCAGTCCTTGGCAACAAAACAGCATGGGCCACACATCTCGCAGCTTCTGTCCAAGCTTACAACTTGATGCCCCATTCCATCACGGGGGTCACACCAACTGAGGCCATGTTTGGGACACCCACAGCACTCGAGGCCAATTGCAAGTTTAATGTACAACACCAGAACTTGGAACTGCAACTAAATCAAATGAAACAACACGTCATTGACCAACGAGAAAAATTCATTGTGCAGGCCAACAAGTGAAAACTGCCATCTTTTTTACCAGGTGACTTAATAGCAATCTTCCCTTGACTCCCAAACATAGACTGTCATGCAGCAAACCAACACTTCAGGACTCAAAAACTTGGACCTTTTATGGTGATCTCCAACCAAGGCAACAGCGAATATTGGGTGGGGGCTGGCCCACATGTACGCAGGGTCAACGCCTGGGAGATGGTCCCATTTTGTGGATTACCCCAAGCACCAATACCAGGATTTGACAAACAACTCGGCCTTATCAGCCCCAACAGTGGTGCTTCAATGATTGTTGATCATGTTGTTGACCATTCTTACGCGCAACCAAGTGTTGCTGTGTGACCAAGTGTTGTTGTTTCCCCGGTCAGTGAACCAATGCTCTCCATTGATCACGCACAGAGTTCTCTCCCCAGTCAACAAACCTTGTTGCCAAGGCCGTGAAATTTTTCTTTTTTGGATTCCAGCAACAATCTCTACTCGGAGACGAGCTCTTTTTCCCTGGCGGGGGGGAGAGTAAGGGTTCCCCTTTACGGAAGAAGGCGACATCTAGGAGGCAATATTGGCGGAAACCTAAATGTTCAAAGTCCCAACCCAGAAACCTCTTATCTGCCACCCCATCTGGAGAACCACCGGAGAAGCCCACAACAGAGGAGAAACATCCTCACTTCAACTCAAGCCTTTGATGAATCATCTTCTCTTAACTTTGACTGCTGTTGTCTTATTGCTGTGTGTCTTGTGAAATATAGTCCAGTGTTCGTGAAGAAAGGTCTGATTTACTCCATTACCTTATTGTACACTTTCAAACTCAACGCAACTCACTTCCACGCTGCCCCTCCAGAGGGCTGTTCCCTACCACTCCATCCCTCAATGCCAAAAATGAGTGACTTCATAAACTGCGCATGCTTGCAGATACGAATTACATGTTGAAGAATTGTGTTGGAGTAGGAAGATATATTTTATTTATTTAAAAAAGGTGTTTTTATATGTGCACTATGTTATTTGTCCCTCGGAGTCTCTGTTTACATTTTACACCACCAAAGCATTGCAGTCAAAGTCACTCAATGAGAGGCTGGCGCTCCTAGGGGTGGCGTGGAAGATGTAGCGTTCAATGGAGCTGCGCTGAGTGGAAGTTGTACCATAACGTCGCATCACAATGCCGAGCGGTTGAGCGCTTATTTTGGTGTGCAACTCCCTCCTTTCTTTAGCCGCATAGTTGTACAACAGTTCCTATGTCTCCAACAATTTCGGTTGGATATTTTGGACGTCATTTAAAGCTTCGTAAATACAGGTTAGGTGTCGCTTCTGTAACATTGAGACGGCCCAGGAGGAGTGGGCCCGCACATATTCCCGACTGGGGCAGGCCTGCCGCCGCCGCCTCCCTAGAATCCTAGACTTACTAGACGGGGGCCTGGTAAAAAAAAATAGTACGCCAGTTGATGGGCCATGGATTTTTTGTGCTTTTGATTTAGTAGCGACACCTATATATGATATTTTGATGTCCTGAGAAGCATCAACCGTGCCTGGCTATTAGTGTAGTTGGACTGCGAGTCCGAGGCGGAGCGTGGGGTCTTGTGGGATTAAGGGGCAACTCAATAGTCTCGTGTCTGGGAGTAAGGCGATAATGGCCGCGGCCATGAACACCCTGTGGCTTGACTTTCACTCCAGTTCTGAAAGGTTTGAGTCTTCACATTTTATGGGAAGAGAGTTCGTCTATTCAGTTTCACATGGGGTAGCTCCGATGAATCACATGGTTTGTGTTGATTCTTCCCGCAGATGACAGAAATTCAGTGTGGTCATTTTGAATGTGAGTTTGAGCCCAAATTCGATGGTTTCGCACAAATTTACGCGTTGAAGTGAAATGCAGTTCTAGATGACGATTTGGAACACAGTGACCGAAAAAAATTTATCTTGTGTCTCTTATCCAATTCGTAAATGGACTGTCCGCATGAGTTATGCCACTTCGGTGCATCATCTATTGCTTTGCCGTATGCAGTTACGTCTGAACCTGAGATGTTGAATGAGATGCTGACCCTGGAAACATGGAATCATCTACTTACATCGGAGGAAAGAGGAAAACTGATGGAGCTGCTCCCGCCATTGGATCGAGAAGAACAACGTCGTACGCTGCAAATACTTTTCACCGGAGACAACATGAGATTTGGAAATCCTGTTTCGTCTTTGGTGAACGAAATTCAAACTGGTCGGAATCAGCCAGAAATCAGGGAACTCTTCAAACGATCTGTGCGTCGAAAGCAGCGTGCCCATAAGTACAAACTCAGAAGTTATTACTCGAAGATGTTGCGGCATTGTCTTGCAGCCCGTCGGAAAATATTCACCAATTTAGCAGTGAATAATGAAGCATGGGTCATGCAGTCCCCAGAAGACCCTTCGAAAACCGTGGAAACCTCACAGCATGCTTGTATTAAGCGTGCGGAGTTGCGGTTCTTCAAGGAGTTGAAACAAATTGAAATCGAGTCATTATTTGCATCTACAAAGAAATCTCGAAACTCTCGCACTAGTTCGGATTCTAGTCATGATTCCGTAGGCTGTGAAATGGATGACGGTCTACCGCGGGATCACGTATAAAGTCGACTCTTTTGTTTGTATTTGTTGTGTATCTCAGCGATTGCCGAAGGTAACCTTTGCTTTTCCTTTCCAGAGTTTCGACGAATCGGCCTAGTGCGTTCAAACATGTCGATCGGTGTGCCGATGAAAGTGTTACATGAGGCCGAAGGTCACGTTATTACATTGGAATCTATAACCGGTGAAGTGTACCGCGGAACTCTAATTGAAGCCGAGGACAACATGAATTGCCAAATGTCCAAAATAAACATTACCTACCGCGATGGCAAAATCGGTCAGGTGGAGAACCTTTATATTCGCGGATCAAAGATTAAGTTCATGATTTTGCCGGACATGCTCAAAAATGCTCCCATGATAAAAACCATGGGGCAACGAGGACGTGGGGCCGTTTCTGCGGCAAGCGCGGCTGCTGCTGGTCGTGGGAAGTCTGCCATTCTCCGAGCACAAGGTATGCGTTAATTGGTTTATACTGAGCTGGAATTCGTCAAATTCTTCAGAGTAGACCGTTTTAAGGTATTCGTAATCCTATTCATTATTGGATGAAGTCTGCAAAGTAGGGCCTTTTATTCTGCTTAACCGACGAAATCTAGATTTGGGATAGGAAAACTTTTATTCATATACGCATGGTTCATTAGTAGTATATTTTCTTCTTTTTTCTCAGTATCTGAAATGTGATATGAATAGTCAAGTGACTCAAGTACAAAGATATCCGTAAAGAACATACTGCACTTGTAAACTTCGCGATACATTTTTAATATGCAACTTATTTCGTATTCATCGTGGATTTTTTCCACATGTTTGTCAAGGGTGTGAACCATGTTTTGGGTGGTTTCCCAAGATTGTCTGCCATTTCGGGGTTTTTGTAACTTATCTTCTGCATATTTTTGCAGCTGCAAGATCTCGAGGCAGAGGCATGATGAGAGCCCGTGGATGGGCGCCGAGAGGCCGTGGAGCTCCTCCTCAATGAGCTCTCATCCTCCAACCCACTGTATTCTCCGTTTTTGTTTCATTTTTCATGTGCGATCTTGGATTTCGTCCGAAGAAAATGGCGTTCCAAGTCCATGGGTTTTTTCCTTGACGAAATACTTGTGTGAACGATCATGTAATCACCGTATTGCCATCTTTCCCCCAGATTTAGTGAATATTACTTTGTTCATTCCTGCGGAACGAATCCGTCTTGAAAATGGAACAGGTTTGTTGAATTACATCTTTTGCGTTTCAAGTCAGAGAATTTGATCAAGTTTTGTTCATTTTCACAGACGGAGAGGGCCTTTCAAAAGCAACCGACTGTCTTTTTGAACAGGAAGAAGACCTTGCCAAAACGGAAGAAGGGCCTTCGTTATGTCAAAAGTGTTGGCTTGGGGTTCAAGACGCCGCGTGATGTATGTCTGTTTCCTTGTTTTTATTCTGGTGGACGTAGTTTTTAATTCGATATAGCTTGAAGTAAAATTCCGCCATCCTTAATTGTAAAAAATTTGGAAAAAATAATTTTAGCTGAAATTGTGCGTCATCGAATGGTGTTTCTTATTACGTACGCCTCCAGTGACATTCGTTCACGACGGAACTCGGATTTTTCCGTTGAAGTTCATTCGCTTGGAGTTGATTTAATTTTTAACGACGTTTCAAGTGGGCATATTACAGTACTTTGTAAGAGTTGGAATTTGCTCCTCGTCACTGAAACTATTTCTTCGAACTTCTTGAAGGCGATCGACGGAAACTACATCGACAAAAAGTGTCCCTTTACAGGGAATGTGTCGATTCGTGGTCGGATTCTGACAGGCACTGTCATGAAGCTGAAAATGCAGCGGACGATCGTAATCCGTCGGGATTATTTGCACTACATTCGCAAGTACAAGCGATTCGAGAAGCGTCACCGCAACATGTCTGTGCACTTGTCCCCATGCTTTCGCGATGTTCACGTAGGAGACATTGTGACTGTGGGCGAGTGCCGACCGTTGGCGAAAACCGTTCGTTTCAACGTGTTGAAGGTGACGAAGGCTCCTGGATCCAAGAAAACCTTCTCCAAATTCTGAGTGCTCTCGGGGATGAAATAAAAATTCTCGAGTGGCTGTGATTATTGAAGTTTTATGGCATTTAAATTGTGTGATGATGCTCTGTGTTATTTCTCGCAATGATGGATGATCCCGGAAATCTCGTTCCAGGCTTCGGTGTATCGCTATATTTTGTTGAACCCTGGGGTGGTTCAGTAGGAAGATGGAAAAGGAGGAATTGGTGTCGCGACCGTACGGGAAGATCGTTTTGTCCCTGGACAATGTTCTTTTGCCACCTGAGAAGACTGCAACTAGTCCTAGTCACGAGGATGGGTTGGATGAGAAGTCTGAATTCGAACTTCGGTTTGTTGCTTGCGAACTGATTCAAACCGCCGGAATTTTATTGAAAGTACCACAGGTAAGACAAGGGTGGCGATGCCTATGCAAATAAACGCTTAAATCCCGGGCTTGGGACACCCTCCATTATCAGTAAGTTTCATTATTTTTCCATTCATAGGTGGCCATGGCATCGGGCCAGGTGTTGTTCCAGAGATTTTATTATTCCAAGTCACTTGTTCGTCTTCCAATGGAACATACTGCAATGGCAGCACTTTGTTTAGCATCGAAAATTGAAGAAGCTCCGCGACGTATTCGAGATATCATCAACGTATTTCATCATATACGACAAGTTCGTGCTGGAAAGTGAGTATTGTTCATGTTCGCAGGTTTCGATTTCTTCATAGCGCCAGAATGTTCGATCCCAGAAGTTTTGCTCCGTCAAGAAATAGTACAGTTTAACATTGAGAATCAAAAGTCATTACTGTATTATGATGAAATATGAGCCATCGTTTCAATGAATTTCGCGGTAGTCATCTCGTATTTCCTTTGTTGAAAGGCACAATTTATTATCTGAGTTGCGATTTATACGAACTTTCTTTTCCCAGGAAAATAAGTCCGTTGGTTCTAGACACGAATTACATAGCTTTGAAGAACCAAGTGATCAAGGCGGAACGAAGAATATTGAAGGAGTTGGGTTTTTGCGTTCACGTGCAGCACCCGCATAAGGTATGTATTTTTCCTTTCCGGGTTTCACCGCACCTGAGCATTCTAATTCAAATGTTTGTTTCCTTACGTTTTTCCTCCTCTATCCCGGGGGAAAAACGAACGTTAATGCGTTGCGTTCTGTAGCTCATCGTGACTTACCTGAATTTGCTGGGCGCAAAGAAGAACACGCGACTGATGCAACTCGCTTGGTAAGTTGAATGTTTTCAGAATTTTTCGGGAGGTCGGTTTGATTGGAAACCTGAGTCAGAGAAACGCTTGTATCTTTCGGGTGCGAAGATATTTGGGGAGGGAGATTAACGTTATATACATTTAAAACTGTGTTGGAACCTGAAATTGACACCGGGTTTGATTTTCACCTAACAGCGGATAGGTGAAAACGGCCGCTTCGCCGGACACGGTTCCAGAAAACCCCGACTCTCACGGACGTGGGCAACGAGGGGAACCCAGCGCCCACGTTTTTTCGCCAGTTCGGTTCTTTCCCCTTTCTTTCTTTTCACTGAAGCCAACTTTTTGATGAAATTCTCTTGATCACAATTTGGGATGCTGATGCGCGGAGTTTGCACTTTGCAGGTTTTTTGGGCAACACTGCCGTGCCAGCCAACGCTTACGGGACTGCCGAGTTGGACACTCGAGTCATCCGCTGTACGGACATTTGAGCCAAGTATTAAGCAAAAACTGCATAGTATCAGAGTCCACCCGACAGTTTAATTTTTCACGAGAATTTTAGTGTTTTTTTGCCTTACGTAAATCAGGTGCAGGTAAGTTTCTTATTACTTCATTCAAGTGCGAGTGTAGAAGTTCCTTGGGTCACTGACAAAGTATGTCGAGAGTCTTATAGTGTTCTGGGATCATTATGCCGCAATTTGACCAAAGATTTGATGTGCGTGTCTAATTTTTTGAAAGTGAAGTGTGTTTCACTATGTTCGAGTTTGAGTTGCCACCTGCCTGACTCGCTAGCGTACAAAATTATAGTACAGTGTTGCATCCCTGTATAATTCTGATGAAATCGCCGACATTGAAATAATCAAATTTTATTCTTGATTCTTGGGAAATGCCGGAAGATTTGAGGCTCGTAGAGGACTCCGATGGTAAAGATGGTTTGTTCGTTGACGTAATTGGCTCATGGTAGAAGATTGTGCACATTCAGATGCAATGCATATAGGGTAACCTAATCACATGTCGAGCTTGAGTTTCTGGTTTGTATTAAAGAGAATGTGAAGCCATGGCGTTTTCAAATACTGTTTCTCTATATTCAGTATGTATGACTCCAATTCCGTTTACCCGGTAAGTTTATTGGAATAAGTCGATCAATTGAATTTGTCCGTCTAAATTTTCGAAGAAAATTTCCCGGAGCTAGAAAGAAGCGTTTCTCTGAATCAGATTCCACCATCAAACTTATTTTTCATTTCAGCTCCTCTGATTAACACGCTTCTGAAAGAAGCTTGTCCATCAGAGGGCTTTTGTCAGTGACCCAAAACTCACGTATTCAATGCTGTGCTCTTTCTTTTTTTTTGTCTCCGTTGCTTTTTCTCTGCCCTATTCCTTTTTCTCGCCTTCCCTCTTCCTTTCTCTCGTGCGAAATTTTTGGCCGATGTAGGAACTACATGAATGACTCTTTGAGGAGCGACGTTTTCGTTCGGTTCACGCCGAATGCAATTGCGTGTGCTTGCATTGCGCTGGCAGCGAGGAGGGAAGGTGTGCCGTTACCCAAGAACCCGAGGCCCTGGTTTGAATTGTTCGACGTTACTACCTCGGACGTACACGACATTAGTGTGTCGCTGCTCAAGTTGTACCGGATTGAAAAGGTGGGTTATTTGCTTGCTGACTTCGTCGGTTCACCAAACGTCTTGAAAATGCGGGTTAAAATTAAAACTAAGACAATTTACATAAGGAGTGAGCCACGTTTTGTTGTCGTCGAATGTGAGACGGAGTTTACGATTTTTTCTACAGTAAGCAATTTTTGCGCTTTATTTCAGCCTGATCTCGAAAAACTGGAACGTAAAGTGGCTGATCTGGACAAGAGCTTAAAGGACGCCAAGTTGAAGGCGCGCTTGGCAGCTGGCGGCACTCTGAGTGCCGGCAACACCCCCTTGGGAGCCGGAGGCAGCGGCGCCCTAAGCCCACAATTACCCTTTTCCAACAACGCATCTCCGTCTACAGCCAACAAAGAAAACCGAGCTTCCTCAGTGACCGTCGTCAACGTCATTGACGACACGAAACGTCGGAAAGATGAACCCGTCGCTAACGGGGTCGAAGAAGTAAAGCGGCGGTCTCGGAGCAGATCCCGGAGTCCCTCCCGCAAACGGCGCCGTCGAAGCTCATCCGACAAGCGTCGCAAGCACCAAAACGGTGCCCGAGACTCGTCCACGTCCTCTTCCACGTCTGGCTCAAGCTCTGAAGGCGAAGACTCGCCTCGTGGCAAGAAGAAGAGCGACGGTAGTCGTCGTAATCGCAGAAAAGAAAAGCGAAGGCATCGATCGCGACACCGTCATCATCGACGGGACCAGCATGCGCGGAGTCGGCGACGAGTCAAGAAGGGGAAAGCGCGGTCGCAGTCGCCAAGCGTGTCGCCGAGAAGAAGAGATGACAAAAGAGGAAGAAGTAAGACTGATAAACGTGCCAAGTGATGCCAGTGATTTTGTTCGCACGATGCCGCGTTGACAGGGTTTTCCACAAATTTGTTTGCATTTCCCTTTTTGTGTCTTTTAATGAATTGTTGCTCTTGACGACGCTATCTCCAATAAATTCGAGAGCTGGCGGGAAAAGGTGACCGAACATCTACCGTAAAATTACCGTGTTTCCCCGGGAATAAAATGGGTCGTCCAGTGATTTTCGCCCAAAAAATTGTGCCGCTTGTTGTTATGGCATAATTACTTATATTAAGGATTTTATAAGCCGACAGGATGAAATTAGTATGAAAGGCATAAACTTTTCTGCCCTTCGAACTTTCATTTCTAGCGGAGTTAGCTTGGCACTGGCAATTTTTACGTTTTTGAATTTGTATGAATCATTTTTAGTTCATTATGTTTTATTAATACTGTACTCCAACGGTTTTACCACGGAGTATCGTACCTTCTGAATTTTATATTTTTTAATATGAAACCTTCTTTCTGTTTTTATCTTGAAATTATAACGAGCAAGCAGAACTCATTTCATTTTTGGTATCTGAATGTAGTTTTAATAAGTCGTTTTTATTTCGGCATTACCTTCGGGGAAACATGGTACTATGCTCATATTTCGGATTTCTTCGTTTCCGCGTGAAGTTTCGTCGGTGATTTCGGCGGACTTCCGGTCGTGCGGTGTTCTCTGTAGCTTTCCGTGGTCGGAAGAGGCTCATTGGAAATACAGATCGGCAAAGGACCGTCTGACGAGATGAAAGCAGGGATTTCCATGTTCAAATGCCGTTTGATTTGAAAGAGCTGAGGGGGATGAAAACGTGTGTGGGATTATATTTTCTCGTCGTCGTGCGAATTTTGGAGGAAGGTGGTTACGACATGCTTGAATTGGTGTTGTTTTTGAATACATTCATGGGATTTTGTATCAAGAAGGGTGTGTTAATTTTTTTTATACGAGAAGCTTGTGACTTGCAACACCATACTTTTTTTCTTGGTGTGTTACAATTGTATTGCTCTTGATCCCATGCCCCAACAAATCATTGAATTTTGTGTCGTGGATAATTCACTAAATTCCTGTATAAGTTGAAAATGCAAAAAGTCAATATCCTCAAAATGAAAGAAATCAATCACAATCCTGGAAGTAACAAGATATTTGTTCACTGACAAATTAGCTATTGTTGCTTAAATCTTCAGGGTTCCGTGATGTTAAGTCATTTTTAGCAGTCAGTTGAAGTCAAAGCGCCCATATTTTGCAATGCTACGTGCAAGTATGGGCTTCCAGTTAGACGTGCTGTTCACTTCTTGGCACCTTTCCTGTGAATGATTAAATTGATTATTTTTCAGGAAGTTGCTGTATACCAAACATTTGTTCACAGATCGAAAACTACAGTATTTTAGACTATACCCTTGTATTTTTCACTTGGCAATTGCGATGAGGTTTGTGAATAAACGTTCAGCTTGAAAATGATGAATGAGACTTCTCTAGTTAGATAATACATTTCCTTTTAGGGGATTGCCCTACAGGAAGTTTTTGTCATTTTACTGTACAGTACCATCATGACCGGAATACGAATCACATATTTTTGCATGGACAACTTAAATTAAGAATTGCTTGAATTTATCACTTCAAATATTGGAAAATATGTTGGTAATCTTTTTCGGAGAGATATGCACCAAAAACTTCACTTTTACTCAGTTAAATAATCGACCATGGATAATTACCGTACAATCAAGAATACACGGGAGAGGGGCTTGAGGAAAGGGTTGTTTGATACTTATCCAAAGAAAAACGATTCAGGTCCTTGTGTACACAGTACGTTGAAACACTGTTATAACAGGTACAAAATAGTATAACGCACTGTTAATTTGTCATTTAAAAAGAAAATTTGCGGATTAATCAAGTTTTTTTAGAATTTATCTGGATATATAAAAGTACAGTGCTACATTATAGTACATTAGTATGTTTTCGAATGTACGGTACCTGTCTCCATATATGTACCGCATGATAATTGCACATGTATAATGGAATTGCAGGTAGAGGGAGTTTCAGGCCCACGGAGTCCCCAGGGGTAGTCCGAAATCCACGGAGGCATGTGGATCATATGAGATTTGCTGCAATCTCGGGAGTAGGTTGTAGATATTGGCCAAAGATGTGAAACTTTACTTCGATACTGCCCCCCAACTTAACCGTACAGCGCACAGCCAGGCACGGCGAATGCCCGCAGTATCCTCACCGCAAGTCTACATGCATCATACAGGTGTCGCTGTATGACGCATTCAATTTTCAAATTTACTATTCAAATTCAATTCTTACGAATTAAAAAGAAGAAGATCTATATTTTCGGGGAACAGAACCTCAATCACAGCAGTTTTTCCGAAGTTTTCATAGTTCTTAATCGGAACAAAGGTTCGATTTGATGTTCACCTGAGAATTAGAGGTTGATGTCCAAAAAAATCCCTCCAACAAAAAGGTGAAGCTTCATAAATCACTTCAAAATCCAAATCATGCAAGCAAACTTTTCACAGGTCTAAATAAGTAAATGACTCAGTCCTAATGACACTTACATGCCACTTATGTTTCATCTTTGGAGAGTGTCGTATTTCTTCCAAAAATGCTTGTGAGTTCGAAATGGAAAATTAAAACGCGGAATGGTGAAAACCCTGTGATTCGTATGAGCTGGACATCAGTAATACTTAATCCCTGTCGTTGAACCTGGGATTCCTCCGCCAACATCAAGTACAGTACAAACTTCGGAAACTTCGAATCTCATAACTTTCAAGAAACTGGACCATCGATGTCCCGAAATTAATATCCTATAATGGAAGGTTTGTTTCAAACTTGATCATAGCCGATTTGAGTGTTTTACCCTCAAATTCTACACCAGCTGTTCACTTATGCCAACCTTTCAAAGCCTGCAGCTATGACACCTAGTGGTCGGTCTTGCCATTAATGGATGCCCGCAGTAGGTCGAAGTTGGGGGGCAGTATCGAAGTCTCGCCAAACTTTAGTCTGCCAACTGAGTCAAGCTAAAAGTGAGAAAGCGGTGTTGATGGTGTGGGAATACCCTTCGGATATTTTCAATATGACACAAACGCACGCCGGTTGAGGGAAGGGTGTAGCCGGTGGGAAGCGTAGCATATGTGTTACGTAATTCATTTTGCTGGGGCTCGTGTTTTTCAGGTTCCTTGAAGTGAGTTGAGCGTTGTGTATTTGCCCTTTTCATGGACGAATGAGTTTCTGAATATACCGACGTAGACGAATTTTCGCCTAACGTGATGTACGGCGTATCTGCCCTTGGTTCCGGAGGAGTGAAACAAAATGCCTCGAATATTATCGAAGTTTCGTCGCCACCGGACGACACAATTTCTAGCATGGAATTTAGCCCCAGCTCTGTACCGACGACGTTTCTTGCTGCCGGTTGCTGGGACTCAAACGTGAGTTCGAATTCGTGTCAGATCATCTTGAATGATTCTACTAATTTTTACATTCCACAGGTGCGGCTCTGGGAAGTTCAGAAGTCCGGCGTGACCGTCCCGAAAGACATGAAGAATAGCGGAGCTCCGATTTTAGATGTGTGCTGGTCAGATGTACGTTTTCTTTGTAATCGACGCGTGTATGGGGTATCGATCCATGGTTTTATTTGTGTTCAAAGGATGGAACGAAAGTGTTCACCGCTTCCTGTGACAAGACGGTCAAGGGCTGGGATCTCAGTTCAAACCAGTATGTGACTATTGGACAACACGATGCTCCGATTCGTTCAGTTCATTGGGTGAAAGCGCCGAATTATACCTGTCTGATGACCGGCGGTTGGGACCGAAATTTGAAGGTAACTCAGATCTCATTAAGTGTGCTGGTGCAACTCCAGTGTGCTATTCAGTTGATTGCGAAATTTGCGTCTGCCATATACTTTGGCTTGGCTTATTTTGCTCGCAAAGTGGTACTAGTTTTTAATGTCATTCAAAAATAGTGGATGCTGTAAAGCGCTTTCTGCTCCATCTACTTATACTGTATTTAATTTTGTTTTCGGGGAAGACGGACGTCATTGATTATAGCTTTCTTTCAACAGTTTTGGGACACGAGAAGCCCGAATCCCATGTTGACCATTCAGCTGCCTGAGCGATGTTACTGCGCAGACGTCAAATATCCAATGGGCATCGTCAGTACGGCGCAACGTGGCATTATCATCTACCAGTTGGACGGTACACCACGAGAATACAAGAAAGTGGAGTCACCGCTCAAGTACCAGCATAGAGCTGTGGCTATTTTCGCTGACAAGAACAAAGGCGATCCGGTGGGCTTCGCATTGGGATCCGTAGAAGGCCGCGTTGCCGTTCAATATGTATCGCCGACGAATCCGAAAGACAATTTTACCTTCAAGTGCCATCGTTCCACGGAGATCGTCAATGGATCGCAAGACATTTATGCGGTAAGTAGAACTGCACCACAAATACTGTACAGAATACATTACAGTGGAGCCCCGAAATGCGGTAGTAATCGGTGCGTGGTCCTGGTCCCTATGTCGAAATGTCCGCATGTCAGATCATATTTTCCATTGACTTGATTATTCAAGTCTTATTTAATCGGTTCTCCCTTGTAAAAAAAAAAAGGGGGAAAGTCTCCTAAACCTTTTTTTCCTCAACTTCAAGCTACAGTACAAAAATGTGTGCGGAAGAAAGCCACACAGAATCTAATTTTTCGGCATGGAAAGGAGACCAAAAAGCGAAAAGGAAGCACAAGTTTGGTTATACTCTGCACAGATGATGGAAAAAAACGCTGAAAAAAGAAGTGCAGAATTAGCCCATATTATGAATTCGAGCAAATGCATAGACAATGTATTTTTAATTTTTGTGAATATAAATAGCTTACTTCAAGATCTTTCAAAACTTTGAAAAAAGGAAAATTTTAAATTTTTCGCCAACATTTGTTTTATCTCCAGACATCGTCAATATGTTGGAAAATATTTTTACATTTTCAAGTGTCCCTAAGTCGAATTTTTTGTTCGTCGGGGCGCCATTGTATTAGTAAATATTCTCAATCCATTTCTGAGATTATAGGATGGGACAGAATATTTGATTTCTTACGATTGCCCAACTTCAGAGTGAATTTCAGGTCCTCGGTAAAATATGACGTCGAAAATTCTGAAGCATATGTTTAATATATATACTGTATATATATATATATTTTATTCTATTCATTGTTTATGAACAATGCAGGTAAACGATATTGCGTTCCATCCCATCCACGGAACTCTGGCCACCGTCGGGTCAGATGGGCGTTATAGCTTTTGGGACAAGGACCAGCGGACGAAGCTCAAGACGTCTGACCAGATGGAGCAATCCATCACCAAGTGCGCCTTCGACGCGTCTGGCCAAATTTTTGCGTACGCCGTTGGATACGATTGGTCCAAGGGTCATGAGCACGTGGACCCCTCCAAGAAACCTAAAATATTTCTCCAATCCTGCTTTGATGACATGAAACAGCGGCCCAAGGCCTGAGTGTTTCTTCTTGCTATCCTCTGTTGTGTATTTTCATAAAAATGCTGGTGATGTTGGCTGAATTTTTAAAAGCGTATGGTCGCCTGGATGAAGGTACGAGAAATGGATGATCGTAAATGTAAGAAGTTTTCAAGCCCGAATGGGACCTAGAAACAATTTGAAACAAGCCTCAATTTATTTTCTGAAACTTTATCGCAACTGCCCTGAATTGGGTCGTTCGCTTGCTTACCAATTGTCGCGTTGATCAATTCGACGACAAATTTACCGGGTAATTTTTGAATAAACCCTGATCTTCAGCTTTGGGCCACTTCAATATTTTCCGATTGTTTCCAATCTTTGGTAGCAGTTAAATTTCGAAGTCGGGTACAAAATGTTCAAGTTTTCTGAAGTAATGTTCATCGAAGTGTTGGTTTTTTTTGAATACTGTATTCAGAAAAAGTAATTCTTGAACAGCTTTTATTTTTGAAGTTTTCCGTTTTTGTCCATCATGTCTCTTTCATTGGCCAGAACATTTTATTGAGGCACAATATTTCTGCTGTGCTCAGTGTTGGTGTCTGATGGACCAACATTGATGAAGAAATTACTTTTGGCCTTTTTCGCTTCAAGAAATTCTGATCGAATAATCAATTATTCAAACGTTCATATGAATACTGTATGAGAATCTAGAAAATTCGAAGTACCGGTCGAACCTTCGTCCATAACAGTCCAACTCTTTTCGGACCATGTGTTTTCATGGGCTTACATTCGAAACGATGCGAGTAGTTGATGCTACTGCCGATCTCTTCCGAATTTCTCAGGTCACTTTTTGCGAGAACGGCGTCGATAAGTGCGTGTTTTGTTGATTCCTAGAAGAATGAGTTTTCTCGCCCGACAAAGCTCAAAGGTTCTTTCAGCGGCGTATCGCCAAATGTCATCATCTGTTAAGGTCAGCCAAGTTTCAGAATATGTCGCTGCAGTGGAGTTGTCCAGAGTCGAAAAACGCAACGCGATGAACAAGGATGTGATATTTGGTATCGAGCAAGCCTTCGATTCACTATCGAGTAATCCGGATTGCCGAGCTATCGTTCTCTCTGGTGGTGGCAAGTGTTTCACTGCTGGTGTGGACCTCACGTACTTGATGAGTATGGGTCAGTCCATCGCGGAGGAAGAGGATATTGCTCGGAAGGCCGTCAAGATGCGACCGTTTATTTTGAGTTTCCAAAGAGCCATGAAGGCGCCGGTCCGGTGTTCTCGACCTGTGATTGCTGCTGTCCACGGGGCTTGTATCGGGGCTGGTGTGGATTTGATAACTGGAGCTGATATCAGACTTTGCACAGAGGACGCCTACTTCCAGGTAAAAGAAACTTATGGGACCCAACGAATTTGTTGTACAATAGAGAAGAAGAAATCGCTTTAGACAAAATTGTTTTAGGAAGAGTCCGCTTGAATTTTTGAAGATTCTTTTGGTTAGAGTTTGTTTCACTGAAGAGATGCTGTCTATGACGGTAGACGCCGAGTGTAAATTAAACGCAGTCTTAGATGCAATACAATTTTTTAATGCTCTTCTGACGCACTTGGTGACAGGCTTGCTTTTGGCGAAGAAATGATGGAAGATGTGAGGTTTGCGTCTATCTTTTATGGTTAATGGAGTATTCTAACAAGCTTGCTCATTAAAAAGCTCACTTGTCTTACAGTAGGAAGCCAATTAGTTTTTTCAACTGACACGCTACATTGCAGGTGCAACCGCGCGTTATTTATAATTGTTTTTCTTGCAAAAATGTATAAATATTTCTGCATGTACATTATTCATATTGAGACCAATGCAACCCACGGAAAGAAAACAGCAAATTTCCGTGTCGTGTGCATTAACAAATTTTTTTTTTGCATTCGCAGATAAAAGAAGTGGATGTTGGACTTGCTGCGGACGTTGGTACCCTTGCAAGGCTCACGAAAATTGTAGGAAGCGAGTCTTGGGCCAGGGAAATCTCGCTGACTGCTAGGAAAGTGTCTTCTGCCGAAGCTTTGTCGCGTGGTCTAGTTTCTGCGGTGTATCCTACGAAAGAAGCTTTGATGACCGCCGCCAAGGAAATGGCGTCTTTGATCGCATCCAAGAGTCCGATTGCGGTGCAAGGAACAAAGTTCAATATGGAATACGCCATAAATCATTCCACGGACGAAAGTTTGGACTACATCGCTACGTGGAATATGTCTATGCTGCTTTCTGAAGATTTGATTAAATCTGCGTCTGGGCAGCTGGATCCAGACGGGGAGAAGCCAGTGTTTGCGAAGCTTTAAGAAGTGTTTATTGTGATAGAGGGCTTGATGGGTTATACTCTTCCTCAAACAGATTCTATGTACTGTATTTTGATCGTGGATTATATCGGGATTTCGGGAAGCGTTGCAGGTTCGAATAAGAACTTTTTATTTGCGTTTTGACAAATTCTTTTGAAACATTTATTTTTTCAAAGATTTTTTTGAATCTGCCAAACCTACGAGGTGGACGAGACATTTTGGCCATATTTTGAAGCGTCAGTATTGCAAAAATCTAAGAGAGCGAAAATAAAATCAGAGTGTAAACTCAAGTTCACTTATTTTATGCCCTTGAATGATGAGAAAAATTAACCAAGTGTTCGAGCATTCAATCTGAATTTCATTATTGGAAATAATTTTCGATGTTTTCGAAAAGAAAGTTGCAGTAAGTCGTTTTAAAACCTGACTGAAATTGTTTATTCCACCCTCTGCGACTGTGTCTATACTGTAATTGAATGTCTAAAGATTTGTTTTTTGTCACCAGGGGGGTTTGGCAGTCCCGTGTGTTCTGTGTAACTCCGGACTCTTTAAATATTCTTAAAAATGGAACAGGTGGGTCGCAATCAAATCCTCCCTGGACTCCCATTTTATGTTTTGATCTGATCATCTTCCGACAGAATGAAAGGGCATTTCAAAGACAACCAACAGTTTTCCTGAACCGGAAGAAATCATTGCCGAAGCGCAAGAAGGGACTTCGTTACGTGAAGAACGTTGGGTTGGGATTCAAGACACCTCGTGAGGTGAGTAATAATTTTTTTTTGTACCAGTTGAGGGAGATTCAGTTGAGTGAACTGATTTCAAGAGTCGTTGGACGATTCAGAAAATTTCACTGACAGTTTTTAGTTTGGTAGATCTTCTGAAATTATGACATGTATGGGTTTTTCGCAAAGCTTAAGTAATCTTTATAACATTGTAACTCAAGCTATTTGCCCCTAATTTGAAAATTGTCAATTTTTGGATATGTGACGAAATCGGATTTCGATGGCTTTTTGTTTTGTCATTTTCAAACGGATTTATATTTGTAACCTCTGTTGTAGATTGAAGATTTTTTTCTATCTCCTGTCGAATGTGAGTGTTTTGACGGCGTTTCATTTTTTTTGGAGAAATTTGAGCGTTGAAAAGAATCGCTCATTAACTGTCGTATTTTTACTTCAACGCGAAATATTCGAAGTACACGATTTTATTTAACTTGAATAATGCCACATTTCATTCGCTTAAAGTCATGTTGGATCATGATCATCTAATTTAGCTCAATTTTGGGTTCTGCGACGTGGGGCACTTGGTAATCTTTTAAATGTCATTGGATTATCGTTTCATTAAAGTTCCTGAAGTCAGCTGACGTTCTGTATTTTCTATCTTATGGATTCTGGCGATGCAAGTCTACTATTCCTGAAAGCAAGATAGATCTGTTGAAGTTCAGAATAAAATTTGTTCTCACTGTTGGTAGATATCGTGCTCTTCTATTTCATTGTACTGTATATCATTCCGGCACATGTATTATTTCCATAGGCCATAGACGGACGTTATGTTGACAAAAAATGTCCATTCACTGGAGATGTGTCGATTCGTGGTCGGATTCTGACAGGCATTGTAGTCAAAATGAAGATGCAGCGAACGATCGTGATTCGTCGCGATTACTTGCACTATGTTCGCAAGTACAAGCGTTTTGAGAAGCGTCACCGTAACATGTCTGTGCACTTGTCCCCATGCTTTCGAGATGTTCACCTTGGAGACATTGTGACTGTCGGCGAATGTCGTCCTTTGGCGAAAACTGTGCGGTTCAACGTGCTGAAGGTTTCGAAGGCCCCGGGATCCAAGAAGACCTTTTCCAAGTTCTAGTCGACCCATTTTGTGTTCACCTGTGTCGTAGTATTCACTATGATCTAACTGACCCCGTTTGTGTTCACCTATCGTATTCAGAGTCAATAAAGAGCTTTCTGTTGCCGTTTCGTAGTATTAAACGAAGTTTGTCTGGTAAATGTCTCGTATCGTTTTGCGTGGCGAATTAGAAATTGAAACGATTGTTGTTTAGCAGGATGGACGCGATTGGATCTCACGGCAGTTCTTATGGGTTCAAGCTCACGTATGGATTGTTTCAAATTGTGGGAATGCTAGTGATGGTGTTGATCGCGTTTTGGTTGACGTATTACTGCGGCGGTTTCGCGTGGTCTTCTGAGCCGTTGCTGCAATTCAACTGGCATCCCCTGTGCATGGCTTTTGGGCTAGTGTACCTTTCTGGAAACGGTAAGAATACTGGCTGTGTTTCAGGGTTATCGAACTCCCGCACATGACGCCCTACTGCATTAAACGGGATGCCATTCAGGTTGAGAGATTCAGAGTTGCCAATGAAAGCAATTGAAATGTACTGTATTTACTCAAATACCGCATGCTGGCAAATGAAACACGCAACTGGCTTTCTTGAGCCTGAAATCTTGATAAAATCCTATGCCTCAAGAAAGTTTCGCACCCAATTTCAAGTGACTAAAAACTGCAGTATTTCAAAGCTAAGACAAACCAGAATTTTAATTTAGGCATGGATAAAATGCCAAAATTCGAATAATTAAAATTTTTCTGGTTACATTTGTTTTCCTTTAATCAATCCAAAGTCTCCTCTTAGAATCAAGTATGATTTGCACCCTATTTTTTAACTTTTAATTTTGATGGAAAAAGTACGTGTGGTACTTCAGTGAATGCAGTAATGAATTATGGAACTGTTCGTTTTCCTTCCTTCATGCTTGATCATTCAATTGTATCTTCTTTGAATGTTCGTTCTGCGGAGTTGGTTCATGACTGCGACTCTTTGAGAGCTTCTTTTCTCCCTTTCAGCGATTCTGATTTATCGAGGTCTGAGGTTTGAGAGGAAAAGGAAGTTGAAGTTGGCCCACGCTGGAATTCAAATCGTGGGCTTTTGTTCAGTCGTTTTCGGTCTAAAGGCAGTATTTTCGTTCCACGATGCCAAAGGAATCGCTAATATGTACTCTCTTCATTCCTGGATTGGTCTCATCACCGTCATCCTTTTCGCTTGTCAGGTACATTTATTTATTTATTTTTCAAGACTTGATTATCACATTTTATTACAAATTAGAAATTTACAATACAGTATTCGAAGTTGCATGTGACAAAGACATGTCTCTCAACATTGTTCAACATATGCTGAAGTAAGATGAATAATATTTTGAATATTGTGAGGCAGTTTTTAACGATTTGGAAACGCTTTTTGCTGCGAATCTTCTTGGAAATAGGAATGTGCCAAAAGTCGACGCTTAAAAATTCAGTGGACTGATTTTTAAACGAATTTATCAATTTTTTGCAGTGGTGTGGTGGACTGATTTCATTCCTGTATCCTGGGATTAAATCAGACCTGAGATCCAAGTATTTGCCGTTGCACGTCGTTTTCGGCGTCATCATTTTTGTCTTGAGTTGCACCGCCGCGATCATGGGACTGCTGGAAAAAGCCATCTTCAAATTGTTAGTATGATTTTCAATTTCTAGCTGTTGTTGTTTTTTCCCATTCGAAATTCAACACCTGGGTTGTTTACATCTAATGAATTAGAATTATGAGTTCTTGAACCCCTTTGAAACACAGCGTAGTTCGTTTAACCAGTGTTCCCCAACCTTTTTGAACCTGCGGACCGGCAAAGTTTCATAAAATGTTTGCAGACTCACCAAAGTTTTGCTTGAATTTTATTAGGCAGGTATCTACAAGAAAAAATTTAGTTGAGAATGTCATCAAACAATTGAAAAGGTGGGCTTGGAGAAAGGTTTTTCAGAATTAAAAATTTATATGATTTATTCTAGCAGGCGAAAATTTGTCTGGTTTTATTTGGAGAAAAGCCAACTTTTGTTTAGAAAATTCAACTTTTGTTTAGAAAAGTCAACTTTTGTTTAGAAAAGTCAACTTTTGTTTAGAAAAGTCAACTTTTGTTTAGAAAAGTCAACTTTTGTTTAGAAAAGTCAACTTTTGTTTAGAAAAGTCAACTTTTGTTTAGAAGAGCCAACTTTTGTTTTCATCAGATAATTCAACTGCCATTGTCCTTCCAACATTTTAGGTAAAGTGAACAGACTTCACCCCAACTTTTGGTAAATGTATTATGTTGAAAATTTCCCGTGGACTGGCAAAAAATTCTGTGGACTGGCTCAGGTCTGTGCCCCAATCAAAGAAACAAAACTGGAATCAACAATAGAATAAACAGTAGTTAATAAACCATGGAATGAACCACAATAGAATAATTGTTGTATCAAACTGGGAGCTCTACCGATTAGCTTATTGATCTGAGGAGTTTAAGGTTTTAAGTTTGCAAGCACTGTATTTACTCAAGTGCCTTTGAGTAAGACACGCAACAAGATTTTTCAGTTGGCAATTTTTATAAAATCTCATCCCTGAGTTGAGATGCGCACCCCATTTTAGCGACTCCAAAACTGTATTTTTTTATTTCTGCGCCAGACTTGAAATTTTGACATGAAATAAACCTAAATGCATTTAATTTCCTAATTGTTTCAATTAATAATAATTCATGAAATCAGTTGGAAATTTATCATTAACAATTGAGTAAAAATGCAAAACCTTTAAAACCTTTTGAAAATGTTATACCTGCCAATGATGCACAGCCTTTCTATTTCGAGGAAAAAAGTTGCGCGTGGTTTGCGAGTAAGTATGGTAAATATTCCAATTTCTCCATGAAACATGTAGCTTTTACCACCACGACTGCAGTTCATATATATATTTTTTTTAATGTCACCAGGGGAACGGATGGAAGGTATCAGAGCTTCAACTCAGAGGGAATTCTCATCAATTTCATTGGATTACTAATTTTTGTTTTCGGCGCTTTGGGAGTTTACCTTGTGGTGCAGCCGACTTACAAACGAGTTGCTTTAGCGGAAGACGAACTCCTGCTACACCGGTCAATTAGTGATTGAAAAGCGGAAGTACTGCACACGAATACTCGTACGGTAAACGCAAGACGGAAATATCTGAGTTAAAAAAAAAACATTTCATCGCTTGATGCCGGAACTATGACTTACGGTCAACGCCAAACGCGAGTGCAAAGAATTTTTCTCCAGTATGCAGTATTTTAGCGGATTAGGTGGGAATACTGTACTTGGTTTTGCTCGTTTCTGTATAATTGACAGCGGGAAATTTTTAAATGGTTTATTCGTTGCTTTTTTTTAGCTTTGTGAAATGCGGAACTACGTGATTATCGGTTCGGATTCGTGAGTTGGTTGATGATTGCACCGTTGGTTGTTGGAAGAAGCTTGTCTGTCGAACACGGTTTGTTTTGCTGGTTACCATTGATCTCGTCGTCGGGCTTAGAGGCAAATAAGTTGAACATGGTTTTGGGGGGTAAGAACTGGTGTATCCGAAAAACCCGCGTTTTTCGATGGATTGGGTTACATTCTTTGCTGTGGTTCATTTGTGGTCAATGTTGGAAAAATGATTGTTGGGGGAATAATATTGCATATTCATTGCGTATTTCGTATCATTTATTTTCGAAATTTCCTGATGCCTTTTTGTCTCAAATAGGGCTTGTAACGGCTTTTTCGAGGATGAAGTGAAGTGTGTGCCTTTTTTTTGGTATCTGGTGACGAATCGTACGAATGGCCTCAGGGAAGTATTCTTCGCGAGAAGATGAATTCCGGTGAGCATTTGAGAATGCAATACTTGTGTTATTAAGCAGAAGTGAGAAACAAAAGCCCCACAGACAAAAAGAGCCAAAAATCCAAATTATTGATAACTAAAGATGTTTCTATACCGTACAATGGTTGTCCCACTGCCGCGTGTCCTTGGATACTCTGACTTTGAAAATTGAAAAGAAAAATCTGAATCTTCTTCATGGTGTTCCTAAGATTTTGTATCTTTCGTTCAAATTTCAAGACACGACATAATGAAAACTGTGAAATTTCTTGCTATGGTCTGAGTTTCCCAATCATTTCACAGTGAACTGAAAATTTGTCGTAAGAATTAAAAATATGCAAATTTTAGTATAGAAAATTATGTTTCTTAGATTCTGGTGAAAATCTAGAAAATCTTCGGACGATCTTCTTGTAATGAGCTAAATTTTTGAGGGAATCAGTGACAAGGTGTTGATTTACAATTGTCCTAATTTTTCTCACACTCCCTTGCAAAGGATAATTTCTGAGCATTAAAATTCGTTCTTTCTGTGGCATAAAGTTTAATTACAATTTTTCGGCTTGGAACGTCATGAGGGAAATTACGAAAAAAAAATGTAAAACTTCGATGACATTAGAAAACCCGTCATATTTTTGAATTGATATTTTGCCCAGTTGGTGAATACAGGAGATTCTTTCTTCTCAGGAAAGGCTTCTGAGGCAATGAACTTGTACTTTTCAAATCCAAAAGCACTCTTGCTGGGTTTTTAAAAATTTTTTCTGAAACGAGGCACCCGGTTTTCAAAAAGCAAACTTAATGAAAAAGGGTGTTCAAAACTTGCGTAAATATTTCAAAAAAATTATTTCGCTTTTTGATCATGTAGAAAGCTAGAAACCACTTGAAATAAGATCCACATTTTTTGAAGATAAAGGTAGTACAGTATACCTGAAAGCAGCCAGAAACTGCGGGAGGTTGTGTAAATTTTGTTTCGAACAGATTTTATGTTTAATACTTCGTTCAATCTTGAGTTCTCGCATAAGTCACACTTCTCTAAATTCTTGAAATCTGAAGCATTGGCCGCATTTCTTGGGAAGGGTGAAAAAGTGAGGCCTATAGTTGCCGTAATATTTGTTCATGTAGCTTTCAAACTAATTAACAAATTATTGAAATAAGATCTTGATTTTTTAGGAGAAAGGTGCTCGAAAGCAGCCAGGAACTGCGCGAATTCGAAGCCCGGCTCCGTGGCGCCTATGTCCGCAAAGCTCAAATTGCGCAAATGGCCGCCAAGCGGTTGACCCTCGCCCAGGAAAAGTCTGAAGCAGCGGACGAAAGATTGTATTTCGAACAAGAAGCGAAACTGGCTGCCGAAGAGGCCCGTCTCCTGGAAGAAAGCAAACGCGAAGAAAGCCAACGTTACGCCAGAGTCTTGGAAGTCCAGTTGGAAGAGCGACGGCGTCAAGAAGTGGAACGTGTCAAGGAACAGCTTAAAGACCGAGTCGAGCTTGAGAAACTCGCTGCGCGTGAGGAGGAAGAGGATAGACAGGAAATGGCGGATGTGAAGCGGAAGCAATTGGAGTTGCGAGCTGCCATGTTGGATCTTTTCGAAGCCAAGCGTCGTTGGATGGAGGAATCGAGACGAGTGTTTGAGATTGAGGAAACGCTGAGGCAAGACTATGTTAAGAAGAGGAGGTTGGAGGAGGAGGACAAGAAGCAGCAAAAGGCCCAGACTTCAATGCAAATCGAAGCTGTCAAAAAAATGCTGGCGGAAAAGATCCAAGCTGAGCGGGTTTGTTTCATCTGCATTTTTCAATTTTTTTCTGTTTGCTCAGTTTTGATTGCCGTTTCTAACATCCAGATGATCAGATATCGCGGATCCCACGTATTTTTTAATCTAATGAAAGTAAAGTACCCTTAATCCCCACTAAGTTTCCTTTGAATTTTTCAACATTTTAAAATTCTATCTACAGTAGGGGGATATTTGAAATACTTCAAGTCCTTGAGCAAAAAAAAAAGTCCTAAGGAACAAGTTACATTATGAACCTGGGCTTGGCTGCCATCTTGCCGTAAGCGACACACTTGAATTGAGGATGAAATGTCCAGTGAAAAAAAAATCCTCAAAGAATTTCTGTGAAAATTAAAAAAATTTCTATGCATGACATTATTTCCCGAATGGGATTGTACAAATAATTTTTTTTACCATTAATTGTCTTTCTGCCAATTATGCTGCTGCCAATTATTTTCAATGTATTATCCTCATTAAATCCAATTTTATTTGCTTGATTGTCTGTTTCTGAATTTTTAATTTTAGGTTTATTTTGTTTATCAAGATTTCATTTACACTGGGACCAATTGAATAGGTTCCATGGAATCCCATAGATTATTGTGGGAAATTATATCTTAGACAACAAATGTTTTGAGCAATAATACAACTATGGGTAGGGATTATGTTTGTTGCTCAAGGCCCTACTTCAGTTTTATTTAGGAATTTTCTTGAGCGACTTTCCTAATAGTGAAACGAGTTTTGGGTTCAATGGATAATCGTATAATAAAAGTCAGGATAATTTTAGTTATATTTCATTGTCACCTCAATCGACGGTGTCCCTTGCTGCAATTTTATTTTGTCATCACATAGATGTCGCCTAAATTTTGCTGAACGATTTAGTTGGTCTGTTTATCCGTTTGAGTATGATAGTTTTGGTTGCGTTAAGTTTTGTTGGAATGACGTTCATAAATATTTTGGATTACAAGGAGTGCCTCCCCTTATTTTTGGAATACAATTTACCAGGAAGAGAAAGAGGAGTTGGAAAGGATTCGAGAAATTCTGTGGGAAGAAGAAAAGCGGAAAAAAGAGAAGGAATTCTGGGAAGAAGCCGCGAGGAAGCATCGGCAACATGTTCAAGAACTCAAAATCAACCACGTTATTCAATTGCGCCTGCGAGAAGAAGAAAAGGCTCGAGAGAAAGAAGAAGAAGCGCGTTTGCGACGAGAGGTAAGTTCCGCTTTTTCATTTTTTTTGGCTGAACTGATGTACTTGAGTTACGAACTTTTTTTTTTCCTTTTTTTTTTTGAAGATGATGAAATGGTACGCTGAACAAGAGCGTGTCGAATTGTACACTGCTCAGAAGCGACGGGCAATGGAAGCGGAACACAGAAAATCCGTGGAGACGATGATCCTGGAACGCAGGGTTGCGAAAGAATTGGAGCGACAAGAAGAGGATCGTCAGTGGCAAGAATGGCAAGCCGAGGAGGAAAAGCGGTATGTTTGTATTTTGTGACAGTGCAAGGGTATTTTCCAAAGTTCTCTGATTTTTCCCGGAACTCACAAACTCTCATCCGGAACCGTTGTAAACTTCATAATAGTTCCCCTGAAGACTGTGTGACAAATTTTGTTCATGAATTCACCAGTTTCTAATTGACTTATCTAAAAATATATACAGTATTTGATTTAGCCGAGGGTTCGTTCATAAAAATAACTGACTGGATACTTCGCTCTCCAATAAAAAATAAGTTTTGCAGAAAATAAGAATGACGTTTTTTAGACAATTTGAAAATTTTACTTTTCGATCAAGTATTCCTATAGATGATTTTGAAAATAAATTTCTAACGCAAATAAGGGAATACTGATGTTGCATAAGCAAGCGTTTGAAGAAATTGATTTGATTCAAACTCGATTTATGCACTTCAGAAATTTTTATTTTTATTGAAATTGGTTGAAGTATCTAAACTTGTGCTGGGGAAACTCACTTGGAATCTGAGCCGCTTTTAAAATAATTTTATGGACTTTTCCTGCCTGAGAATTTTTAGAATACCCAAGTTAACTATTTTTAGGACGTTGAATTAAAATAACTTAATTCTCTTAGGTTTGTCAACGTTTGCAGAGTTTTACTCAAGTTGAATTTTTTCCAAATTATTTCAGACGCCGCATCATCGAGGAGGAACAAGAAAGGTTGATCTTGGAACATGGACCGACCTTGGGAGATATGCTACCGAAACTGTTATCTCGCACAAAGATTGTGTAAAATTTTTAGGGTCTTTTTGCAAGATTAGACGGTTTGAACTCAGGAATTAACTTCATTTTTGCCTATTTGTCAGATGAAACTCGACTAAGTCATCGTACTTTTTTTTGTGATTAGCTCTACGAACAAAAATAAGCTGACTGAAATTTTTTACAAGTCGAGCATTCGAGTCCAAAGGTTTGTGACATTTTTGTTTTTAAATGCATCATATCGAATCCGCGGATTGTGATAACTATGGCACTTATTCTCCGTCCAGAAGACGTTTACCAATTTTTTTTTTTCAAAGATGTTTTCGATCTCTCGATTTCCACGATAAAGTTTTTCTTTCTCACTGGAAAATGCTTCGTAATTTTGAGAAAACCTCGTTTACAATAGGAATTGCTGCGTCATAGTTTTTATTTTTTCATTCGTCTCGCCATTGTCACGTGGTGTTTCAGGTCTAAAGGTGTCTTCACCGCGGGTTGCAGAGACTGAGTCACTGTGAAACCCCGTGTTTGTGAGTCTTGGGGTTCGTTCTCCGGGCGCGTATATATATTAAGTTGGTGATGGAGGGTGACCCGTCGCCAGTGTTATCAGTGACGGATCCCGTTTCCGCCTTATCGGTGCTTCAGGAGATTGAGAAGGATGCTCATAGACTCGCGACGTCGGTGGATGAACTCATTGACGACATGACGGGCACTCTGCAGAGCGTGAGTGGAATGATTTCATTTCTCGGTGAAGTCGGGTGCACCCGTAGAGTGAATTACAATTTTTTTTGTGTGAAAACTGCCAGTTGTTTCCATATTTTGAGATAAATCCGGCCGTGGAACGAAAACTTTTTTTTTTTTTAATAAATGCACCATATTATGAATATTTTGTTAGCACTTGGAAATTGACGAGAATTTTTCAGATTAATCCAAGGATGAGTTTTGATTTCGGGTAGCTATGGAATGTTGCATTTAGTGCGCAACAGCACCTAACATTCCATTGCTTCCCAAAATGCCTTTTTAAATCATTCTCCTTTCCTTTGTTTGCTGCACAACAAAGTATGTGAACACCAATCCAAATTGGTTGCCATGCACATCTCTTGACCTCAACTGCACAAATCTATGAAAAGAGGTGACTCGTATGTTGAAGCAAGCTTACTGTTGCGGGACTGGGCCTCGAAACCTTGTCAATGTTGCTCTGCTATGCAACGTACATCCTATTGCTGTGTGAATGAATACAAAGTAATAAATACTCTTGTATGAATCCTCTCGTTGGAGTATTCTTTTTATTTTTCAAAAGCACATGGAAAACAATTTAAATCTCTGGGACCCAAGTCTATTTTGTTGGATCATATTATCCACCAGAAGGAGAAATTGTCTGATCGACAATTTAAAACCCAAGAATTACACTTGTTCACGCCAATATAAGACAACAGCATGGATTATTTTTTTTTACTTCACCCGTTGATGAAAATCTTCTGATTTCGAACTCGCTGAAACTATTGTTCTTCAAACTCATACCGAATTTTTTTCCTGGAACGTGAGCACTTCGATATACTGTACAATTCGAATTGTTTTGCTTGTACTGAATCACGGATAAAAATTTGACCTTGTGACAAGTAATAAGAAAAAGAGCCAGAAAAAAAAGAATGAGGCGTTGGTTGGTCGTGATGCGACTGGGAACTCTTCACCATTCACCACAAGAGCAGTTTTTTCAAAATTTTCATCATTCCAAGCTTAGCGAAATTGATATTTTTCGAATAATTGTTTTAAAAAAAATTTGTTTGTACAGCCATACCATGTCTAAATCTTTAAAATTCTGGGACGTTCCTGAACCACTTTTCGTTTTTGAAAATTTTTCCCATGGTATTTCTGAACAATTCCCTCAAGGTTATGGGTCAAGTCCTTCCTTTCTGTTTTTTTTGTGTTTTTTTGTTTCTTTCTGACGATTAGGGTCAGTTCGCGTATTTAAATCGTCTCCATTTCCGTGAATTGTTTTAGATGTCCTCACTTACCGTGGAATCTTTGAAGGGATATCGTGAAGCTGTGTATTTGAGTTGCGGGCAAGTGGATGCGAGTATCAAGGTGCGTGATTCATGTTTTCAACATTTCATCTTTGTTATTGTTGAAATACATTTTGAATCAACATCACGAAGGAGGTGTGTTTTTTACTTTATTTTTTAAAACCGCCAACTGTACTCTCTTACGTTCGGAAATTTCATTTTATTTATTTTTTTCTGGCATGGTTTCATCAATTTGAAAACTTAAAAAACATGGTGTGGCACCACTTTCAAAAATCTATGAATGCCACTTCTGAGAACTCAATGTCAAATGCGGAACAAGGGGAATTTTGTTGAGAAAATTTTTAAATGTTTTGTTGCCTTCAGACCTTGTCAAGGATCGTCAACTATGAAGTAAAAGCAGAAGTGGAAAAGTTGTGGACACAGTCGATGTTTTTCAGTCCAGAATTTGAAAAATTTGAAAAAATCGCGTGTTTTGACCAAAGCAAAAATTTTTCAAGACAAAAAATTATTTATCCGATTTTACAATAATTTTTTGGCGTTCAACAGGCCTTATATCGTTTAATGGCCAAATGCGAGGAAGTCAACAAAAACATGGGCCCGATTCATCAAATGGCCGCGGAAATGTGAGTCGCCAAATCTTTTGCGGACGGATTTATTTTTGAACCCGCCCCCAATTTTTTTGGTTTTTTTGCAGAAAAGAGACAAAGCGGCTCTTGGATTTGTTTGAAGCCGAAGTCAATCAAGGATTGTGATACATGAAACAAACTAATTATTATTTTTACCAAATTAACTATCCATTCCCCCCCCCCCTGAAATCTGAGTTTTTGAGGCGTTAAAGAATTACCATGCACTGAGAAACTCAATATTTACATACCATAACTTATTAATCTAAATTGCGTATTTGTATGATGTCACTGGTATTTGTGATGGTTCTGTGTTTAATTTTAACACTGTTAATGACCTATATAAAGATCTAATTTATAAAGATTAAAAAAAATATTTATTGCAGATTTTTAAATAAAATAAAAACTTTCTGGAATTCTTAAGTACGCGAAAACTTTGATGTTAATGTTATCTACAAAAATTTATAGCAGTACACAGCAGGGCAGTAAAGGAAACAAAAATAAAATTCACAACAAGAGAACCTTCAACACAGGCATCCAACTCAAGACTCAATGTATTTCATATAAATCAGGCAACAGAAAAACTTCAACACAAAAAAATGGCAGCAAAATAGAGCAACACATCTCCAGTTTGGAGCAAAAAATGAAGCAGAATTTCCACGTTTTAAATATTTAAAAAATATAAAAACTGCTCCCAAAGAACAAAAGAACAAAATTTGCGCTGATGCCAAGATAGGTAATCAGCAAACCACACAAACCCACTAATTTGCCCAGTGTTGCCAGCTGTAAAATGAAATAGACATAAAGACCTCACCAGCAACAAGGAAGAAAAAAATTGTGGTGATGGCAACCTTGGCCAGCCACTTCTTTCCTAAACTCATGGGCATCCCTCCTCTCTTTTGCATCCCTCCCCTCCTTCTGTGGAGGGGCCCCAGAGCCAGCACCATTGCTGGTGCTAACCAAAGTATTGACTTTTTGTTTTCTGAAAAAGTTGAATAACCTTAAGTAGATTTAACCATTAAATCTGCAACATATATTGCCTTCTATGGTAATTTGTGATTGAGGTTCAACTTGCTCACAAGCACAATCAGATAATGGCACTTGAAAAAAGTGAAGATTAGGATACAAAAAGGGCTGTAGAAATGTATTAAATTGAGTGCAGTAACATGAAGTTTACCAGATGTAGGAAATCCAATACTCAGGGTAACCACCACCAGTAAAATATATTTAAAAAAAAGATTTGACATACAGCACCAAAATCCAGACAAGGGCATTGTGATCAAGGATAACGAAGTAACATAAATAAAAAATACAGGCAATCAGCCTTTTGAAGGTCTAGAAAAAATATTCAAGGGGTTTCCTTGAATATATGTTCCTAGTTTCTTAATCATTTTTATCAACAGTTCCAGCAGAGTTGAATAGATTCAAGAATTCCAAAGAATAAACACAAAAAATGCACACAACAGATTTGAATTACACAATTCAATAGCACACAGGGAAAACGCAGATTTGTGCGCACAAGTCATCTAAAAGGAAGGAAGATGATTTCCCAAGACTTCAGGACAGACTGACGGAAATTTGAATTATTTGGAGCTTATATAATTTTCTTGGAATTTTCTGGTCAGGTGATCTGACCAGAAAATTCCAGAAAATCCTTGGATATCCTCTGGCCTCTGATTGGCCACAAATAGAAACATCAAAGAAATTGATGCTCTGCATCATTTGTGGCTGAAATGTCACAAAAAGGCAGAATTTTGGAAATGAAGCACCAGAATCAGCTGTGGGGTTCAGCTGGGGATTGCTTTTATGAGATCCCAAAGAAAAAAGATACAGATGTATTTCAAACTCTAACCCCAAGATTAATTGATTACACACACAATAAAAATCACACAGGAAATCAGAGGATAAAAGTTAATTCAATAATGGTTGGTTTTTGACTGTATCAGGAATAATGAATATTGAAAAATGTTGGAAGAGTGACCTTCTATGATTTTTTGTTCTCTTCCCTTCCAGGAATCTGCAGAAAACAGGAGTGGTCTCAAATGTTCTAGATTAATTGAAATAAATCTTCAGACAAATTTCTCATATGGTGCGCATAGGTTTGCAGTACTTTACAGTACCAAATTATTCCGCCACATTATTTTGAAGCAACTATGGCCTTTTTCTAAAGGGCTGCAGGGTTTTAATTGTTTCTGGTGAGGAGCAAATTGTAGAAGCTTGGGGATTTTAATTTTAAAGTTTTCTTATGAATTTTGCATTTGGGCACATACAGTTAAGGAGGGTGGGGTTCTTGAAAGATTCTACAAAATGATGGCCTCCAACCAACAGCTATGCTACAGAAGTGGCTTTTTAATGTTGTTGAGAATAAAAGATCATTTATTAAAAAAATAATAATAAGCACGCAATCCAATCAGCCTGGGACTGGCTGGGAGTTTCAGGAGAAACTCCCTTAAAAAAATTTAGTTTTTTGAATTTTCCCAACAAAACTAAATCAACTCAAGCACTTCATTGGATAAATTTACTTGCAAAATGAATACAGATAAAATTGAATCAACAACACACCTTGTAATCAAGAATTACAAAAAGAGGCAGAAAAAAGGTGATACATCCAAAAATAAAACACATCATTCAGCTGTGGGGTTCAGCTGGGGATTTCCTTGAGGAAATCCCAAAAGATAAAATATAAACTGTATTTCTTTACCCCAAATTAATTCACAAATCACAAAATCAATCACACAACACAATGGATAAAAAGAGATAACCTTCACAATCACACACACACAAAAGCAACACACATATTTTGTAGTCTGTACTTTTGCACACCTAAATTGCACTGTACCTGCCAGTGTGCAGGTACAGTAGTATATTAAGGTACCAAATTATTCCATCACACACCTCACACCAAACTCAAGTTGCATGTACCAAGTTCATGAAGTTTTGCCGTGGAATGATCTTTTTCTCATATTTTTGTGAAGAAGGAAAAGGAAGTTGATTTCCTTGAGGCTGGGATTCTGGCCTCTGGTTGGCTGATTTCAATTGAGTGGAAGACAATGGGCTGCATCATCTTGCACCAGTCCTTTGGGACTGGTTTTTTTATTAAAGCCTTGGAGGGCTTAATTTTGGTTTCTTGTTGTTGGGGGGATTACTTTTAGTTTTTATCTTTAATTATTTACTGTGCCTGGTGGTCTGTACGTGTCAAATGCTGTTATATGTATTACAGCATGTGCAGGAAAATATTTAAATTTTCTCAATTTCACTCAGTCAATTTTTTGGTGTTGCTGGATTGAATAGGGGAAATGCAATTAAGATGGATTGATGCCAATCAAGTAAACTGTGCAGCTAAGGTAGAGACAAACAGCTTAAGGAAAAATAATTTTGGCATATTTGTGGGCGTAAATTGCCCCTCTGCTCTGGATGCACTACAAAGTTTATCCAGAGGCTTTTCAGGCAGTGGTTGAGAAATAAGAATAGTAAGCTGGGGTCACAGGATAATAGAGGATGGAGATGTATTTCTCTTTCAGGTTAAAAGTTTCAATTAAAATACCTTGCAACCGTTTGCTACAAATCTCTGACTCTCTCTGAATGAATAAGTGCAGATAAACAAATTCCCAGACAAAAAAAAACAGGATTGCAGAAAATTCTTCCAGGGTGGAAGCTCCAAGGTGGAGAAAAAAAAGAGGCAGACCATGCTCCAGAAAGGGCAAGCCTGTATCTTTTCCTTTCTTTTTCTTCTTTCTCTTGTGGCTGCAGGGACCTGAACAAAGGAAAAACAAACACACACACACTAACTTACAATGAGTGACTTTAATGTTCAGTAACACATATTCTTGTTGGTTGGAGTGGATGATAGCACTTCAAAAATGGGAAGAAAACATGTTGGACACCGGACAAAAATTAGCTGGCTTGTTTCAAACAAGTATTCCTACACTTTTGTTTCCTCTCTCTTGACCACTAATCTCTTGGGGTCAAGATTTCATACAATCACAGCACATATCAGGGCCTGATCTTGAACAATGAAAAGGGAGCACTGTCAGGACACTTGAACATAATTGTGAATGATATTCACAAAAGGAGGCAAGAATTTGTGTAATTTTGAAAATGAAACACACAGAATCAGCTGTGCGGTGCAGCTGGGGATTTTCTTATGAAATCCCAAAAGAGAAAAGTGTATTTCAATTAAAACCCAAGATTCACACACTTCTTCACACGCACAAAACAAAATTGAGAAAGATAACCTTATTCACAATCACAAGATTGCAACACACATCTTCATCAGTCTGTTCTGCACACCTGATCTGTTGAAACCATTGAAGGGAACAGATTAAAATCTCTAGTAGTCATTTAATATGGCTGCCATCTAACAGGAGTCAGTGTGCAAGTATAGCAGTACATTAAGGTACCAAATTATTCACTCACAATAATTACACACATCAAAGGTATTCACAGTAAGCTCTGACAACACAATCTATTTTGCAGTTGAGTCCACAATGTTTTTGATGATTTGTACTGGTATTTTGCAATGGTTCTAGATTGTGGGTTTTGTGATCTTTCTAGAAGCATTTGGAAGTCAATGAACTGAAAAATAAGTAACAGTCTGTTGATGCAATGCACATGCATTGGAACCAACTGAAGACCCAACACAATTTAGTAGACAAGTTGTGCAGGGAAAATAAAGAAATGAAAATAAAAGGGCAATCAGCAGGTTTGCAGCCTTTAACATTTATTTTAAAAGATTACAGGACAAATGGAACAGTCACAACTTGCGCAGTGGTAAATCACCTGCTACAAAAACTCAAATTTTCATCCAATTCCTTAACTCTTCAAGTTGCAGTATTGAGGGAATACTCAGAAAAGCATTCTTGCCACAACTTTTAGTTTATAATGTCATTCCATCAACCTATGTTTCCCATGAGATTTTGAGAGAACCTAAAATATTGACTTGAGTGCACAGGAATTTTTGGACGTCTCTCTCTCTGCTTGTTGGAAATGTGATTGTGTAATAGATCTCATTGTTTTTTTCCTTTGAATCTGCGTTTGATTTTTCAAATTGAAAATTCTCTGTCGTTTTCATTCTCTGGGAGAGGTTTTATTCCCAAGTAAAAATACAAAAATGAGACCTTACGATTTGGTTGTGTTCGGGGCTTCGGGGTTCACTGGTCATTATGTTGTGAGAGAAATTCTCAAGATGAAGAAGCAGGCGAATTATTCCGCTTTGAAATGGGCGGTTGCAGGGAGAAACGGAAGCAAAATCAAGGAAACTCTGGCCTCAGTTTCCGTGTCTACTGGTGAGTAAACCTGAATTTTTATATTTTCTGGATAGCTTACGAGCTTTTTTTCGTTTGCGTTAAACATTTATAGGCGAAGACTTGTCGAAAGTTCCTATTTTGATTGCTGACGTGAAGGATGCTTCGTCTTTGGAGAAAATGGCGGAGAAAGCGGAAGTTGTGGTGAATGTCGTGGGACCTGTGAGTTTATCTTTTAGATTTTTTTAAACCTGATCTGAATAAGAATTATGTTTCTCATTGTTCATTCCAGTACCGGTTTTTCGGTGAGCCGGTTGTCAAAGCTTGTGTCGAGAAAGGAGCGAGTCACGTTGACATCAGTGGGGAGGCTCAGGTGAAGCCTCATTTTTTAATACCCCTGCAGGGTAAAAAAAAAGTCGGTGCGATTTTTCATACATTATACAGTTGAAACCTTGATGACTCAAACCTCCTCCGGTCAAAATTTTTCTGTAGTACATGTCTGAATTCCCTTGAGAGCGATGTACTGTGGGGTCTCAACTGAGGGAAATTTGAAACTCAAAATTTGTTGCAACATCCAGACAATGTTTTGAAATATGGAAAATTTGCCAAAATTTCTAGAAAAATGATTTATTTTTCGACATTTTGCTGTTTCTCCCACAAATTGAGCTATTTTAATGAGCAGTATTGCCAGGTGTATCTCATTACAAATTTTAATCTACTGTAATTCATGATCTAAATCAAGCTTATTTTTGCCTCTCTTTTTAGGGATATTTTCCACATCAAGTATGTACAATGTAGGAATATGTGTGCTTGTTTTTTGCACGACTTCCTTTCGTCCCAAAAGTGCAGATTCTGTGTGGTTTTCTTCTGCACAGTTATTGTCTGCATCTTAAAGTTTAGAAAAGCATTTTTATTTCAATCTTGGAGAACTTTCTAAAATATGTGGCCAAAAGTTTGAAGTGATTCCTTGTTGTGCCAAAAGGGCAGATTCTGTGTGGTTTTCTTCTGCACATTCATTTTCTGCATCTTGAAGTTAAGAAAAACATTTTTATTTCAGTTTTGGAGAATTTTTCAAAATTGGTTGCCAAAAAGTAGAAGTGATTAAAATGTTCCCAATAACTTTTATAGGAAACACGTAAACAAGGTCCAAAAACAATTACATCCGCATCTTGGGGTCCCCACTGCACAGTTTTATTAACCTTTTCTAAGTCAAAGACTTTCCCCTTCAAACCTTTGTAACTCAAATTTTCTCAAGGCCATGTGGCTATTATTTTGGGGACCTAGGAAAGGGAAAATTCATAGAAATGGTGCAATATTTTTAAGAGGAAGTGAGTTCAACAGAGGAATTGGACACATGAACCCCGCCTTCAAGTTTAGCATCCTCTCAAGATCATTTAAAAACCATTTTAAGGTCCAAAAGATCACAACATCTTTAAATTCCTGTGATACTTCATTCTTCTATTTTGAAAAGTCTAGTTCCCCGAATACGAAAACTGTACGTCCAATTTTGTTTTATTTTTCCTTGGAGTTTGACTAAGAGAATATAGCATAAATGATTTAGTCCTTTGTATACTGTATTGTTGATGTTCTGTCTATGTGAGTGGGAATTTGGTTTGGCTAGTATTTGGAGAGGATGCAACTGGAATACCACAAGAAGGCATTGGACAAGCAAGTGTATGTGGTTGGTGCCTGTGGGTTTGACAGTATCCCTGTGGAAATGGGCATCATTCACTTGAGAGACAATTTTGGAGGAGACCTGAATGCTGTTGAGCAATACATGCGATTCTTTCCTGGTCCTAAGGTAAAACGAAGTCCCATTCGAATTTTGACACAATGATAAATTCTGTTTTTTCATTTTTCCTTTCAGGGTTATGTAGTCAATTCTGGCACTTGGAAATCCGCTGTTTACGAATTTGCGACGGTCCAAGAGATAAACAAGATACGGAGAAAACTGTTTCCTACGAGACTCCCGCCGAGTTCTCATAAACTAAAAATCAGGTGAAATTTTCCTTCTTGAAAATGAAAAAAAAAATCTGCAGAAATTTTCACACGAACATGTTTCAATAAAGGTTTTTCCAAATTTCATGAATCCTTCTCTCATATTCAGTGAATATTCAGGGCAAACAAATTAATCTATATGCTGAGCTTACATGTGAGAATGTGTCACAACACCAATTTGGTTCCTGTGAAGAAATTGCTGAGACCCTTACGAAAAAATTTTCATAAATGTAAATTTTAGTGTAGTTTCTTCATTTTCGGATTTACGATTTCAGGCCTGTCTTGCACAAAGACCCCTTGAAAGGGAAGTGGAGTATTCCGTTTCCTGGCCCAGACAGAACAGTTGTGATGAGAAGTCAGCGATTTTTCTATGAAAATTCCGACAACAAACCTGTTCAAATGGGATCTTACCTGTCCTTTGCCTCTTTATTGAATTCCGTCAGTGTGATGCTTTTCGGTGCTGTGTTTGCAGCCCTTGCAAAGATTCCTTTCGCCAGAGATTTCCTGGCAAATGTAAGTATATGTGTATCAAAAGCTTATAAATGAGCATCTATTGCAGTAAAATCTCTTTAAACATTTTTTTTATGTACTGTATAACAAACTTTTTCTAAATTCTTGGCAGGAAGTGAGTAGAATACATTTTAGAACAATCTTGTTCTGACAAAATTCCCAATTCCGGTAAAAAATCCCTTTCTGAGGAGTGTTCAATAGATTCTCAAGGTAAAAATTTTCTGACTAAGGCAGGCACAGTCTGAAATATCTGATCCCAAGTGTGACTGACTGGTTCTTGTGGCATGTATGGAAGCTATATAATTGAAAAACATGCTTCCAAGTGGTTTCACACGTCATCCTCCCAGAATAAAGAGATTGGTGCAACTGATGGAATGCATGATTGAAGCTGAATTCTTTTCGAAAGATCACTCAATTTTTGAAACGATTATGAAAAAAAAATATATGTGAGAATGTCAGAAAATCGAGATGTAATTTACTACAGCCAGGTCTGATGAGACAATTTTTCCAATCATTAATTTTTGAATTTTTTTTTCTAACAAATTTTCTACTATCATAAAGTTTTCCAAGTTCTTAAAAGTGTGTTATAACAAGATTTTACTTTATTTAAATCATATTAGTCAAAAAAGTATGGCTGTATTGCATACCAGGATTTCGAAGTGAAAACAACCTCTCTTTCAAATTACATACGATTATGAAACTTTTTTCGGTGGATCTTTTAAATCAAGTTAATTTCCGATTAGTTTCACGAGATACTCAATTTCTTTCAAAATACCGTCTTATATCCGCGTATGGGAGAGATTATCGAATTGAAGTTTTCTTTTTTTCCGAAATATTTCTTTGTTTTTTATGCGTAAAATTGCTTTTTGCTAGTGATTTGTGGGGAATCGAGACGTAAATGCTTGTAATTGGCATTACCTCAAATATTAACTTTGTGACATTTTTTTGTGCAGAATCCGAAGTTGATCACATTCGGTGCCTTTTCGGATGAGGGTCCTTCCAAATCACAGGTGGGTTCTTAGTTTTCCCACGTATCGAATCTTCATTGAGAGTTACTTTACTTCACTCTGAATTCATTGTTGAACTTCCAGATTGAAGGGTGCCGTTTTTCTGAAATTCTCATCGGAACTGGGTGGGATGAAAAGCTGCCGAGAAATGTATCCCACCAGCAGGAACCAAACACGACGAAGATTTTAGAGGTGAGATTTTTGTCATCGCAGCAATTTTCCCAGGGTCCCTAGGGAGCCAAGCCTGTGCGACATCTACCAGAGGAAAAACTAACTTCATTCATATCCCATCATTTTTTAAAATTGTATCATGTTCGGCGTTGAATCGTTGTCACCTCTGATAAGGTTCTCCGTCAAGTTCCATCGGTTTTAAATTGTAATTCTAGCTTGATTCATGTTTTGAATTGCGCAGCGTTTTGTTTGGTTCAGGGTAGCTGTAATACGGTCATTAGCAGTGAATGGCTTAAAAATTTGAGAAGTTTGTTATTCTCGTGTAGATGTCACCTAATACATTAATCCGGCGTGGAAGAAGCTTCTTTTTGTGTTTAATCTTCTAAAATTTTTGAACGTGCTGGTAAATGGGCGTGAATATATTTTACAGTACTGTGTATTCAATCGTCCTGATTTTGAAAAGGATAACTTTCGAATTTGACTCAGGAAGTATTTTATTTGTGTTTTTATTAGGTTGCTGGACCTGATCCTGGTTACGTCGGAACGTCGATTTGTTTGGTGCAATCGGCCTTAACTATATTGAAAGAAAAAAACAAGCTGCCGTCACAGTGAGTATGGTACCTTTTTTTTGTCCTGAATAAAATGTTTATTGCTGATGAAAGCGTGGGATGACTTTTTAAAATTTGTTTTCTTTGCACAGGGGCGGTGTTTATCCCCCGGGTGCAGCATTTGCTAAAACCTCGATCATTCAAAATCTGCAGAAGAATGGAGTGACTTTCACTTTCCTCTGAGAAATTCTGTGGCTGTGTTGTCTATGACGGGCTTTCTTTTTGTGGATAGGAAAATGAAAACCTTGGGTGCTAATGAAATTCCCCGTGTTGCTTTTGCAAGAAGAGGAATGAAAGTTCTTCGAACAAAAACGTAAACACGACAATTTCAGGATTACTTCAGAACATTTTTCAAAATTTTCGTTGATCCTCCGATTCAAGATGAACTTATGACTAAGATTTAATTTTTTTGCGTCGAAGCATTTTCCGGAAATATTGGCAAAACCCCATTTTTGAGGAAATTTTATTCCTACTGTCGAACGAAAATACGGTTATTCCAGGATTTATGTGGAAAATTAAGAAAAACATTTTCGATGATCCTCCGGTTCAAGATGAACGATTTCGCGTGACTAAAATGTAAATTTTTTTACGTCGCAAAATTTTCAGAAAAAAAAATTGGAAAAACCTTATTTTTGTGGAAATTGTATTCCTACTGTCCTCAGTTTCGTTATCGAAATTATCTCTTCGAAAATCCGTCGAGCATATTTTTCTTGATCGTGAAAAACCTTTATCACAATTTGTATGTTTAACGTTTTTAGGTTTTGTCCACAGGCATCGCGATCCTCTGTTTCGTTTCATTTTTTTGTTTTCGCTCAAAATCCGTGTTCGAGCTAATTGTCGTGAAAATGAAGGCGTACGATTTGGTGGTTTTCGGGGCTTCCGGTTTCACCGGACACTACGTTGTGAGAGAAATCCTAAGCATTAAAAAGGACGACCGGTATTCCGGGCTCAAGTGGGCAGTTGCTGGAAGAAACGAAAACAAGGTCAAGGAAACCCTGGCCTCCGTTTCTGTCGCAACTGGTGAGTTGTTGAAAATGCTTTGCAGTATTATTATGTCTGATTTTATCAGTAAAGGTGCTCAATTTCGCTGCGCACGTATGAAATATAAAATTAAGATGAAATTTAAAGCACCGCATACTTGATTTGTCTTTTTAAATTCGTTTTTTTTTTCTCTTCGAATTGAACGCATTGCTCTGCTCCCTTATTTAATTAGAAGACCCCCTTTTTCCCCTCTCAAAAACTAATATTTGAACATATTCAAGGGGCGTCTTTACGAAAATTGTAATTAAAAATTCAGGCCTTGAATTAAATCGATGTCGTCTACTCGTCTTGAAATCTTTTAAATATGGATGATTCCCGATCCATTTTTTAAAAAGTTTTGATTGGATACATTTTGAAACATTGCCAATTTTGTGGACATTAATTCAGAAGATTTAAGGCCTTCCTTTACACACTCAGTTGCCCTGAAACGTGGAAGAAAATTTTGATTTTGAGGGATTATAAATATTCAAATGCAAAGATCGTTCTGGAGTTATACAACGTTATACATTTTACGGAAAGTCCAAAAGTTGATATTGGCACGATATAAAATTAAAATGCTTTTCTCACGACTTTCTTGACCATTTTGGTGGAAGAAAGTTTTTTTTATTTACTGTTCTAGGTAGTTGGAAAAAATTCTCCACGGGGCTGCATGAAAATTAATGAAATTTCCGGGATGAGGGAATTTTTTTTTTCCCGCGTCAGTTTTTCTTCTTGAACACCTGATTTTACCATGCTTGAAACAGGGGAAGATCTTTCAAATGTCCCGATTTTGATTGCTGATGTGAAAGACCCGGCTTCTTTGGAGAAAATGGCAGAGCAGGCGGAAGTTGTGGTGAATGTTGTTGGGCCAGTGAGTATATTATGTTTCTTTTGTTTGTTTGGAGTGTGAAAATCATGATGTGTATTTCTGTTATTATTTTTTTGCAGTATCGCTTCTTCGGTGAGCCAGTCGTGAAAGCGTGTGTTGAAAAAGGAGCGAGTCACGTTGATATCAGTGGAGAACCTCAGGTGAGAAACGAGACCCGCGCAGAATTTAATTTCCATCATTTGTGATCTTTCATCCAGAAGAACCTCCTTTATTGCGTAATTTTTTTATACCCCAGCTTCGTGAAGCGAGGGTAAAAATAAATGACTTCGCTTGCATGCAGGTACTTGGAATTATAGTCGCTTCAAACTTGAGATAAAATCTGCCCAAACAATTCCGGACGATTTATCAAGATTTTTACGTACAAGATCTTCGCCGATATTTCCCAGAAAAGGGCAGAAATTCATTTTTCACAAATTCGACATTTCCTGGACAAATTGAGCTACTCCCATGAACAAAATTAAAAATACTGTATACGTTATGTTGAAGTTAATATTTTGTGCTTGCTTTTTACATTTTGGACTCCTCCTGATGCAAAAAGGGCAGATTTTGTGTGATTTTCTTCTGAACAGTTATTTTCTTTATTTGACAGCCAAGAAAAACATTTTTGTAGAATTTTTGGTTGACATTTTCCAATATTTTAATGGGACACATGGACACAGTCCAATAAATGATTTAGGTCGACCTCATTGGAATAAAACATTTGTGCAAAAATAAATACTTCGTTTCTGAATTGGAATTTTAAATTTACGTCTTTCTCGCTCCATGTTTCCCACAGTTCTTGGAGAGGATGCAACTGGATTACCACAAGAAGGCTGTGGAAAAGCAAGTGTACGTGGTCGGTGCCTGTGGGTTCGACAGTATCCCTGCGGAAATGGGCATCATTCACATGAGAGACAACTTTGGGGGAGACCTGAATGCTGTTGAACAGTATATGCAATTCATCCACGGCCCAGAGGTGCAGAACAAAAAACTTTGATCCGCATGCTCATAATTTATTCCTCGGAAGTTCCCTCGTCGCAGTAATTCACTTTTCTGCCAGAATCGTGAAAATGTTCCTTGAAACAAAAAAACCAGTGTTAATTTAATCTTTTAATTTGACAGTCTTGTTTTCCTGTGTTACCTTGGGAAATTTCTGTTGGAATCGAAAGAATCAGACGTAATATGCGGTCGGGAAAGAATTTCTCATGACGCTATTCTGAAGAATAAAAACGAAATAATTTTGCTTAAGCATTCTTAAATCAGTACACTAGTACTTTATACATTATTATCCGTTCCTCGAAATATTCAGAAATGAGGTTGGAAGGACAGATTTAATTCCAGAAATTATTATTTTCCATAATGCTATACAGTAATCACTTGTGAAGGTAACCTTATCTTGTGTGTCTTTCTTCTGCCTCAATACAGGTATTAATATTTTAATTCTAGCGCTGGGTTTTCAGTCATGTATTTGTAATGTCACGTTAGAAATGATTCTAGTAAGAACTTAACGTTCATCTTGTTTTGCGTAAATTTCTCCTGCTGAAAATGTTTAAATTCTGTTGTTGGCGCATTGTTTTCTTGAGTCTTCCAAAAATTCCCCAATAATGAGCAAGACTGTATTTTGCATCTAGTTTGTCTGGAAATTGACAGAAACTGTCGATTTTCTCAGGGATACGTGGTGAATTCGGGAACATGGAAGTCTGCAGTTTACGGATTTGCACACGCCAGTGAAGTGCACGAGATCCGCAGGAAATTATTTCCGAATAAACTCCCCACTCCGTCGCACAAACTGAAACTCAAGTGAGTGGCAAAATTTGTCCTTTCTTTTCATTATGAAATGTCCTCTGTGGCAAGCGTGTCTTTAGTTTGGGATAGATGTCACTTCCACTTGTGTGTTTTTTCAGGTCTATACCGCATAAGGACCCGGTGAGAGGCAAGTGGAGCATTTCATTCCCGGGCTCTGATCGAACTGTGATCATGAGAAGCCAGAGACACTTTTACGAAACCTACGGAGACAAGCCAGTGCAGATTGGATCGTATTTCTCCTTCACGTCTCTCATGGCTTTTCTGGGCACGATGATGGTCGGCGCGGTGTTTGGCATCCTTGCGAAGATTCCCTTCACCAGAGATTTCCTGGCCAATGTTCGTAATGTTATCTCTGAAAACTGGGATATTTGAGTTTTTGATCCTTTTCATCGTGATTGATTCTGTTTTTTTACTTGCAGCACCCAAAATTATTTTCCTTTGGCGTGTTTTCGGACGAAGGCCCCACCAAGGCACAGGTTGGTTGAGTTTCTGGTTGTCCAAAACGCGATATTTGTGAATAACAGCATATTTGAACAGTTTAATTCGACCTTCCACAGTTTGATGGTCGAATTTGCAGGGAGGTTGAGTTGCAATTCAACCCGTGCCCTGCAATTCGACCTGGTTTGGCCATTTTTTGCGTCTTTCAATTTATATCTTGAAATTTCATGGTGTGTCTCGCAATTTGACCCTAGTCCAGCAATGGATACCTAGCAATTTGACCCTAGTCCAACAATGGATTAGGGTCAAATTGCGAGGTGTCACCTGTACCTTAATCCATCCTGTTGAATTCGCCTTGAAGTTTATTCAATTATTTTTTTGATGACCTCTAGATTGAGAGTTTCACTGGTCGAGCAAGAATGGCAATATTATTTTTATCCACTTTTCCTCTGAGAAAGTTATCTGATCTGAAGATAGGAGGATATTTCTGTACTGTGTACAGTAGTTGTCCAATTTGACGCGTATTTGACTGATTTTCTATTTCAGATCGATGGAGCACGTTTCTCTGAAATTTTGATTGGCTCTGGCTGGGATGAGAAAGTTGCAAAGGACGATGTTCATCAAGGTGCCCCCACAAAGAAGAAGGTTTTGGAGGCGAGTTCAAAAAATTCTGTGAATCGTTTTTTTTAATTTTTCGGAAATATGTTTGTAACAAATTAGAACATAGGAGAATTTCGTTAATTATAAAGTCATGTTTTTAAAGAATAATTTTCACTGTGCTAGCTATACAATGTAAGCACAGCTTTTTGGATCTTAGCTGGGGAGTTTTGTATGAAATTGAAGCGGTTCGTTGAATCTGAATTAATTTTCTGTAAGATCTCACTGTAAAGAAACCTTCCTCCTTCGACCGATTCATGGGATGGGTAAGGATGAAAAATTTATTTTAATGAAGTAATTCGGTGGGGTAAAACATTGATTTCTTGATTCAGTTAAACTTTTCGAGATGGTGAGTCACCACATCATACTGTATTTCCCCTAATAGCATCTTTTCCATTACCAATGGTAAATATCGGCTGCGTTCTTTTTTCCGGAAAAGCTGAAGGTAGCTTGGATTTTATTCTAGGTCGCTGGACCTGATCCCGGCTATGTTGGAACTTCGATTTGCTTGATCCAGTCAGCACTTGCCATTTTGAAAGAGAAGGACAAGATGCCCTCGCAGTAAGTTGAGAAGGAATGCATTTCAAGTTTTCAAATTCCACCGATGCTTTGATTTCCCTGAACTATTGTGTTATGATTTTCAGGGGTGGCGTTTACCCACCAGGAGCAGCTTTCGAAAAAACTTCGATTATTGAAGGATTGCAGAAACGTGGGGTTACATTCAAGTTCATGTAAAAAGCAATGGTCCAGCTTCAGGAGGAAAATGCTGTTGGATGCGAACGAACAATCAATCATTCCGCTACGATCCTGAAGAAAACTTCGTGCAACTTTAACCCTGCTGCTAGATTTATTGGCTTTCCTGGTGGGTGTGATTTATTGAGCATTATGCTGAGGCCATCATTCGTGCTATGGTTGTTTCCTGTGGTCACCAAAATGCGAAATGAACATTCTTTAAACCCTTACACATTCATTTTATTGCAAATATTGTAGTTTCACGTATTGTATATGAGGATACATTCCAAGTTAGATGTATAGTGCAGCCAAAATGCATGGGCAGGTGACTGAATAACACTTGCAAATTTCAAATGCCATTAGCACAAGTAGCAATGTTTAACCCTGAAAAGAGGAAAAAAGTAGAAAACAAAACCAGACATTTGCTGTGATGGACGTTCCTTCTTTAATGTCTCCTGGCAAATCATGGCAGACACTTGTTCCAATGAATACAACCTCTTCAACAGTCACGAGGCACTTGGCTAACAATTAATTCTTCACTGTGATTCACTTGAAAAAAATTGAGCTACTCCTTCATGCGCATAAAAAAAAATATGTCACCAATGGAAGATCTCGAGTACATCTTGAGCTGGTGCCCTAAGCCAGCGTGGCACTTCTAAATTAAGAATTTCATCCAAATATCACAAATCAGATCCGGAATGTCAACATTTCCCTGGACGGAAGAGATTCAGTCAACAACAAATGGATTGTCCTTCAATTTCAATTACTGTACAAACAAACAAAGAATGCATGTACAGTACAGCTAAACTCTCCTCCTCGCATAGTACCTACTAACATTTCTCACATCTTCAATATCCAACAGATTTCCTTCAACAACCACAACTCAAAAGCTGAGTTTCTCCCTCTAGCACCAAAGAAGAAAAATCCAACTGATGTCCCGTAAAAGAAAAAAAAAGTGACAAAAAATGGGGAAATGTTCAAAAATCACAACGTCACCGTTAATGAGATCATGAGCCTCCTTCGCAATGGTTCTTTGCCAAGCACGTCATTCCTCACTGATTGTGCTGAGAGAACACTTTGAAACCCTTGCTCCAGCTGCTAGTGAGTCTGCTGGACGCCTTTCGCAAAGCATTGGCAGACTTTCTCGAATCCTTCCCACCTGCGGAACCTCCTCCTCCATGCACCTCATCATCGCCGACATTCCCATTCCCCAGAACGCAACCGGCAGTGATGGTGGTGCTGCCTGTGCTGTAGCTTTTCTCACTCACGTCCGAACTCTTGTTGCCGCCGCCGGGGTTGTTAGAATTGCCGCCACCACCGATAACCTTGTCCAAATACTTGGCAATCTCGCTGGCTTGCGACGCATTCAACTTGGCATTCGCAGGCAACGCGTCAATCTCATCCTCATACGCCGGATTAAACACCGCCAACGACGGCACGTGAAAATCCGCCTTGGTCTTCGGAAGCAGCAACTCGCCAGACAAGTCGTGTAGCGTGCTGCTCGCATTCGCCGCAACCACCGTCGCCACCGATCGCGTGGAACTGTCTCCCGACTTGCGGGGTTGCCGCATTTCCGGCTTGGGATTCGTCAGGTTGCTGGAATAATTCGAGTCCGTCATGGACCGGCCGTCGCCTTCGTCCCGTCGGGAAATGTCAATGGCGGAAGATGGCGACGCCTTGCTCGTCGTGGTGGAATGCATGTGGTTCCACGTGGACGTCGTCGACAACATGGGGTAAGCTTGCACGTGGTGCTCCTTCGTGTCCAGCTTCAGCATTTCCATATCTGACACGGCGCCGTCTACGATCGACGAGATGTCCATACCGGGGAAGAGTTGAGAGTCAGGCGGCGACAGGAGCGACACCTTCGGATCCGACTCCGTAAGCAACAGCTTCGACAAGGGCGGCGCCATGCTGATTCCAACCTGTGGAAAGTTTTTTTTTTCATTTTTGTTCGAATGCGCCAAAGAAAAAGCCGAAATAATCGCGCGAATACGAGACGCCTTCACTTTTCAAGAGGACCGATTTTTAATTGAATCCGCACGATTACAATGTACAGTACTGCATGGCAATCATGAAATAAACGAAGGATAGATCAGAAAAAAGCTATCGATTAATTTAATTTAATTTTCTTCAAGTTAAAATACTCAACAATTTGTAACATAGGCGGATTCTCTTCTCGCTTACAAGAGGATAATTTCTTAGATTGAAAAAAAGATTCCAATAAAAAAGCAGTTCCATCTTGAATTTGAAGGGTGACCTAAAATGTTCATCGGATATTTCAGTACAGTAGTTAAAGTACAGTAGTTAAAATTCGGGGCTGAAATTGACGGAACGAAGATCGTAGCAAATTCTATTCTTGTTCGATTTTTTTTTAGATTCCACGATGATTTGGATGATTCCTACTTTGCCCCATAAACATTCTCAACCAAAGAAGTCAAGAACTACTCATTAATCTAAAATTTTGAACGTGAATTATGTAACAAAAAATACACGGTGCCTTTGCGCAAAGTTAAACGAAGGGGAAAATACATCGGGCTCGTGTACAAATACTGTAGTCGAAATCATCAACATACCTTGCGGTTCTCCTGATACACGCTGTGCATGGAGAACTCCCAATTCAGACGACTCATCTGCGTCGCGATAATCTGGTCCTGGATACTCTTCTTCTGCTTCCCATGATGATCTTCCCGGTCCGAGTCCTCGTGAAGTCGACCGACAGCGTTCTTCGTCGTCTTCGGTCTGGCGCCCGTCGCCGCGTGCGACGACGAAACCGTCTGCTGCGGCGGTGGCGCCATGACGCTTTCCAGCGCACGGTCCAAGGATTTGTCCCTCGCGCGCAGTGACCTCGTGTCACTATCCACCACTCGCATCGTCCGCACGCTCAGCCGCTCCGAAGTGTCGTGATTGGAGGCTCCAACTGTCCGCCATCCCGAAGTCGCCGCTGGTTGATGTGGGTTCTTCATAAAACGGTGCGTTTGTTGTTGTTGCTGCTGCTGTTGCTGTTGTTGTAGTTGTAGCTGCTGCTGTTGTTGTTGTTGTTGTTGTTGTTGCTGCTGCTGCCGAGGCTTTTGCGCGACGCGGCGGACGGTTCCTTGCCCCTCCCAATCGGTGACGGAGCTGGCACTGCTGGAGCTGTCCCGCTGGCCCAGTGAGCCGACATCGTGGTGTGACAGAGGTAACGTGCGAGACTTGGGTGTCGGTCGTAGAGGAGTAGTCGAAAGCGTGCTTGTACTTGGCCCAGATGGTCTCCCGTGCAAAGTGTTAGGGTAAGAGCGGGGACCCGAAGACCCGTGGAGCAAGAACCTGCGCAAAACATGAAAATTTCACACTGAAATTATCAAGCCTTCGTAAAATATAATCCCAAGCCTAGTCGGAAAGCTGAAACCTCAACACCTCTCAAGTCCTTCTGAAACAAAAAAAACCCTCCACCTTTGTTTTCCGGAATGCGAGAAAAACAAGTCACAAAATATTCTAAAACTTTAAAATGACTGTTCATGGCTAAACCATATACTGTATATTTCGAAATGATGAATTACAGTTGAGCTTTGATATAACTCAAAACCACTCCAATTCGAATATCTTTCCATATTGAATTTTTTCAATCCCCTGCGTGACTTCACTTGAAGCAGTTCACTAAAAATCTCCCAAACTCGAAGGCTTCCCCCTTCAAACCTCTAAAACTCAGAATTTCCGGATAAATTCTGGCTATTATTATATCTACACATAAAATATGAACAAGAAAAATGTACCTCGATGTTGTTTTCAAATTGGGCAAATGAGCCCTTGCCTCCAAGTTGAGCATTATGTCAATATACTAGGCCTTAAATTGCTTCTGAAGTGAGTCATCAATTACAATTCCCTTCAATTCTTCATCATTTCCCTCAATCAAAATAGCTAATTTCCCCAACTCAAAACGTCCCCTGCTGGAATTATTTCGTTGGTCTTTTCAAATTTGACTTGGAGAGGTTCGACTGGATTGCTTTTCTTTTTGTTTACCTCGCTGGATCCATGATTGGACTGGGGGTGAAATTGGCATCACTCTCGCTTCTCTTGCCGCCACTGCTCGTCTCTCCAACACCAGCTTGTCGTCCATCAGGTTCCCCACGGTTCTTCACGTACGACGAAAAGGCCCCGTGTCCCATCAAGGGCATCCCTGCACTGGCTGCACCTGAAAATAACAAGAGAAGCGTCAAACCCATTAATTTTTACAAGAGCGAAACGGAATATGCAACAGTCAAGCATTTTGTGAAATAAATGAATAAAATACTGTTCTCACCAATGAACGACTGTGGCTGAGGTGCAGCACCACGAGTAGGCAGCCCGGCCTGGGCCACCAGCGGAGTCATGTAACCCATCATGCTCAATGCAGCGGGTGGAAAAGGATGATTGGGTTGGTGGAGGTGCATGTGCGCCACTGGCGCCACCAACGGCATGCCAGGTGGTGGTGGTGGAGTGACACTCACTTGTTCCTCGTCGTCCATGCAACCCTCGCCGTCACTCATCTCGTTGCCAGACATGTTCGAATCCAGGCTGCACATACTGCTCGAATCGTCCAAACTCAAACTCTTTGGCGCTTCTTGAGTATCTGAATTCACGAGACAGCGCAAATGATAAGTTTGTTGACCAAGTTGGACAGACATTTTAGAAAAGAAATACGAGGCGTAATCAAAAAGACATGTGAGCACACAACTCAAGAACAAACCACACCACTTACCGAACAATGCGAGGAGCGCCTGAAGTGCGAACTGAATGCTTCTCTTGTTCGCTTGCTTCCCAGTTTGCAGAACGACTTCGGATTTTCCAATTTCCAAAAGATCAAATCCTGTAGATAAATGCCAAAAAATACATATTTCAAGCCCTTCAACTCACGGAGAGGAATTTCGTTGGAAAGCTGTAAAGTATATTACAGTTAAGTAATTTACCACGCGAGTTACGTAGAAGAATGGTATAATTTCGCAAAACGGAAAAATCTTTTACACACACTCAAACTGTTTTCATTTTTAAACGGTACTGTAATCCGATTTTTACGCGTTCAGTGTTTTCCAATGCAATGTAGAAAAATAAACAGCTCTCCTGTAAAACTTATCATTAAGCAAAATAGAATCCTCTAAACGTCAATTTCATTTCTTCAATCATCATGTTTAGCAGTCACAGAAGTCCTATGAGGAAGCATAAATCTTACCGATCGACGCAAACAAGTCATGACAGCCAGGCACGCGGAGCAAGTTGACTGGAACATGTACTTGAATCACAGGCCCAACTAGTGAACCCGGGTCAGAATAATCCCCGCCCACTGAAGAAGCCGAAGATGAAGGGACATTGCTGCTCATTCCATTCTCCCTCAAGGCCATCTGCCCCACGGCTTCTCGCATCACAGATATTATGTCTTCGGCAGATTCCGGACTCGAAAGCAATTTGGACAATGCTCTCAACGAGTTAGGTGACAAACCTACCAGACGAAACGAAAGGTCAGCAGTTCAATGACACGTCACAGACAAGTTTTTCAATTTTTATTTCCTTTCAGAAACGACATTTTTTGCGAATATTCGTAATAAATTAGGCTCAATACTGTACTGTTCAGTACACACTTTTTATTTTCTCGAAAAAATTCAAGAAAAAATATAAGGATAGGTCCAATATTTGAAGATTTGCAGATCAAGTTCATGAGACCATGACCAAGACATACTTAAGGATGATTTTCCCGGGTAGACGATTTTTGTGGGAACATATTACATGCTTCAGATATTTGGGTAGATACGATACACTTTTATTCTACCAAAAATACTGTAGCTAACGCTTTATACATTGGGCTGAATTTTTATTTATTCTTTAAAGAATTTCGACGTTGAAACTTACCATGCAGTGCTCGGAGACTGGCACTACATCGTGTCAACTGTCCTCCAGGGTCACATTGAGGAAAAAACACAGACGTAGGAATTCCATTGGCAGGTGGTTCAAATCGGAATCCGACCGAAATCAGCAGATCTTTCCAGCCCACAACGCCTTCTCCAACCTTTTTCTCAATCGAGGATTGAGTGGTGTACATGGCATTGCGATAGCCTTTGATTATCCTTTGCAAGGATTTCTCCACCTATAAAATAATAAATGATGAAAATTGAAGCTCTCCGACGTTTTAAAACAAGGGAAAATATACCACAGCCAAGCAATGAACATTCTTTCACGTGCAGTAAAAAATATGGAGCTCAACAAGAAGATTATGCCAGAAGGCAGTTTTCAAAAATTTTATATTTTCAATGAAGGATGAAAGCGATTCGAGAATTTGTTATGTTGTAACTAATTTCAACTAATTTTGTTGAGACTGTCCATAAGCAGTCGTAATCATCGGAAATCCGACATTATTAATTGAAATTAAAATCGCGATTCATCATTATGTCATTTCGATTGACACTCGAAGATCTGATTTGTGGGAAACGATGAGATTGCATAACAGTTCAACGGAAAGAAAAATCCGCCGGGAACTTACCAAATGCAGAGTAACCTTGATTGCTTCTCTGCACTTGTCGGGATAAGCCAGCAGTTGGCATAAAGCCTGGCCCATCAAAGCAACCTTGTTTGTCAGTTTCACATCTGTTCCAATGATCACAAACCCTGCCCAGTTGGCCGGATGCGCGAAGTGCTTCGTATGATGCACCGTTCTCATAGCATCACTCAGAGCCCTGCTCACTCTTGCTCCCTGTGAATACGTGAAGAAAAAAAACCGATTAGCTTGGAAAAGGATCATCGCAAAAAATGTCAATTTGTACGAATTACTTTCAAATCCGCACAAAAATGTAGAGCGAAAATAGGACAATAAAATTTCAAAACGTTCCGCATTCGGCATATGCACGAAAAAGATCAGTCTTCAGAATTGCATGCACCAGTAACAGAAACCTCAACAGATTCGACAATAAAAACGTGTAAACGAATTTTTTGCGCCTACTTACTTCAGACATTCAATTCTTCATTTTTAACTTAACTACATTTGGCAATGTTCACATTCCCTCAAGTTGAGGTTTCATCAAAATGGTCAAATTATTCTTTTATTTAAACTAACGAAGTTTGAAAAATCCGTGAGTAACCCTGAACTCATTGAATTCCTGGGAAAAATAAATAAAAACAAAATAGGTAATAAGAATAAAAATTAGAGAATATTAAAATTACGCGACATGAAAGCAACGAAAATGCAATGAAGGAAAATATCAGCAGATCTGATTTTCTGTTACACGACATGATACAGAGTCATAAAAAATAATAAATTGACCGGGCGTCGCTCAAACTAATACATGACCAGGACCTCCCACAGATCAGCTAGAATATCTTACCTGCAGCAGAGATGAATAGAAAGTTCGAAACAGGATCTTGACAGGGGTGTCGGGTACGGGCCAAAGCGCGAGCAGAACGCACTGCGCACCTGCTACCAACAACGCTCTCACCACACCCATCATGCCTTCCGTAGTGACACTGTGATTGGCTTCCGCATCGCAAGTCATTCCTTCTTGCTCTTCTGCACTCATGTTGGCCTGAACGCCTTGGTAACGAGTGTGACAAGAACTCACCTAAAGCAAAATATGTAATGGAAATTCTTCAAGAGAAGTACCTTTCGAGGACACCAGGATTAATAGAAAAGCGTTCAAGAATCGGGTCAAAAAGATGTGAAACACGTACATTTTATTGAACATGCTAGGAAATCAGGTTTCCCAATACTGGATCTCCAGTCCCTTATTCACTGAACAGGTGTACTCTCTAAAAATTTTCTTCATCGAATGAAAATCTTTCTGCCCATAGGTTCTCTTCTCCTCTCATGCTATTGGAGTTCTCTACACAAAATCAAATCGAGTCTCTTGAATTTTGTTGGCGAGAGAGTCCACCTGAATTTTTAGTATGAGGAATGACACGTAGCGGTGCTTCACCGCAGCATCAACAGCTCTGAGTAGGTCACAGACCGAATATATTCGCCAGCTCAAAATTTAAGGAAATCCTTCACGATTATGAATTGAAATGATCGAGAAAAGAATCTCACCACAACGAGCTTTGCGGAGAGTTTTAGCTGCAAAATATCGGCAGGGCTCAGTAAACAGTCAGCCATCGCATTCGGTCCCAGTGCGGCGTGATGTTCTTCATCGTCCTGCATCTGTTTTTGCGAAGACGGAGAGTCCAAGAATTCGCCAGGCGTCAGAGCAATTGCGGAAAATTTCCAAGACAAATGCGTCGCCAGATGAATACACTCCGCGTCACCCAATCGCTTCAGAACGGCTTCTTTCGTCGCTCGAGCTCCAGTCAGCGCTTCTGTTTGAAGCATCTCAGCAACAATATTGGCTTCCTATCAACGAACAGAGAAGGTTCAGTAAATATTTCTCCGATAGAAAAAAAAAAGTTCGCGATCCAATTTTCCGAAGATCAAGGACTGAAAACGCAGAAGTTTCATGCATCTGTGATTCTCAAAACATCATTCACTATTTTCTTCATACCAATACTTCTTTCAACGTACTGACGCTGTTTAATATACTGTGATCCCAAAGTATTTTTATGGGAGACGCTGCGTATGCAGGCTCCCTGGTATTTCCGTGTGTTTTTCTCGTCTCTAAAAAGGGGCTTTACCAAACTTTGTATTTGCTTGAGTTTTGGGGCCAGCAATGGAGGGCATTGCTGTCCGCCTAAGTGTGTGTGTGTTACTTCTTCTGACCAGTCAGCCTAGCTGACCACCGCGACTCTTTAACTTGGTGTGTCTCTCTGCTTTCGTCAGCATTTGTGCCCGAGCACTCGCGACTGGTTGTTGTTGTGCGCTGTCAATAAAAGCTTATTGCCTCTCTACGTGAGATCCTGGTAGCTATTTTATTTGGACTAACTAAAAATCCTTCTGGCCCGCAAAGTACGCGGAAGACATCAATTAAGAAACCAGGATAGAATTTGTTATCTAAAAGTATCGAGGTTGGTAACGAACTTGCTATTAGACATAATAGTAAGTATTCATTTAAAACTCACCGAACTTTAATAATTCTAGGGAAATTGGATAACAATACATTCACAGCAATTAAATTATATGCCCACAATTGCAAAGGTGGGTTTTTAAAATTTTGTTTCAGTATTATTCAAAATGAGAACAAGAAAAATCAAACTATTTTATTCAAATTACAGTAATTGTTGATCAAGTTTTTCATCAAATTTGTTCAACTAAATTAAATGACATTTCGAATTTCTCGAGGATTCACAGAGTAGTTTCAATTTTGGAACTAATTTCTTCTTTGGTTAAATCCGCGTGAAATTCAAGCTAACAAAATTAGAACCCCCATTCATGCGATCACGACAGATACCTGCAACCATGAACTTACCGAAATAAATTTAATTGGACATTCGTTCGAGTTTAAATTCTTTTTGTTTTCATCAGTTGCACATCCGAAAATACGGGTATCGTACGGAAGTGCCAGTTGGTCTCAAATTTTCTAGGACACCCCGAGGCATCAAGACTGGCTTCAACAATAGGAGGAATTGTTCTTGAAAACTCACCTGTTCCGCGTACGGAATGTCGTGCCAACCGAAGCGATCGGCAAGCTGCGACGGTAACCGGGGATTTCCGACAACCAGGGCATTATTGATCTCCGACGACGGCTTCGAATGACGAGACCTTTGTCCGAGACGAAGTGCCGTCAAACACGGCACAGAAATGAGGCTGAATCTTTCGCACAGGTATTCCGTCGTGGCCAATCCGCCTGTTTCAAAAGCGAACAAAAAACCAATTACTGAATTACCGCGTACTTCAATAAAAAATTATGAACTCCACAACGAAGAAACTCGGAAATAACGCTGGAGGAAAGATGGGTCTCAGATTTCCGCAAGTAGTCAAGCATTAAAAAAAAACATTTCAAGCAAAAAAAAAAGGACGTACAGATCATCAACATGATTCCAAAGAATTGTCGGGATCATTTCCCGTCTTCTAATTTTTTTATTCTATTTCCGCACACGTGGATTAGCAATTCTGTGATGATTTTTTCCTTCTGAAAGGTCTCAACGCGAAAAAGTCTAAAAATATTGATCAAAACCTTCAAATGATGCTTAAGGATTCAACATTTTTTGAAAGTACTGTGCCTGTATTATCGAAGGCGCTTCAAAGGCAATCTCAAATTCGAAGAAAATAGTCCGAACTCAGAAATTGTTGACCAACTGAATTTTTGATGTTGTAAAAATTAGCATGAAAAATTCATGAATTGCGGTTCACTTTTTCTCGCACGGAATTACACGGGATATATCTTCAAGACTGCAGGTTCTTCAAACGAAAAAGTTTCATTCTTGAAAATTGCTACATTCTTTGCATGAAACAAAATTCAGAAAAAGTAATTACACCTGAACAGCTGCATAACAAAAACTACGCTGTCCGAAAAAGACGTCAAGATGCACAACTTTCAGTAGTTTTTCGCGAATCGTCAAATGTAGCGGGGAAAAGTTTCAACAAAACGCACTCAGAATTCTCTTAGACTGAATAAATTATGAATGCCTGCACGAATGTCTCAGTTTCTCGTGATTTTACTGCAATTAACTTTTGCAGCATTTCTGATTCTCAGATGTTCATCAGTTTCCTTCCCCGATCTAAATGAAGAAACCGTGAACAGAGAGCCTTTCAGGCCTGAAAATGATTCTGCAGTTGAAGCCAATTCAGAAACAGGAAAATCAGATCCAGCAAGAAAGACCCTGTGTTCGGAGCTCAAAAGTAGAAAGTCGATTTCTCTCTGTGAGCAAGGATCATCTAAAATTTTTCAACAGGGTTTTTTGTTGTATTTATTTTTCGTTGAAGTTTGCTACAACTGCGGGACACATGCGGATCCAACCGACGAGGATCTCATTGATGGGAGGCCTTTGCCGTGCGAGTTCGATTTGGGATTCCTTCAACATTGCATACCAGGCGAAATCTGCAGTATGAGACTCTTCCAAGGTACAAATTAGCTTCCACAAAAACGTTGTTTTCACAAAATACGCGAGAAATATACAGCACTTCAGAAATTGTTGAGTGAGCTCCGGGCCCCGTGTTTTAGCAGGATATGAGGGGTCTAACAAATATTCTCGGAATAGAAATTGGATGATTGTTCAGAAAAAGCATTCTTTGGCACAAGACAAAAATTCAGCCCTGTTGGGCAGATCTTCCAGAATTTTTTTTTTTTTACATTCACTCTGGCAGCTGTCTACTATTCACTCATGAAATGAGGCACCGATCTTGCAGATTCCAGGTCTTCCACCGTAATTCACCCATTTTTATCAACAGCCGCCTTCACATTATCATCCGAAGTGGCGACGAATGCTAAAACTGGCAGAATAATCCTGGAAGACCTGGACGCAAACCTTGAAATTAATGCCATGTCAATTTCAAAAATTCTCAAGGAGACGCTGGGTTACGCCGAAAAAAAAAATCCGCAGGGTAGGTGCCTCACCTCTTGAGTGAAGAGCCGACATCTGCCAGGGTGACTTGCAAACATTTTCCAAAAAATACGTCGAACTCTTGGTTATTTTTTTCTTTTCCCGAGGAATTTTTTTTTTAATCTATATTCCGGGAACTTTTTTATACCCGACGTACATGTACAGGCGACACCTGCGAGATACATACTGAACTGTTAACCCAACAAAAAAGTGTAGAACATACCATAATCTCACCTCCCAGAAAGGCAGAACAATGATCAAATATTAAATGGGAATTTCCATGGGTGGGTCACGAATTCCTGCAGTTTTCTCTTTCTCAGTTGCAAAATGAAAGAAGGGATAGTTCTAGTGTGTGGAGGTGAAAACGAGTATGAGCTGCCCGGTTCAGGATAAAATTCCACTTTTAACTGAACAAAATTTTCTCTGCTGTTTGAAATGCTTTCACTGGATGCATTTCACTTCACATTTCGTGATGAAGGTGGACTGTTCCTAAAACGAAATCCAGGTGACCAAAAAAAATTCATTGCAGCGAGAATTTTGTCGGAGAGAACCCTGAAGACGAAAAAATCGTCGATTTCACCTGAATGCACGAAATTTAAAAAGAAGGAATTAGCTACCGATTGCCTCAATTTATTCTTGATTCCTTCCTGTGCATGGGAAAGGTCGGGTGGTTCACCGCGGGTGCCACTTGAAACACGTTGATTTTCACGCAACACCAATAACCAGAACCACGATGCGAAACTTGGACGGCCACTGTCATAGGAGCAAACATTCCAGTCGGTCTTCCGATATAGCGGGGATTTACAATTGCGACTGTAATTGCGATCGCTGCAACAACTATGTGTTCGGGAGACTGGAAATGGACATTTTTTCGTCATCACCCCGGTTCCGGAAAAAGATTTTATCCGCTGACGCGTTTCGTTTTGCTGTTTTCCCGTTTTTCTTACAAAAATTGAATAGATTCCAATATACTGTCTCTATTTGAAACAATATTTTTCATTCAAATAATTTTGGAATGAAATGCACACCATTAAAAAATTGAATACTCCAATAAATCCTGAAACCGACATCAGACATATAATCGCATCATTAGTTGAAGAAAAGCGGGGAATAATTTGTGGTATGTCTGACGTTAGTTTTACTGATCTCATAAACGCAAATCAATTCGCAATAATTTTCAGAGGTTCCAGAGATCCTCTCAAGTAGATTTCTGACATCATCGATTCACTTCTAAGCGCAATAATGAAAGTCCAGTTATGTTTCCCCACCCCCAAATTTCAAGAAATATTGTACAGTATCTCAAATCTCCTTCCGAGATCTCCACAAATAATCAACGGTTTGCGAGGAGCACTGACACTGCGGAAGCATCAATTCAAAAGAAAAATACTGTACTCAAAATCGGCACCTGATGAAACTTTTGAATTTTTGGAACACAGAAACAGTAGACTACAATTTCAAACAACCGGTAGAAACTTTTCTTCCAGATCACTACGCGAAATCGAAACCCAATGCGTTCGGAGTGGATTGTTTTAAATGACGTAAATAAAATAAAAATCTCACCTGCACCGCCGCCGCTGCTTCGCAGCACAGAAAACGGAACCAGAAACAAGTCGGCGTCCGGAACCAAAACAAGCTCCTGCGGCTGCGAGTTGTTGGACGGCAATTGGGCCTCAAACGGTGACACCAGCATTTCATAGAGGGCGTGGAGACACGCTGGTCCCTGCCACATCGCACCCTGATGCTGAGACCAGGTACTAGCAGACCCGCTCGCGATGCTACCATTCACACTGCCCAAGCTGAACAAGCTCGACAAGGAATAGTTGGATGAATTAAACTGATGACCGCGAAGCATTCGGAGGAAAACCGGTGGACGTTCAGACTGGTCCGCGTGTTCGTCTACTGACCAACAGTCCTCTCGGTACGCACCCATGTCCACGCCCAACGACTCTTGAACCTGTTGAAAATATCAATATCTGATGTTTTGACCCACTGAAAATAATCTTGAAATACCCTTGCGTTTGAAAGAAGGAAAAAAACGACCTGAATACCTCAGACAGTAAAAATGATTTGTACAACTATAGTTTTCAGAAAAAAAATTTTTCACGAAAGGGTCACAATTGAAACTTCTAACTTTTCTAAAAGATAAACACTTTTCATCGAAAAACGCAATCAAATCAAGAGAATTGATATTCTGTACCTCATGAGTAAATTTGCATTCTACGGGAGGCCTCACGAAATTTTCATAATGCATAATTTTCAACCATTCAATGAATCGAGATTTTATTGCAAGTTTTTCAAGGTCAAACAAATTATCATTGTCTCAACAGACGGAGTTTCTTGACCATGTTTGTTTTCAGGTCCCAGTGTTTTCGTTGTAACGAGATTCTACTGTGCAAAAATACTACGATCGTGGACAATTTACGACACCCTGGACAGAAATTTTTCAACGACCACACTTTGATGAACGAGTTAAAATTCAATGACAAACGTTACTTACCTTTTGAATATATTTGTAAAAACAGGACGATTCACCAACGGGCCACAGAAGACCATTTCCTTCCTCGACTTGGTTTTCTTCGTCGGGTTCTTCTTCCAGCGCCATGTCTCTAATGTTCACCTGCAAGGGGATTATTATCATCTTCAAAAATAATTCATTGAGCAACCTGGTAATTTGCACAAAAGAATATGTACACTTCGCAAAGGCACAAATCTACAAGTTTGCGAAGAAACTTCAAACAATTGACTTTCGAACACAGATACAAATAAGTAGATATCCACTTTATAAAAAGCACAAACACAGACCTGATGAAACTTGGTAATGCCACGGTGAGGCACGATGAGCCACGCAAAGAGATCATCTCCAATCAGGCTGAAGTATAAAACGGTAGCCTTTTGTTTATTGACCACATCCAAGATCGCATCCATCGTCAAAGGCGTGTTTTCGTCGTACTTCTGGGCTCGTGGTCCATTACCCGCACATTTGTGTAGAGTGTCGACCATGGCTCGCGTCCTACACTTCTCCGACACCACGAGACCTTCTTCATGGTTTCCCATGCTGATCAATATTCTCTGAAAAATGAATAAATATACATCAAGTAAATTACAGATGAGTTTTCATCATAGAGATCGGGGACAAAAGCATTGCCGAGAACCAAGGGAAATAGGAAAAAATCAACACTGCGTGAACCTTTCTCGCTAGAATTTACGCGAAAGAGCAGTTCAGTGACGCGTAAGGGATAGAGTATATCTTCCGAATGAATTCAAAAATACAATCAACGAGTAGTACAAACGCGTACAACTTTCGGCAGGAAAAAGTAAAACCTATTTCAATCATCAGTTCAGTTTTGAGTAAGGTAAACATTTTTTATAAATCTTCACAACTTCTTCTCTCCAGCGTCAAATAAATAATTCCAAATGCTTCAAGCAGTCTAAATTGTATTAGCTACACACGAATTCAGCTAAATGTGCACGATTGGGTTTTTCCAAAGGCAAGACAAAGTTTTTACCTGCAAGGTCTGGTAACAAGCAGTCTGTTCTTCAAACAAACTCAGTGCGTTGTCACTGCTGACTACACCAGTCTCCAACTTCGTCTTGTGCTTTGTTTTCACCAGATGGGGCCGCTGTCGCCGAATATTCTCTATAAGCTGAGCCGCCACCGTGAGTTGTCTCGCAGCTCCTTGTCGATCTCCGTGTTTCCACAAGGCGACACCCAATCGATGCCGCAGTCGAGCCTCTTCTTCCCTCGCCAAACCTGCCCCCGATTCTGCCAAACTCAGACCTTGGTGGAAATACGCGACCGACTGTCCGAAGTTCCGCATGGTCAGGTGGATTCTTCCCAACGCGCCGAAGGATTTCGTCTTGAGTTGCTTCAGGTTCATTTGCACCGATATCCTGTTGATTGAAGAGAGAAAATGTCCAAATCAAATAAAAAATCAGTTTAAAATTTTTCTGAACACACCGTACAACGAACATAGATCACAAAATCAAAACAATTCATGTCCACGAAAATATAAATTAAAAATGCGGGATTATGATAACATTTCCAATTTCTCAAGTATCCTCGCTGAAAATTTGTTTGAAAAAATTCATTCACTCACGATAAAGCTTGCTTGAAGAAAGCGAGTGACTGCTCATAGTTCTTCATGCATTCGTAGGCCGCACCGACGTTCGAGTAAGCTCTGGCTTGTCCAGAGCCGCTCCCGATTGTCTCAGAAATCCTCAAGTCGAGTTCGTGGTATTGCAATGCTGTTTGGTAGTCGCCCATGTGATGGTACACCATCCCGAGGCCAGCTGTGGCCGCAGCTTCCGCCTCTTGATCCTCAGTTTCCCTATGAACAACTCAAGATTAGCCATAAATCCAAGTTTTTACCCAAAACATACATGTGTCACCTATTTTATGCAAAAATTGTAGAAACTTCACTTCACGCAGTTTCCGAATAGATAGAATTTTTGGCAACTTGAAATTTCTTAGCTTTTTTTATTAAACAAGTTGGCGGCAGAATGCTATCTTTTTTTCTTCCAAGATTAATATACAACCTCAACCTTTGGAATACAAAGTAGAATATTCAGGAGACCGCTATGCAATGGCGAAAGCTTTTGCGACACCGCAGAAAGTGAAGATAAATCTTCCAAAAATTTGTTCATTTAGTTACGTGGATACTTCTTCATACACAATCATATGAAAAAGAGGAAACGACACTCACCTTGCAATAGACATTTGATGTTCCATACAGGAGATGGCCTGCTCATAGTTGCCCAATAAGCAATGAATTTGACCCAGGTCTCCGTAGGCGCTACCTTTGCTGCCAGGCAATAGTAATTCGTGTGAAACCACAAGCCGCTTCTCGTAGCACACCAAACTCTGGGTCAAATTTCCTAGAGATTTATGCGCTGAACCCAAAGCGCAATATGCACGCTCTTGATCTCGACTGCTCTGCATCTGTAGAAAAGAAATGGGTCATTAGAACTTTGTTCTACCAATGACTAAAACACGTGCGAAATTACGCGAAACGTAATTTTTAAATTCTCTACAACAACAAAAAACCATAAATTCGCAACGAGTTTTACCCCTTAAAGTTCCAGACCAAGAAAACTTATCCTAGATTAAATTTTCCCCTGTTTCATTATTGACATCAATCATCAGACACTTCCATGGTTCAGTCCATTGTAGAGGAAAATTTTTCCTAGTACAAAGGACAGTACTGTAAATTCAATCCGGTAATACCCTCGATTTACAAGATATAAATGATCAAATAAAGAGATGGTGATGAACGAAAAAGTATAAAAACATACAAACCTGCACGGCCAAGTCCAAGAACTGCTCCTGGCACTTAATGGCCTTTTTGTACTCTCCCAAAGCCTCGAAGCAATCTCCCAGGTTTCCCAAACAACGACCCTTGTCCAACCTAACCAGGGACGCAGGGACACGATCCAACAACGACAACTGACGCTGAAAATACTGCGTCGCGTCTTCGAAATGGCTCATGTTGAGACGCGTGATTCCGAGGTTCCCCAGCACCTGGGCTTCAACCAGCGCGTCGCCGAGATCTTTAGCACGTTCCAGTTGTTCTTCGTAGCACTTCATGGCGTTTGTGTAGTTGCCCAGGGCCATATGTACTGCTCCCAGGTTTCCGTGGGCCTTGCATTCGCTTTTCACATCATTCAACTCTTGCCATACCGTCAATTCCTGTGCAGAAACATAAAATAACGCATGTTGATTAATGCAAAAATAGCAGCTTCGGTCGTGGCGTCCCGTTAACAAGATATTTTTTCTAGCAATACCCACCACGTAACTTAACTGAAATCTCAACTTGAGACTTTTATTCGATACGTAAATGCTCATAGCGTTATACAGTAATTGAACATAAATTATTCAATCATACATCTTTTCGAATGAAACGAAGTTTCCACAGAAAAATCCCCGAACATTTCAACTCGATCAACTCAAATAAATTCGTGAATCGCTTGAACGTCAAATTTTACCCAATGCCAAAAACTCGAGGAATTTACCTGAGTGTGGAAACCCAGTGCTTTGTCATACTGGCGAAGTTGACGATGAGCGAGACCGAGGGCAGCGAAAGCCGAACCCTCCAATGACCGATCACCGCTTTGTTTCGCCAACTGTAACTGCTTCTGAAACATCTTCACAGCCTCCTCATAATTGTTCATCTTTAATAAAACGTCTCCGATATTCCCAAGAGCCCGAAATTTTCCTGCCAAGTGCTTCATCATGTGTGCAATGGCTGTTGAATTCGAAGATTATCGTCAGAAGAAATTTCCAGAACTTCGTTCCAATGGACAAACTTACCAAGAAAATACTTTTGACACTCTAGCGCCTTGTCGAAGTCAGATAAGGCCAGGTGAGCCAAACCCAGATTGCAATACGCCCTTCCCATGCTCATCCTGTCCTGCAAATCTTTGGCTAATGCCAAATCCTGCTCGTAATATCGAATAGCTTCTCTGAAATTTCCCAGACAATAATGCGCATAACCCAAAAAATGGCACGCTTTTGCTTCCCCCTGAAAAGAGACAGAAATGAAGAAATTCTTAGAGATGAATCTTGAAGTGATCACTGAACCACATCCGGCTACATAAAATTGTTTTACGGTCAATCAAAAGGCCATTTGAATTTCTTTCTCCTCGAACGAGTAACTGACACAAAAAAGATTCAATTAACCTCATCAAACAAAATATGAATCAATATGAAAAATGATTCAGGCGACCTAGCTGAGCGATGTCGGGCTAGAGTGCAATAATTATCCTAAAATGTGAGTACATCTTCTTGACCAAATTAAAATTACGAGCGATGACGCCCGACACAGCTAACTTAACGACAGATAACTTGCCTCAATATCATGCAACTCTTGCGACAACATCAGATACTGCTCATAATAGGGCACAGCCGAATCGAACTCCCGTCTGGAACTATGACAGTTTCCCAGATTGCACAACGCACACGCTTCCCCAGCAGTGTCCCGCAGTTCTCGGGCAATCCCCAAGTGGCTGAGGTAATGAAGTAGGGCCATCTCGTGCATTCCCAACGCTTGGTACGCCACCGCCAAGTTTCCATGAGTCGATGCCTCCGAACTCCGATCGTTAACCTCTTTCGATATGGTCAGTTCTTGTTTGTGATATTTTATGGCTTGCTCGTAGAAACCCATCGCACTGAAAAAATTTCAGAGGACCGTCAGAAATATAGCGAACAATTTTCTAAAATTTCGAATATCTTTACTACGAACAAATAAAACAATGACTGAATGTCGAAAATTGAACGAATCATCCAAGTTTACGCTTCCAATCGACCTGTACAAATATCAGGAGAAATAATAGCACGTCACCAGTTGAAAATCGTACTTTCTCAAAAATGAACGTAAAAAAAAAACTCAATGCAGAGAACGGATCAACGTAAGTAAATTAAATACGTGTTAAAAATTGTCTTAAAATCTTACACGAAAAGCTCCGAATACTGATCAGAACAGAAAACTAATTCGCACCTAAGCTACTAAAAAATTGAATTCATCTTCTAGATTATAAAATTTCGTTATCCAGTGTGTATAAGCCAGTCTCTGCAGATACGCTTGAATCAAGACACTTCTTCGTTAAAACAAAAAAGTCTAATTTCTTACGAAAAAAAAAGAAATATGCGTGGCCTTTCTTCGAAAAGCGCGAATACACTTATCAATTCCAACGGGAACCTCATCTTGAACATGTGATTCAACGATAACCTATACTTGGCGTATTATAATGCCGAAAAAAAAATAAATAAAAGCAGGAAGTACACTAACCTGTAAGCATTACCAATATTGCCATATGCTCTACCCATACCGGCCCGATCGCCGAGTCCCTTGGCAATATTCAAATGTGCCTGGTGAAGCTTCAAAGCAGCATCCTGATCACCCATTAATTGGTAAACTATCCCCAGGTTTGAACACGCTCGTCCTTCTCCAATCTTGTCCTTGGTACTCAAAGCCATGTCGAGTTGCCTTTCGTGCCACTTCTTCGCTTGCGCGTAATCAGCCATGCATCGGGCAGCATGACCCAAACCCGCGTACGCCCGGGCTTCAATGGCCTTATCTTTACATTCTTGAGCCAGGCGGAGGACATGATTATGATATGTTATGGCTTGCTCAAAGTTTCTCTTGTAATGATGAGACGATCCTGTTTGTGGGAGAGAACACGAAAAAATATTCAAATAAGATCCGCGTGATGCAGGATGCCAGTCATAACCGGTTTCTTCTTGTCATTAATTAAAACGAGGCGGGAACTGAGTGACGCATCAAAACTGATCGATGAATGCCCCACTCATTAGGAAAATTATTTTGTTAAATCCTGTTCCAACCCACGAATACTAATGTATTACGAGGTAACCTCCGTCTTGACGGTTTCCACACAAGGCAACAATCTGGTTGCATACACGGAAACTACCATAATAATATTGGTTCAAATGATGAAAGCAACTAAACATTGATGTAAATTTGCAGTCTCAATTTATGAACTCGAACTAAATCAAGCTTTGAAAATTAATCGAGACGGCGTGTTCCATGATTTTAAATTTCATAATACGTGACAGATTTTTCAATGTCTGACAAGGGTCGCATTAAACTAACCTGTATGAAAATGATTCAATCAAATTAAACTAACCTTTCTAAGTAAAAATTTACTCAACTTCCGTAACAGAAGGAAACAAAAACTTACAATTTATCGCGAAGATGTAATATCAAAACGATTGAATTTATGCAATGGCGAAGAAACTGATCCAGCAGAAAACTTTGAAGAAAGTCCAAATTTTTTTAATTGAAAAATATCATTCCTAATTTATTCATGCGACGTCAATACTAAAATTTCGTCCACAACGGAAAAACTAAAGAATTCGAAGTCATCCGAGATATCAAAATAAAAAACAGGATTTGATCTCGAAAGAAAAAAATGCAGATTGAAAAGGTCTGATATCGCCAAAAATAAGTGGGATAGTTGGAAACGTAGAAGAAATGGGGCTAGAAAAACTCACCTAAATTGCTGTAGGCTCGAGCCTCCTCAACCCGGTTACCAAGTTCCTTGGCAATTCGAAGGTGCTCCATATGACATTGGACGGAATTGTCGAAGTCTCCCATGGCGAGATAAACAGCGCCCACGTTGCCGATCTCGCGAGCCTCCTGCACCTTATCTCCCATTTGCTTCACCAACTGAACACATTGCTTATGCGAGGCCAATGCATTTGGGTAGTCACCCACAGCCGTGTACACGTGCCCTAATCGAAAAACCCACACAATAGTTTCAGACTTTTTTTAATCCAGTTCCGGTCTTGCGAAACTCGTTCCTTTACCAATAATTGAATATTAGATTTTACTTCTCAATTCACTCCCCAACGGTTACAACTATTCCTCATCAGAAACAAAAAGATCGTGATAACCAATTTTAAGGGCGATTGAATTTTTCACAAAGTTTAAAATCATTGCGACAAGTTCAACATTTTTTATACTGTATTTCAAAAGAAAAATATTTTTATAAAACCAGTCGAAGAAATTGTTCCGAAACATTCGACATCTCGTTAAATTTCAATCTTTCATTAAAGCAGGAAGACTGGAAAACTCGTTTTAGCAGCTCCAGTAAAATCTTCGGAGATGACAGAATATAAATAATTTTCCGCGAATAATATCCTGTGAAAACTGACCAAGAGAAGTGAGCGCCTGAGCGGCAGCTCTGGTGTCTTTGCACTTCATGGCGAGAACTAGTTGATATCGATGAGCAGTCAATGCTTCTCGGAAACATCCCTTTGAAAAATACGCGGAACCTAGGTTGCCATGAGCCCTGCATTCTCCAGCAATGTCACCAAGTGTTTTGGCAACTGCAAGATCCTGTTGCATGTAGCTGAGCGCCTGCAATGAAATGAATCAACGAAGATTAATTTGACTGCTTTAGGCATGGCATAAGGAACACAAAATTCAGGAACTGGCCAAGGACTGCAACGAAGGCACACAAAATGTATTTGCGAATAGTACGAGTCGTAAGAGAATACAATAATTCATTATTCAGACAAGGAACAAATTATCGAATCCAAAAATTGACGCCACTATCTTCGATCATAAAAATATCGAATAATTCATCTTTTATAGAAAAAACGATAAATGTTAACAAGAAAATTAATCTCCAGGACTATTATGATTGAGAATTAATTAAAAAGTTGAAATGCTGACGATCAGCAATGAACAAGGAAATTAATTTCAAATTCATTTAAAAATAATTCATCAATAATAACGCTATACCCGAAATGATGATTTCAATGATATAAGAAATATTTTCCAGAGCAAAATTTAAAAATAACAATGGCTAAAGAATTAAAAAAAAAACGAGTTCAACCCACACAACCACCATTAAAAAAAGGAAACTCACCTTGTCCAACGAATTAAGAGCCCAGTAGGAAGAAGACAAGGCGGAGAAAACGGATCCACGCAACTTGAGACTGCATGTCCCGATTCTCAGAGCAGATTCCAACACTACCACGGCCGCCTGGTAATGACCCGCAGCCAGCAGTTCTTGCCCAATCATGGATATGACAACGAACGGAGACTTTTCCAGCCGCATGGCTTTTAGTTGTCGGTACGTGGGCTCGACCGTGGCTGAAATAAAATCATTCCATGAAATATCGATGAGATTCCACGTAACAAATCAATCACGAATTCACAAAAAAACCACATCCACCTCTCCAATCGCATCAATATTGCGTTGAAGCTGCACAATATATCGAATCAAAACTGATATTACCTTGAAGAGGTGATTTCATGGCAGCTTCCACAATTCCGGCAAGCAACTGCAATGATTTTGGATCCTGTGCCAAGCCAGAAGCAAAAGCAGCCAAGGCGTCCGCATGCTTACCAAGACATTGCAATGCAACCCCTTGTCGGTAATATGCCTGCGAAACAATGGGGTGAAGCGAATGAGATCGAGTCGAATGCCAAAAAAAATTTCTGGAGAACCCTTATGAAATACGAAATCGACAATGATACGTTTTACTGTACGTCATTACTGTAAAAAAGTCACAATTCATATTTAGTTCTCAGTTCAACCCAGTCATAATCGATCGTTCAAAAGACGATGTCGAACAGAATTGAAAACTTACTTTTGGCCAAGTTGGAGCTAATTCTCGTGCTTTCACAGCATCTTTCAAGGCCTGCTGATGCTGCCCCATCTTCACTAAAGCGGCGCTTCTGTTCGAGTACAAGATGTGATTCTGAGGGTCCATCTGTATTACCTGAAAATATACCGAAAAAAAAAACAAAAAAATTAACCACATCTGCGCGAACGTCGAGGTCAACAACCCTCTCCCTTAACTCAAGAAGAATGAAATTTCAAGAAAAAAAAATTATGATTCAGCGAAACTATTACGACCGTCATAAACTCACTTCCGAATAAAGCATTACTGCGGTTTTGTAGTCGCCATTCTGACACGCTTGATTCGAGAGCCGGACCTTTTCGGTAAAGTTAGGCCCTTTTGTCGAATTGGGGTCAGTGTCGGGTCCGGGCCCTCCAGCTGCCAACAGCCCCGACGACGACGTGGACCCAGATTCGACGTCCAGCTCCATCTGAAGTAATATTAAAAGATATTAACCAAAAAATAATTTAATACCCATTCAGTCACAGCGAACACAACTGTCCTGGAAAAATATCCAAAAAACAAAAAATTAAATAAGAATAAAAATTGCCACAAAAAGGAAGAAGGAAAAAATGCCACAAAATCACTGGAGGAAAAATTCGTTAGAACAAGAAGCAACCGTCGCAACCGGATGGCGCCATCAAGAAGCCAATCAGAGAAGAGAAAATCGAAGAAGCAAGACCACATGAAGTACGCGCCAGATTAAAAATTAATAAAAAGGGGTGAAAACCCAAAAGCCTGTACCCATTCCAGTGCAAGATTTCAAAGCGTTTGTATCCGAGTCGGAATTTCGAGAAGTGCCTGCTTGTGCCTTTAACCTGCTGAACTTATTGATCTCTTCTCAAAAGAATTGTTCAAAACCTGTGTTATCTTTATCTACGAAATACAGTTCGTCAATCAATCAGCCCCTAGTAAACGGGGGCAGGCCGGCAACCCGGCTGAGTGCTGTGTTTCCCTTCTTTTGTTCTTGAAATTTTCTATTCATTTTTCTTAAACTCGAACTATTGCTTTTGTGTTTCACTTCTATAAGCATTGATCCTAGCGTACTCTAATTCCCTTCTTTCTCATTCTTTGCTTTGTCCAAGGATTTAAGTCTAAGGACAAATTCTAGGACAACAACACATCATCGAAATAAAAACTGTTCACGAGCTTCAGCGCAAAACCACGAAGATCGTAAATTCCGCAGCCGAGAAATAAATACTGTACGTAGCAGTTTTAATCAAAGGTAAAGGAGCAAAAAAATGCCCAGGAATAGCTTTACATGGCTCATTGGTCTCCAACACGACCTTATTTTTTTCTGGCTTGGTACGTGTGATCGCCAATAATTCGAATTTGAATGACAGTTTCATGATCAAAACTCCTCGGCAGACATTTCCGGTTAACAATAATTCCTTCCCAACTTTTACAGCTGAAAATTCATAGAGGTTTTCACCCTTCATAATCAGCAAAAATCATTCATAGGAGATACAATAAATATTTTGCTATGAACTTAATTTTTAAAACCTTTCTCTTCCTAACCCATTCTGAAGACTAAAGATAGAAGGGAGAGCATTTACCTGCAAAATAAATCACTGGAATTACTCAGAAAGAAAGTGTTTTACTCGACATTTTTACACATAGGATTGGAACTTCCAGGTGTTTCTTCAAAGGAGCTGAAAGAAAATTATTCACATACGTCTTGAATGACAGATTTCACGATTACTTAATGCCTGCTACATCCAGCCACATACAGTATACTTATACTTCGAGAGCAAGAAAATAGTAAATAATGACACCCGATATACTTGTATAGATGCACTTACCGCGAGACGTATTCTTCCAATGAGCGCCGTGCTATCTCATTTTAGCGAAGCATTTTCCTGCGAAATATCATGAATTAGTACAGGAACAGAAAGGCTGAACAAAATCAAACCTCACCTCCGAATTGGTTGGTCTTCACGGAATCCATCGACAAAAATTTATCAAGAAAATTTAAATAAAAAATAACGCAACCGAAAAATCTGCAAAAAAGAAAATACGGATATCAGAACGCTGTTTGGAATTCGATAAGCATAAGATTAAAAGCAGACGAAAACTCGCAGCACCGGTTTTATTATGCAAGAAATCCCAACGCGACCCAGAAAAAGTTAAAAAATGGACGAATCGGAAGATACAAGACGGTTAAATTCAAATGGCGTTCCATCAATTACAATATTTCGTACCGTTAAACACATGTTAATGCAATGAACTAACGAAAACAAATAAGAAAAGTAATTAAGCATAAATCGGGAGCGTGACGAACGCGTGCTCAGTAACGAAACCGCGTTCAGCTCCAGGCAAATGACGATCCGGTGGTTTTTTTAAAGCTCCCCCAACACATACAAGAATTACCAGAACTCGGGCGGCTCAGCCTTTGTTACATTTAAAACCGTGCAGCGCTCTTTCGAATTCATAGCAAGCGTTCAGAGGGCGAAGAATCATTTTTAATATGTTCGGAATGTGTGTACACGCATCAACTTTGCTCGATCTTGCTTCGCTTTTTTTCTTCTTCTTCGTCAGTGTTTTAGAGCTCAGTACTCCTCGCCTCCTTCTTCGCCTTCGGCCGAGTCCAGACCAACTTCTTCGTAGTCTTTCTCCAGAGCAGCCATGTCTTCACGGGCCTCGGCAAATTCGCCTTCTTCCATGCCTTCGCCGACGTACCAGTGAACGAAGGCGCGCTTGGCGTACATCAGATCGAACTTGTGGTCAAGACGACCCCAGGCCTCGGCAATGGCAGTGGTGTTGGACAACATGCAGACTGCACGCGCAACTTTAGCTTGGTCCGCTCCCGGAACAACCGTTGGTGGCTGATAGTTGATTCCAACCTGAGATGTAAAAATAATTTCGTTTTACAATCATTCTCTCTGAAACATCGTGTTTAAGCGGATATAAGCATCCTTTTTCATAATTTTAGAAGCTCAGAAACTAGGGGGTACACTATACGCAAATTTATGCAATTTGCATAAATATGCCTCTTATCAATAAATCTTCCTGCTCGCGGCCCACAAAAAAAATCGAGCCTTCTTTTCTTCAGTTCTTTTTCGAATTTACGTTAAAATATCATCAGGAAATGGTCAGTTATTAGCACTTTAAGGTGCATGAGTCATTAACCGATAGGAAAAGCAAGAGCGGTGTATGCATCGTTTTTCTTCCTCTGAGAAACCCTAAAAATAGTCGGAAAGTTAAGGTTCCTGGAAATTTAAAAGAACCAGGTAAGTGGGGAATTTATACTCGCCCATCGGTGGAATTTAAATTTTGAGCCTGAAAAATCCAGTGGGTGTATATAATCGAGAGAACAGTGCTTGAATCTACGTTATTTTTCGGATAGCTCTCTCAACACTGTGTAACCCCGCCCTTAATGATCGTCAGAATTCGACATAATTTCAATATGAATTAGCCCATCCGATATTCAGATCGTTCACTACTCACCTTGAAACCAGTTGGACACCAGTCGACGAACTGGATGCTCCTCTTGGTCTTGATAGCCGCAATGGCAGCATTCACGTCTTTCGGAACCACATCGCCACGGTACAACATGCAACACGCCATGTATTTTCCTAAAAAGAAAATTTCAAAATGGAGGAGCGGTCCCCTAACACGAGCATTTTACAGCAACTATGGCTATAGATTCCTTAGCCACAAAGCAATATAGTGTTTAATTTTCCAGTAAATGTTATCCTCAATAATATACAACGGAACAGAGAAGCGCTTCGATAAGCGAAGACCCAATGAAGATGCTCTCAGGGATACTAGAAGACATTCAATAACTTAACTTGTAACATTAAAAAATGAACCAAGATCCTCCAGATGACAATTACAAGGCCATTTAACACCAAATTTCAAGAAAATAGAAAACAAGAAATTTCATTTACCATGACGGGGATCGCACTTCACCATCTGGTTAACTGGTTCGAAACACGCATTCGTGATTTCAGACACAGTCAATTGCTCGTGGAACGCCTTCTCGGCCGAGATGATAGGAGCGTATGTGACCAGAGGGAAATGGATCCTCGGGTAAGGCACGAGATTTGTCTGGAACTCCGTGAGATCCACGTTCAAGGCGCCGTCAAAACGCAGAGACGCGGTAATGGACGACACGACCTGAGCAATCATTCGATTCAAGTTCGTGTAGGACGGACGTTCGACGTCCAAGTTGCGGCGACATATGTCATAAATGGCTTCATTGTCGACCATGAAGGCGCAATCCGAATGTTCCAAGGTTGTATGTGTCGTCAAGATGGAATTGTAAGGCTCCACAACAGCAGTTGACACCTACACATGGATATAAAATTGTATTAAATCACGATGTCTTGCTTAGCAAATAAAAAAAAAAGGAGGAACGCGATATACACAGTGGATAATGTTTCAGCACCTGAATTAACCTGAATTACCAAAAAATGGACATGGTCTACATAACGTAATGAACAAAGTACATATAAATACTTTTCGAAAGATAACCTTTCTTCTATCATTCTTGAAAGTATGAATAACACATACTTCAAGCAAATCTACATTCAATATCTACCCACGTTATATAAGTAAAATTATTCACACGCAGCATGCGGGAGTACGACAGAGAACATTGTTCGTTAACACAAATTTCCAAAAAAATTCGCATCGTCTAAAAAAAGTTTGCATCAATCAGCAGCCTTTGTTCAGATGGACCAGCCCATCTGAACAAAGCCTGATATTTGAGACACTGGTTATCGTCCTTTTGTGTTCCTTTTTTAAAACCTTGTGAGCAAGTAACGGGTTCTGAGAAAGGAACTCTTTTCATGATTCACACATTATATGGCGGGAATTACGTTTAGCTCAGTTAATGAAGCCGATTTTACCCAGAATATGTTTTAACACTACAAAAGAATCGCAGTGAAAAGAAACGGTTTCGATCAATTCTATTCCTTTGAAATTAAGAAAATCAAAATATCCGACACAAAAGGGCATTGATTTAACTTGACCTTCTATGACTATCAGAACAGATTAAAATTGATGACATGCTGAACGAATTCTTGTTCCCGTTATAAGTTTCTACGGCGGATCAAATGCCAGAAAATCACACATTTCCTCACTCGCATTGGCACTCACATCGGAAATATTGCTATGCACCAGAAAATCGTGAAAAACCGCAAACTTCGAATAAACTCACCTGTGGGGCCGGGTAGATGGAAAACTCGAGTTTGGACTTCTTGCCATAGTCGACGGACAATCTTTCCATCAACAAAGAGGTAAATCCAGACCCAGTGCCACCGCCGAAGGAATGGAAAACCAAAAATCCTTGGAGCCCAGTGCATTGGTCAGCCAACTTTCGAACTCTGTCCAAAACGACATCCACAATTTCCTTCCCAATGGTGTAGTGACCACGGGCATAGTTATTCGCGGCATCTTCTTTTCCGGTGATCAATTGTTCCGGATGAAACAGCTGACGGTAAGTTCCCGTGCGAACCTCATCTAGAAAAATAAAATCATCAATTACACAACAGAACACGTTTCGGACACATCGAATGCGGTCTCGGAATATATTAAGCCGCGAAAAAACACCATACTGACCAAATCATTCCGAGATTCACGAAGATGAATGAAAAACTCACCCACGACGGTAGGCTCTAAATCGACGAACACTGCGCGGGGAACATGTTTGCCAGCACCCGTTTCGCTGAAAAACGTATTGAAAGAATCGTCGCCACCGCCGAGACTTTTGTCAGATGGCATTTGGCCATCGGGAAGTATGCCGTGTTCCAGACAGTACAATTCCCAGCAAGCATTGCCGATTTGAACTCCGGCTTGGCCGACGTGGATAGAAATGCACTCCCTCTGCAATGATGAATTAACAGTGAACACAACAGCAGCACGAGTCACATTGATATACTCACCATGATTGATGCTTAAATAAAAGATTTCCGAACAACTGAAAATGAAATACGCCGTCTGAACCCTGCGAACGTAAAAAAGAAGCATCTCAAACCTTATTAATTTATTCTCCATGAGAAGTTCTTCATATTTCATTAACATACAATACACATATCGCACTTCCCACTCTCGGGATTCTCTTCGCCGCAGAAACTCGATTTCACCGCTAATCATCCATTTACACGCAATTATTTAGAACTATCAACCTTTCTCGGTGGTTTTGTCCGCGGATAATATCGAACACTTCAATGCCCGTAGGGAAATCTACAAAATAGTTTGAAGTCAAGACTAACCACAACATCAAACGAGGATTCTGAATCTACGGAGGAATCACATGATGTCCTTAATCGTTCTGAAGTCAAATTATTTTGTTGACATTCTTCACTAACAAATGAATAAGGCATTTACACACACGAATCTGAATCCCGGCTGCTGCAATAAAAAAATATATATATTGGAATCAGGGTTAACTCACAGACCAAGATATCCTAATGAAGTAAGACACCTTCACTAGAACGTACGGAACAATATTCAACGACGCTAAGTTCTTGACAACTTCAAGAATTGATTCGACAACAAATTGGATACTTTACATACAGCCTCCTTCCCCGCCTATTCGACGGAAAATCGTGCAATCGAGCGACTGACCTCTCTGACAAGATGGCGACAGCCGTCTAACACGACATTACTGTGGAATGTGAAACTATATAACCTGGAGAACGCGGGCTCGTGTCCGTGCTTTAACTCCTCCCTGGCCTGCTGCTGTACTGTTTCAGGTACTACGCGGTGCTGTACGTACAGTACATGATGCATTTGAAAGGAAAGCCATCAGCTGCTTATTCTGAGGCTACACACAAAAATGCTCGAACATTTTAGAGACAAATAACGACGGGACCGTTTAAAAATGCTTCTCTGTATATTTTGCTATTCATCATGCAGAGGTACCTTATTATTGTACATCCTATAACATGGAGCGCTCTAACATGAAATATGAGGGTTCCAAGTTTAAAATGTCAACTTTACTTTGATCATGCTTGAAAAACTGGATGCTTGACAGTTTTCCTTCTATATATGATTTAGATTCTCAATTTATTGGATACGCTTATAGATATATCGATGTAAGCGTTTTTGAAGCGCGAATGAATGTGTTGAAGCGTCATTCTGAATTATTTGATTTTTTTACACGGGCTGATTTTTATCCAGTATAATACTTTGTACAGTAATATGTTTCATAATAATAATATATATCCCCTATACAGTATATATTATCACACAAATTTTAAACTCTAAATCCGATTGTACTATTCTACTATAATATTGCTTACCCTAAATTAAAAAACTCATGCATCAGCTATCGCTCCATCAGCATATATATTAAAGTGGAATGGGTTGCATTTATCGAGATGCTACTATATAAGTTATGCAAAAGTTTAATTGTCAAATGCTGAGATGAATTATCACTCCTCATAGAGTGGTGGGTGTCAATGTAAAAAGATCTGCTGTCTATACATTAGGTTTGGTGCTGATGTACATGCATGATATAAGTCACTAATGAGCACGGAATGAATACGCAAATTACGGTAAAACCTTTATTATATAAACTCCAAACGTTGGAAGTTTCCTCACGTGACCTACATGCCATGCAGTACAGTAATGTGTTATGCATTTCATCATCACAATAGCGTATTAGCGAATTACAGTACTGTACGTGGACTTTTAGCGACACCTACATATTATCTTTAAAACGCGAAACTTGGTGTTTCCGAAGCTACTGTTGCCGTATGAGCACAACCATGTGACTCTTCCTTTGTGTGAGCGGGAGCGCCGAAAAGTTCGCTTTTCGATTAGCCAAGCGGTTTGGGCTAATGTGCGTTACAGATCAAGTCGAAAGAAGAAGCATTTACGCCCTCTCCTTGATGTGTGCCTTTCAGCAGAATTCTTAGGCGAATGCTGATTATTTAGATTGTGAAACCGTTCATGAATTGGTGATCGATTTTGAGAAGTGCCGCGTTGTGTTTTTTTTTTACGTTTAACGGTTTGTTACTTTAATAGCTCGTTGGGAATGAATGGTTCGTTCCGTTGTGCATTTGAGAGAAGTGCGAAATTGATTAAGCTGTTTTTTCCGCTTGAATCGACCGTCGTGGGTGTACTGGATAGGTGACCGGTTTGTTTCAGGTTCCGTTGCTGAGATGTTCTCTTTATTAATCCTCTCTGTCCACATTCTAACTCTTCTATTATATCTCAGAAATGAAATATTCACCATGAGCATGTCGTCATTGAAATGGTCGAAACATGTTTCCTTGACGTTGATGATCTCATATATGTTTTATTATGTGTTCGGCGTGTTTCCGGGAAGTGAGCGCTTTCCCTTGTTTTCTTTTTCCTGTGATTCAACCGGTATGAAATATGAAGCTTCTTGCAGGAAAACCTGTTACCTGTCGCAGTTCAACTTAATTGGTGTCATTATTCCACGTGTTGATAATTGCTTTAGAAAATGGATACTGCTTCTGTTTCTACGATTGCTTGCAGGAGAGATGGATCGGTTGTGATTTGTGATGATGTGGAGTACACGCTTCAGGAGTCAGTGTTAACTCCTAAAGATCCCTTATTTTGGGTATTTCTTGGTTCCAGCGCTGTTCTGGTTACCCTCTCTGGTGAGTTTTTTTCTTTTCAAATGTTATGCACACTCTTTCGAGTTTTTCCTTTCTGTGTCCGAATGTGGAGAAAATTTAAAACGTTGAATGATGAGAACGCATTGGAGCAAGGGCCCGTTAAATTGTCAAATTTGTCAATATAATATGAGTACGATCAATCTGTGCACAGGGTGGACTTCGAAATGTCTGATTTTTATCATCAAAATCGTCGGAGCAGTTTACTGTGCAGTTTATAGTACTTTTGAAATTCTGTGAGGCAGAATTTAAGGTCATTCAATTTAATTTTCGTCGCATGCGTTTGGTTGAATGCGGGAATTTTTAAAATGTGTAATTGCGCCAAATATCTCTTGAAATACATTTATGATCATACTTGATGATAAATGAATACACAGACGACAGCATGTGTTCTAGGTGCATTTTGGTAGTGCTATAATTTTTCCCGCAGGAATATTCTCGGGTCTCATAATAGGAGTCCTATCCTTGGATGTGCTCAGTCTGAGGGTACTAATGGAAGCTGGTGAGACCGAGAATGAGCGTTGGGCTGCCAAGAAAATCCTGCCGTTGGCCCGTAGGCATCATTACGTTTTGGTCTCTCTTGTTATGAGCAATGCGGCGTGCAACGAAGCTTTGCCGATTTGTATGGATAAAGTTTTCACTGAGGCTGTGGCGATTGCCTTGTCCATAACCATCATCATGGTTTTTGGAGAGTTAGTGGAATTCGCAGGTGGAATTTTCAAAATTTGTATTTCAGTAAAGTTTTGTGTTGGTTTCCCAATAGGCTCATACCTCAAGCTGTTTGTGCTCGCTATGGCTTGACGATTGCTGCGAACGCGTTTCCGTGAGTTTCGACGTGTTTCCGTTATTTTAAAACTGATTTTCGTAAGATCAATAAGATTTATTCTTACCCGAGACCTGACCGAACTCCTATTTTGGACTGAAATCCAACCATATTGTCAACAAACTGTCCTGTAGAAGTAGGCCGAAAATATTGAGTGCCGCACCTCTTGTGCAGAATACTGTTATTGGCCTTTCTTGGATATCGCCGAGACGTTTGTATGCGAAATGAAACTAACTGCGAAAATCTCGAAGTTGATGTCGTTTCGTTCAAATTTTCTGCAGGCTGATAGTATTCCTGATGGTGCTGACCTTTCCCATTGCTGCTCCGTTGTCTGTGATTCTTGACTTCATACTGGGCCAAGAGCAAAACACGTTCTATGGTCGGAGGATGTTGAAAGTAAACCAAATTTGTCTTTGAAGAATTTCAATAAATGATTAGCGGAACGATCGCGAACATTTCCAGGCCCTTATTGCGCTTCACGGTCCGCGGAAAAACAAAGCGTCTAAAGCAGCTTCTACAGCAATCAAAGGACAACGAAAGAACGATGGTAGTTTTCTGGCAATATTTACTGGGAATTCCGGGTATCCTACTGTTCCTATTTTCACAACTCCTTTGTTGGCTGAAGGAGAAGTGATGATGATACAAGGTGACGGGATTTTCACGATACCCATTGTCGAACAAGTGAAGAAACCAGTTTTCGGGAAGTCAAGAGTTGTTAAATGATTCGATCGTATCTTTGGGATACTTTTTTTTTCTTTCTTATTCCCTGTAATATGTGTGAAATGTGTTTAATTTCCGATAAACTTCCGAAGTAGCACTTTGCGAAACGTGTTTTCTTCCATGTCGGGTTGACAAATGTTTGCCTCTTGTTCATTTTAGAACTTGTAACCTAACAGAACCGCTTGCGAAATGATGGGACCGTAGTTCGTTTCTTTTCTTCTTGACGTCTTATGAAATTAAATTTCTTGGATCGTGAGAAAGTTTTACATTTTTTTCGTTTATGTCTTTATTATAAAACGGTTTTTCTTTTTAATTTTTATGAGAATGTTGCATTTTTAATTTCCGAAGATCGCGGTTTTCGCTACGTACAACCTGAGCATACTCGAGAAAAATCTGTTCGAAAAAATTAATTCAAGTTTCTCGTGATTCCCGAAGGTTGTATTTCAAACCCTTGTTCTGGATTTAAAAAAAAATAATTTTCTCGATTTTTCTTCACAAATTTCATGAAAGGTGCCCTGAGTCTAAGGGAAAAAACCGTGGGAGATGCTACTATTCCCCTGGATTCTGTTTTCATGCTGGAGCTTGACGATAAACTTGACAGATTTCTTCTGGACTTGGTGAGACATCTATATTCCATACGTGTGAACACTGGATAATGGGGGATCAACTGACGTCTTGCAGATAACTTCAAAGAAATTTTCGAGAATCCCGATTTACGAGAAGACCCGAACAAACATCAAGAAAGTGTTGCTGGTTAAAACACTGCTACCGATAAACCCCGAAGAAAAGCTGACAATCAAGGGTTTGCCCAAGAGAAGTCTGATTAACGCGGATTTAATATCGGCAGATGCGTCTCAATATGACGCGTTGAATCACTTTCAGCAGGGTATCTGTCATTTGTTAATAGTGGTGGAAAGCACGTCTCGAATGACGTCGTGGTCATCAAATGATGCGTCTGAGGACTCGCCAGCTCTACGTGTCAGTAAAGGAAGGTTTCTCGTAATTCTTTACGCAGTCCTTGTGAGTCATTGTTAGAGGCAAATGAAAAACATGGCCCTTTTTTTTATACCAGCAATTTACTGGGTGACTCGATACATTCTGGGCCGATTTTGGAGAAGCAATTCAGTTGATACTCTTCGAGTCGAACTTCCAGGGATCATAAAAAAAATCGTTTGCTGATTTCAAGTTTAAAATTCGCAAAACACACATTTTGGGGGGGGGGGGGTAAGGAAAGAAGAATTACAGGACATTGTAATGCATGATATTCTGGGCCTTAAATGGATTCTTAAATTAATTTGACAGGATGCTGAACTTGGGGGCAAGGGTTAATTTGACAAAACAGTGTTTCACTTCCTTTCAAAATGCATAAAAGTACATTTTATTGCATTTCTGTTTCCTGTGTAAATAAAATAACCAAAAAGCTTCCAGGAGCTTTGAATTATCGAGGGTTGAGAGGAGGAAAACCTTCAGGTTATTGAGGTTTTTAATGCATTGTTCCTGAGGGAAAGTCAGAAACTTGAAAAATTTTAACGTGAGGAAATATTTGATGTAGGAAGGTTTAAGTTATTGCGGTTCAACTGTATTTTAATTGTTTACTTCGATAATTTAAATTTAACTTTTGCATTTCAGAAGTTTTTGCACTTCTGAAACTTTTTACTGAGTTTAATTTTTTTTATTGGAGATACGGTATTATTCGTAATACTGTATTATTATTATCAATGCGTTCGAACAGGTATTAGATTAAAGTTTTATTCATGAATTAATTTGAGCGTCATCATGAGGATTGCGGAACACTTACTGGGTAATTTATGTTTCTAGGTTCATGGAATTGTAACAATGGAGGATATTCTGGAAGAAATTCTCCAGAAGGAAATTTACGATGAGATGGACACATTAAGAACCAGGGCCAAATTGCTGACCCTCGGACGAGAGCATGACTCCAGATCCAAAGGAGCTATTGCAGTGTCCTCTGGAAAATTGAACTGATGAAGGCCTTGTCAAGTTTTTAATTCGTCGTCTTTTTTTTTTACTCAGTTATCGCCATCATGTTGGAGGTGATATGCGTCACTGGGAAGAAAGGGACAGTTATTTGTGATGATCTCGTATTCGCCAAAAGCGTTTTGATTCCACCTTCAGAGGGCTTGTTCTGGGTGTACCTGTCGATTTACGTCATTCTTGCGATCATGGCAGGTATAATTAAGAGCGCAAGAAAGTTTCTTTGGCATTTATATACTGTATTTCACTCATTCTTCACTGGTTAATGTAAGAGGGTTGTCCCACTTGGACGCAACCTTGATTATTTTTAGAGTAGGTATTACTAAGGGAAACTTTTGATACAGCCCAGTGTTTCTCAACCTTTTTGGGCCAATGGACTGGCAAATTTCTATGAATTTTTTGTGGACTGTCAAATGTTCTTAAATTTTTTTGTGGACTGGCGAAGTTCAATAAAAATTTTGCAGAGTCAAAAAAGTTTTGCTTGAAAGACTTTATGGCAGTTACAGTATTTGAAAAGTTTGTTTTTGTTGTTGCAAAAATAAAGTTCAAGAATCAATGATGCAGCTATAGCTGAATGTCTTCAAAATTATAAAGGTGACTTTAAAGGTTTCTCAGAATTAAATACTGTACTGTATTAGAATACCTGTATTGTATTTCAGCAGGTAAAACTCTTCAGAAGTATTATTTGGAGAAAAGCCAACTTTTTTCATCATTTCTATTGACATTGTCTTTCCAAATTTCAGATAGAGACAACAGACTTCATTGCGAGTTTTGATCTATTTATTATGCTGAAGAAAATTTCCCATGGGCAGGCAAAAAGCTTCTGAAGACTGGTGCAGGTCTGTAGACCACAGACTAAGGAACACTGATAGCCCATGATATTCAAAAGTTCTGGAATTTTTTGGATTAAAACACATTCAATTTACTGCATCATGATTAGCAAAAGCTTTCCAGCTACAGATTTCTCTATCCATGTCACAGGGTGCTGAAAATTTTTCAGGCCCGCTAGAAAATTTGAAATTTGTTTGTTGTTTTAAACATTACCTTTGTATATGTTTTTAAACAACCAAGACAAGGAGGTGATATGGATGATAAATATGTTTCAAAATTACCTTGAATTGATCCTGTGCAGAATTATTGTCTTTTGGGAATTTGAAGGATCCAAAATCGAAAAAAAAATGTTATCTACTGTATACTGTGTTTACCTAAACATTTGTTGCGTAAAATGTTGATGAAATTTTATCCCTGAGTAGGACAAGCACTTCATTTCAAGGGACTGAAAGACTTCAATATTTCAAATTCTAGACAAACCAGAATATGAATTATGACATCAATCAAACCTTAAATTCTATCAATTTTAAATAGTACCCATAACATTTATTCTGTTAAAATGCTTCCAAAATTTCTCAAAAAATCAAATATGATGTGCACCTGAACTACAGTAATTTTTGAAAATGTTATACCCGCCTGCAATGTGCATCCTCATTTTTTCCGCTCAATTTTCAGTGTGGCACTTGGGTTATTTATTTGAATAGGAGTTTTTTCGGGTTTAACTATCGGATTGTTATCCTTGGATGCCCTTGGGGTGCGAGTTGTGGCAGAAGGCAGCTCAAGAGAGACGGAAAGGTGGGCAGCGAAGAAGATTTATCCCTTAGTGGAAAGACATCACTATGTTCTTGCTGCGTTGGTTCTGGGTGCGTCCGTTTGCTTGGTTGGAATGCCAATGTTTATGAAAAAAATCACTGACGAGTTCACGTCCATCGTTCTATCTGTCACTCTTGTGCTGTTCCTGGGAGAGTGAGTTTGCGGGTTTTTTTGATTATTGAACGAAGTTCCCAGTTTTGATGTGTTCAAAAGCAGGATTTTCCCGCAGGCCTTGTGTTCCAGACATGGTCTCATCATTGCTGGCTACTCGTACTGGTGAGAATGGAAATATGTTCGATTTATTCCGATTTGTGATTCGCTGAATTTACTTTTGATAGACATTCTCCATTGACTATAAACCGTTCCAATGAAATTCGAATTATTTTCAGCGCTGAAATCACAAAATAATTTTTCGTGAAACCTGGTTGAATTGTAAATCATAATTCAAACTAATTACTTATGTTGGTCAGGTTCGTGCTGCTTCTGGTGATCATCTTCTCCCCAATCGTGATCCCCGTTGGGTTTTTTCTGGACAAAATTCTTGGCCATGAAAGAGATACTTTTTATGGTCGGAGGACTCTGAAGGTGAGAATCCACCACTTGTTCTATTACGTGTGTGCTTCTCAACGAGATGTACTTTTATTTTTAGGCCTTGGTAAGCTTGCATGGTCCGCAAGAAAGGCATCAAAGGAAGGTAAAGGAGGCGATCAATGATTCTGATCGCAGTCCGTCTATCATGAGTCTGGTTTACATGGCCTCTGGCATGAGTAGTAGGAGGGACTCAAGTGAAGATATTGGACCATTGGCTGAAGATGAAGTTATGTTGATTGAAGGCAAGGCATCCCGGCAAATCCATACTGTAGTTGATTACTGTATTTACTTGAGTGCAACCATCGCATTTCTCATGAAAAATGAGCTCAAAACGTGGGTTGTATATCATAATTGATTATAAAATTGTCTGCAAATTATTTACATTTTTGGTACGCATCACACATCAATAATCTACGTTCATAGAGGTTTCAGGAAATAATTTTCAGAGACTAGAATTTATAAAAGTTCTTTATTTACTTGGGTACCATGTGCCCTTGAGTAAGACACGCACCATAATTTTTCACCCTGAAACTGTTTAAAACCTATCCTTGAATACAACGCACGCCTCGATTTAGCAACTGAAAAGACACAATTTTTCAAAAATGAAGAGACACCTGAATTCAATTGATTTTTTATTATGATTTTTCCTGTCAAAATTGTTTCCAGTCAAAAATTTCGCATTACTGTGTATTCAAGTATGACGCATGTCTATACTCAAAATTTTAAAACAATTTTGAAAATGTTATCCCTGCCTATATGACATGCACCTCATTTTTCCTCTGAATTTTGATAAAAACGGTGCGTGTAGGAATTGAGTAAATATGGATTTGTACTTGGAATGAAATCAAACTGGCAGATGAAAAATGTGAAAATTTTTGAATACAAGCGTTCTTCTTAATTGCAAATTTTAGCGTTTTGTCTAAATTGCAAATTTTATTATTGTGTTAAACAGAAAAATGAGGTTTTGCTTCTTATTATTTAAAAATATATTTCTCTCAGAAATGTAAGGTGCGTGTCTTAAATGATTGTGCATGGTAATGGTGTAAGTATCGTAAGTCTCAGGTGAAATGGTTGCAAAACATTAGAACAGTCCCTTGTCTAATTTTTTGTAAAAAGTGTATTTGCTAGAAAAATTACCATTTGATGAATTTAGGTGCCTTGAGTCTCAGAGAAAAGAACGTCAGCGAGGCGATGGTTCCTGTGAACCAGGTATTTATGCTCAGCATTGATGACAAGTTGAACAGAGCAACCTTGGAACTGGTGGGTTTTTTGGGTTCTGATCATGATGAATCCATGTAACGTCTCAATCCCCGGTATTTTTCAGATAGGATTCAAAAAGTTTTCAAGAGTCCCCATCTATGATAACAACAGGACGAATATTACTAAAGTTCTATTGATCAAAACCCTGCTGCTGATAAATCCGGAAGACAAAATAGTCATTCGGAAGCTCCCGGAAAAACATATCATTCCTGCTGATCACATTGATGCGGAGCAGAAACAGTATGATGTCCTTCAGCATTTCCAGTCGGGCGTCACGGGTCATCTGGCTGTAGTAGTGAAACATTCTACAAAAGCTGATGGTTCTTTGAGTCAAGAGGTCAAATTTTTGCTTTTCACGATTATTTTATTTTCGCGAATATATAAGCACCCATGAAGATTTTTCATGCGAAAAATTAAAATTCCAATGATAAAAGCCCCCAGCCCTTACTTTCCTGGTGTTCTTGAATTTTCACAAAGCTAAAAAATCTGAATAAATTTCGGTTTACCCCAGAAAAGGGAAAAAACGGTGTTACACAACCCTTGCTCTTCCCTTCATTAAATGGCTCAAGCATCTTTAGTCCTAAAACCTGACCATTCCTTGATTATTTTTAGCATCCATTCCAAAATAACTTGAGAAAGAAGTACTTGGTTGTTTCGTGGGCTGCAAGCAAATGACCGGATATAAACGCATAAACCGTATACGCAAATTGCATAAATGCTGTATGCAAATATACAAGCACCCCGTAGTTTTTCAGCTCTAAAATTGGAGAAAGAGCTTGTACTTGCGTAAATACGGTTTGTCAGATAATATCTGAACTTTATTACAGGCTGTTGGGATAGTGACACTTGAAGATATTCTGGAGGAACTTCTGCAAGAGGAAATATATGATGAAATGGACAACATGAGAAGCATTCCGCAATCAACTTCAGCTAACGCATGAGTTGGGATCAAGGATGCACTTTTTTTATCTGCATGTGATTTTCCAATTTTTTTTGGCAGATGCACAATAAATGGCATTTGTCATCATGAATTCAATAAAATTTCAAATTTTGTTTTAAAAACTGCTTGTTATTCTTTTCTATATGCTGTATTTCTGAAATGTCCAGTTTTCAATTATTTTCAGTTTTATATACAGTATATCTGACCACTGCCATGTCCACTTGAGATACAGTTGTTAGACTGCTTCAAGTTGAATTCGAAAGGACCAAAAAAATTGCAACTGTGAAAGGTTTTGAGTTGGGGAAACTGTAGGGCTGGCGATGCTTTGGACAAGAAAACAATTTGAGTTAAGGAGGCTTGAGTACAATGGGTCTGACCATATACCATGCTTATAGACTAGTATCAAAGTGCTTATGTAGGACATATCAAAGAACCGGAAGTCCTGTTTGCAATGGTCTCTCTATATGCAGCACAGTATTTTGAGGCTGATACTTGCTCTTTAACAATTATCGCGATTTGAATCTCTTTAGTTTCCGAATAGAGGAATTTTTAATATTATGCACTTCCATTCTGAAGAGTCATCAAAATTATTTTCTAAATGTTGGAGAGTTTACGTGCTGAAAATGAAGTCCAGCTGGTATTTGACCTAAAAAGTAATTCCCCGCTCCCCATACGGCCTCCATACTGTCATACCTCAAGGGGAATGCCTTCTTAGTTGTGTTCATTTGAGCCTGCATTGTTTTTTAATCAGGTATGTAATGCTCTTGTGATTTCATTTATCAACATGGTGTGATGTGATAACACAATATATAATGTACAGTACATGGCCATCTGTGGAGCTGAAAATTTGTTTATCCTTGAAAAGTTCATTGTACTGTAGATTGTTGAATATTTCTGACTGTTGTATAGTCAGCTACACATTGTGGTTCATTTGATGAGTTAGATTTGAACAAATGTTATTGTCCTCAAAATGTTATATTTTTCTTTGTTTTCCTTCTCAAAAAATCTGAAGCATGACTTCACGAAGAATGCAATTCAATTGAGTGTGTATACATTAATGTACATTCCTCCCATTGAACACGCATATGGAAGGAAGCCGCGTTCAAGTTTCTGCAGAAGGAACTACCGCGCAAGTATAGGTTACCGGAATGCTTCCTGAGGGGAAGGGCACCGCCGCGGAATTTCCTCTCGCTTAAGTGGGATGTCCCCAAATTCAAGCCTGGCTGAGCTCAACTCACCAATCTTGGAGCTTAATTATCAAACATACTCTGCTCCAATTCTCTTGATGAAGTTCATGCTTCAGTTCTGCTTGGTGTGTGTGTTCAATGTATTTGAGTGGTACCCTTCTGGAAGCTGTCGTTTCCTACACGAACTTTCTCTCGAAAGCCGCAAATTTCGGCCGCGTGTTTTTTGCCGCAAGCAAAAAGTTTTTTCTGAAAATTCGAAATCTCCTAGCTGGTATGCATGAAGGCTATGCACCGAGATAACACAACGTTTTGGAGAATAACAATTTTTCCATTGACTTTCTTTGCAGAACAAATAAGAAAAAAAGTAATGAACGTGAGCCCTGCTTTGTTTAGGTCATATTCCAATACTCCTGAAGGGCGCAGTGTTTTCTGGATATTCGACCTTGGGTGTAAGGTCAAGCATTCAGCCTTGAAAGAAAGTTGAAATTGATAACAAATTGTGAGGAGAGTTTGATGGCAGTTGAGTTTAAACTTTCAAACGAAACTTGAATTAGTGGTGTTTCATTTGTTCTGTTCCATTTGTTTTCAGACTTTGTACCCTGAGCGTTATTTTCACATGAAGAAATAGCCATCCTCTCTCTAGTTTCGGTGCACCTTCAAAATCTGCTGGCTGCCGCAGAATTTCACGTGTCAAAATGCACGGGTTAACGGTGGCAATCACGATCATCGCGAGTATCGTAGTGCGGGAAACGCGTGCTCAAGTGAACCGGTCTCCGCAATTTCTCGCATCGGGAGATATGAGCAAATTTTCACTGCGGGAGGACACGTTAATCGGATCCGTTGTGTACACGTTGCGAGGGCTTGACCCCGAAAATCAGACGATTGAGTACAGCATTAGTGGAGATAATTTAAGTGTTAATAGATCCTCTGGTGTTGTCACTTTGATCAGACCGTTGGACCGAGAGAAAGAGGATGTGCTGAATGTCATCGTCACGATAGCTGGTGAGTGGAACATTTATATTCATTCTTGAAGGAACCATTGCTCCAGATAGCATGGTTTTGCACGTGTTTGTTTTCTCCAGACGCCGCACCTCCTGGAGTGGATCCGAATATTGTTTCGTTAAGACGTCAAGTTCAAGTCCTCGACGTAAACGACAATAAGCCAGAATTCCAGGATGTGCCTTACAGTTTCAGAGTTCCTGAAGATGCTGCTGTGGGAACTACACTTTTTCGTGGAATCCGAGTGACTGATGCCGATGCGGGCTCAAATGCGGATATTCGTCTTCTGTGTGATTCCTCAAAGGTGTGTTTTTCAATTAAAAAAAAAATTGAATTGGTCGGCTTTCCCCAGGATTTACCGTGATTTTTTTAAATGGTACTTAATTTTAGACGAATAGGTTTAAAAAACCTGAGATCTTCGAATGAAAGCATGCGTCTAATCCACTCGTGTGAAACAATTATTGCCTCTGGTCTTAATAATTTCAAGAATGAAATCTCGAAACATTATTACTGTATTTTATGAACTCGGTCAAAAGTTTCCGCAATTACTTTACAATATGAACGAAGTAAATTCAGCAAATCACTGGAGTATTTTTAAAATTGAAGAATTTTTTCATATTTTGTTTTTCCCGAACTTTCTAAAAAAATAACATCAAGTGTTGGCCGCTCCCAATGTTTTCAGCGTATGTTTTCGTGAAAAAGTGCTCTATTACGGTCTCGTCAGGACTCAATTATCTTTTTTTTTTCTTATTATGAAAATCAGGATTCTGATGCTTGCGGCGTTTTCGATGTTCGGTTGTCGCGGATTGGAGACGGAAAATTTATGGGGATTGTGCGGCTCAAAAAGAAACTTGACTACGAGTTGCGATCGTCGTACAACATCCCCTTGATTGTCGCGGACCAAGGAGCTGAGGTGCAACTTACATCTGAGATCGGAATCGTTGCAGACGTTGAAGATCTGCAAGACCAGCCTCCTGTTTTCAAGCATGCGCCTTACTCGGTTGTTGTCCCAGAAAACCTACCGCCTGTGAGTTTTGTTGGTTCAGGAAACTACATCTAAATTTCATCCCCACATTCATATTGAAAATTAATAGGGAATTAGCTACTGTACTTAGTCCGCCATAGTGCATGAATAATGAGGTGCTTGATTTTTGCTTGTAGTTCGAAGGAAAAAAATTATGTTTCATCTGCTGTGATGAGAAAAAGCACTGATCAAGTTCCATTACGTTTCCTGATTTTAAATTTCATTATTTGCTTTTCCGAACAAAAGAGCACACCAGTGCTGGAATTCAACGTACAAGACGGAGATTCGGGGAATTGGAGACCGCTGAAATTGACCATCACGTCGGATCCTCGAGGATATTTTTCACTGATGTTCGACAAGAATGAGAAGGGCGTTCATCATGCCAAATTGATAACTACTAAAAATATGATTGATCGAGAAGATCCTTCTGCTCCGGATGGGTTGTATTCTGTTCAAGTTAAAGTGAGTTTTTCGTGTGTGTGTCGTCTGTTGTGTGTGAACCGTATTTTCATTTCCCTTTTTCTTTCAGGCTACCGAAATTCGTGAAGATGGAAGTGATGGGGATTCTGCATCAACTGTGATTGACGTGATAGTGAAAGATGCTGATGATCAAATGCCCATGTTCAGTTTGAACAGAGTTGAACTCACGGTTCCGGAAAGTATTGGTTAGTATCCTCGGCTATATGTAGAGTCAGGTATAAACCTGAAGTGGCAAACAAAGAAAAATCGAAAGCGATTTTTCCCCTAAACCATGTAGTATTTCGTGAAACAGCTAACGCATACACAGGAGTACAATTTTTGTTTTCTAGATCTAGGTGTTGTGTTTCGAAGAACCCTTTTTGAAGAAAATTATTTGCCTTGCGATTCCATAATGCTGCCAAGTATTATCCCAAAATTTTCAATGCACAGCAGGTTTTGAATTTTCTTTATTTATGTATTGAAGTTGCCGAGACATTCTTTGAAGTAATAAAATAGAAGATATGACTACAATGAATGCTGATATAAAGAAATAATAGTTACAAGCCTCATTATCTAGTTTCCGGAAAATTTTTTTCTTTGGGTTTTTTTTTCATAGGAAAAATGAGGTGTTTGTTCAGTTTGAAAAAAAGACTTGAGCAAGTTCTTCCCAGTTCTGTGATTTTTGTGGCGTGCTTGAAAATTATTTTCTGCCCTTTTTGTGGCTCCGTATATGCTAATTTTTATTATTCCACAGAAAACGGCGTTGCTCTTCCTGGCCTGAACCTGCTAGTAACTGATTTGGACGAGGCAGAAAATGCGGAATTCATTTTGAAGTTCGTAAACGTGAAGAACTCCGAAGGCGTTTTCAGCGTGTTCCCAACAAGAGTTCGCGGTCGAGCCGCCGTGCAAATACACGTTTTGAACTCCGCGGCCCTTGATTACGAAGACCCCGAAAAACGGGAGTTCGAGTTCAAAATTTTCGCGGAGCCTGTGAGAAGTTTCGTTGGTAACAAAGGGGACATTCCATTTGCCTCGGTGAGGATCAAATTGTCAGATGCTAATGACAATGATCCTATGTTCGACAAGAGCGAATTTGTGATCGACGTGCAAGAAAACATCAAGGCCGGACACCAGATTGCCCAGATAAATGCGACTGATAAGGATAGTGGGGAATTCGGAAGAATCCGCTACTCTGTTCAGGTAATTTTTACTTGCTTAAAACCTGTGTATCCTTCCAAATAGCAAAGTTATTAAAAATATGAACAATTAAAGGCTGGAAATGGGCTCAAATGGTAGTTTAGATCAACGGATTTGCATTTATTTTTCTACTTAATTTGCCTGTTTACTTCTTGGAACTATTGAAAGTATGGAAGTTTGATATCTAAAATTTTTCTTACCACTTTTCTGGTTGATTATCATTTTTCTGGTGAAAAAATTTCATGGAATAATTGAGAAAACCGTGAAAATTGTATATTTTTGTGACCTTTAAACATTTTACATTTAGTTGATTACCGATTTCGACGATTTGTTTCTAGGCCCTTTCATAATGATTTTTTTTATGTACCCGAACGACACTAAAAGTCAGAATTTTCAATTCGTATATTTTTCTAAATTGAATAGGTAATTACGAAGCAAAATTCACGCAAATAATTCCAGTGATCAGTTCTTGCTTGATTTCGTTCGAGCTACCATTACGCTTTTCAAGCTACCATTACGATTTTTAAGCCTCCGAAGTTCTAGGAATTCTAATTTTCGAAGTCTGTGACGTATTTTAATTATCATATACAGAGATTGCACTCTGGTTTATAGCCAAATTTTTCTAAGGAGTCTTATTGTATTTGTGTAATCGTTTTTTTTTTTTTTTTTTTTTTTTTTTTTTTTTTTTTTTTTTTTTTTTTTTTTTTTTTTTTTTTGTTTTTTTTTTTTTTTTTTTTTTTTTTTTTTTTTTTTTTTTTTTCTTATTATCCTGGAACTCAGTTCTGAAATGTTTTTTTCCGGACAGGGCTTTGGAGCAGAGAAGTTTTCAGTCAATCCTGTGACCGGGCAGATTTTTGTTGTGGATTGCGGGCTTCCATCGTGTTTGGACTACGAGTTGAGGAAGTTGTACTATTTGCTGCTCGTTGCGAGAGACGGTGGTGGGCGTGAATCAGCTGCAAATTTGCAGATCAACATTTTGGACTTGAACGACAACCCACCAGTTTTTGAAATGGCCGAGTACCGGAGAGCAATCAAAGAGGGAGAAGCCGTTTTCATTCCTCCGTTGATCATTAAGGTACCAGTAAATTTCGCAGTCAATCCAAAAAAATAAAAATAGAAAAACTGCCTAATTTTTCTTATTCATTCTGATAATTTTTGCCATGGTGTCAACGTATTTCGTTTTTTTTTAGGCCAAGGATGTGGACAGCGGTGACAATGGCAAGGTTATGTACTCCATTGTGTCGGGAAATACGGAAGATTCTGCATTCATTATAGAACCATTGTCTGGAAAGTTGACTGCTGCTAGACCACTGTCTGGGGCTGAAACAGAAACTGGGAGATTTAGGTGAAAATCTAGTTTGGAAATTTAGTTGCTTTCCCCTTTTGACATCTTAGACGTTGGTGGGCGTGAATCATCTCTTGAGGATCTCTTGAAGTTGAGATAATTTAGAACATGCGAGGATTAGCTTAAAAATTATTCTTTACAGAATCCCTCTAAACATTTTAATATCAATAATAATGCCAGGAATGAGTCTGGGTTCTTTTGATACGTTTCTAAAAATATTTTTCACAAAATTTTCGAAATTTTATGGGCACCTTAACAAACATGGAATAAGAACATGCAAAGATCAGAGCACATTTTGTCGGAAAACGGTTGTCAGACCTGGGAGATATGCATAAATAAAAATTGAAGGAATTAATTGATTTTTTACTTTAGCAGTACTGTACTTTAAAATTAATGAAACTTAATTATCCATGTCATTCTTACTTATTCACGAATTTAAGGTTCAATTTGTGCTCACAATCTTCACGCCGTTCCAGTTCCGACGAAAATGGGAGAGTGGCCTTGAAATGATTATTACGTGTCATGCCGAAAAAAAATACCTTCATTACCTTACATCTTCGCACGAATTCAACTAGAAAAGCACGAGACTGACAAGATCTATAAACCGTTCCTTGTAGTTTTGGCTAACGCCAGAAAAATTATTCAAAGACTTTTTTAAAAGAAAGTTTTAAAAGGATTTTTTTCGGGAACTGCGCTTTTGAAATCCAGTAAGCATGAATTTCTGTTGCTGCAGGTTGACGGTTGAAGCTCGTGATGGTGGCGAACCAGTTAGAACGGCGACAGTGAACATCGTCATAACTGTTGGGACGGAAGGAAATGACCGCCCATTGTTCAGAAATGCCCCCTATTCCGCGAAGATTGAAGAAAATGCCGCCCGCGGGTCGGTTGTGTTGTCGTTGACGGCGCACGATCCAGACGGTGATGACAACTCCATTAGGTAATATATTTTTGACGATCTTTGTATTTGTAAAATGTAGTTCCGATGATATTTCTCCGAGCATTGGAGAATTCCTGAAAAACCCCCAAAATATTCACCTCCATTTCATTTGCCAGAGCCAAAAGTGCAAGATTCGCTGTTTCTGGTGCGACTGGCGTTCGCATTTTTGATTGGGTTTTCTTTTCTTTTTGTGGTTCAGGTTCAATCTCGTGTCGGGAGCAAAAGATCAGTTTGAGGTTGACCACGTAACAGGTGTAGTGACGGTGTCGGCGACGTCCGACCTCGATCGAGAGAAGAATGGCCCGGATTACCGCCTGGTGGTGCATGCCGTGGACGGTGGCGCCCCTTTTCCGCAGACGGGCACGACCACGGTGTCCATCACTGTGCAGGACGTGAATGACGAGCCGCCGCGTTTTTCACGCCGCCTCTATGCAGGCTCGGTGTCTGAGGCGGCCAACGTGGGGGATCGTGTGTTGCAAGTCTCGGCGGCAGATCCAGACGCTGATTCCAAATTGCGATTCTCGATGTCTGACGACTCCGTGGTGGCGACCGACAAGAACGGGATCGCCTTGAAGCCAGGCGTCCCGTATGATTACATGCACGTATTCCGGTAAGTTTTCCCAATCGCACACCTTTTACTCATTGTCGGCTAATTTTTCTTTAGTGTTTGATTACGAAAAATGTCCGATATTTTTTCGCGTAGTTGAATTTTACACGCAGTATTTCTAGTGAAATTGGCGAAGCTTGGATGATTAGATGATTGAGAAAGATTATCTGGATCGTTTTCTGCGTTTCAGATTTTCTAGAATTTTCCATTCATTCGAATCCGAATTTTATGAGAAAAATCTGATTTTATCTTTCATGTTCGAAGGTTAAATTTTTACTTTTTCACGCACTGTTTCTAGCTAAATCTAACAAATGTTGATGCAAGCGGTATTGAAAGTTCAGGATTGGCAATTACAGTGTTGCGGGAAAAAGTATCGTAATCGGCATTTTTCAATTTCTTCAATCGTGGAACACAGGAATATTGTCAGTTTGATGGTTGAAAAAGGCATAAAATTATCAAATTGTACGTTTGCAATACTGTATTGCAAAACACGTGGTACTTTTTTCTTTCTTTTTTTTCTCTTGTCGAAGATGCTTGATTCCTTCTCATCCTCCCCGTTCTTTGTTTTGTAATACTGTACAGTAATGTGTTGTGGTAAGGATGTATCATATTTTTCTAAAATCCGCATTTGCATGTTTCAGAGTCGATCCAGAAACAGGAGCGATCATTGTGAATAAACCGCTGGACCATGTTTTCGTATCCATTGTTACGTTGCAAGTGGTTGTGGAAGATGTTGCGGCTACTAATGGACAACAGATGGACACAGGTTAGCTTTCTGACTAAAAAGCGTGATGTAAAGGGGAACGGGAAATGATTGATGACGAACAGTGAGGATTTTATAGGGGAAATACGCATTACAATTCTGCATATGAAAAGTTTGCGTCCGTATGTTGGGCAATTTAAAGAAATACGAGGACAAACGCTGTTATTGTATGTCGAAAAAAATCAATACCACACTACATGAAATCTCTTCAGAAAATGTGAATCTTCTACATCTTGGCGCTTGTCTGTAGAATCTTAATTTTTGAAGTTTGAGTAACTCTTTTATAGCTTCAATTTTTTCCGTTTTTGGTTCTCTTCTGCGATTTATGTATTTCTCTTGCGATTTATGTTTGCCTCTGATGCATGAAAGAGAAAGTTGGACGAAGATCAGTGCTATTGTGAATGAATGAATTTACAGCGGATGTTACACTTTACGTGGAAGCACTAAATGATGACAAGCCGGTCTTCAGCGGGGATTGGACACCTAGCATTCCATTTGTGAATGTGTCAATGGACGAGGAATTAGCAGTAGGGACGTTGGTCGTTGTTTTACCTGCCACAGACCCTTTGTTGAACCATGCCGCAATTACGACCTACGAAAAGGTGATCGATTCCGATAAGGCTGGATATTTTCAAGTTGCCGCAAGCACTGGTGCTGTTTACACAGCCAAGAGGATGGATTTTGACTCAATTAATGGCAAGGTGAGACAAGTGTACCATATCTTATATTGTTTTGCATTTTACGAATCTTTATTTAAATTTAGTGCTTTTTTATTTTTATTTTTTATGCTTGTTCCTCACAATTTCTTAGTCTTTCGTTTCTTGTTGAATGCGTGGAGATGGACGATATTTCAAGAGATATATATTTCATATCTTTTCATCGTTTCATAATGTGCATGAGTCAACCCTGAATTTCGTGCCTCATATTTATCTGGAAAAATCTCCCTCGATTATATTCTTAATGGAAGCACCGATTTAGTGCCAGAAAAAATTCTTTGTCCAGGATGAAAAATGTGCCAATATCGATGAAATTGAGGTTTTTTTCTAGTGATACTACTGGGTTATTACTGACATCATACCCATGTTCACTCAGGATCATTTTGAACATGACATTTCTGAATTTAAAGTGGTGAAAAAAATGTTTGTTGCTGCATGACACCTTCCTTCATTGGAAAATCTAAAAATAATCTGGGAGCTTTTCTGGGAATGTTGGGGATTCGTGTTGGAAAGCATCTAATGTAAAACTCACAAAACTTCAAGAAACAGCTCTGCTTTTTTACTGGAAACGATATGCGAAAAAACTAATTCATTCTGTTTTATTGCGTATATTGTAATGCAGTGTAAAGACAGTGCGTTTGAGCTTTAAATAATTTTTGTGGCTTTCTCTCTTATGAAACAGGCGCAGTGGCCTAATAATTTTTAAGCAACTTATTTTGCCTACAGTAGAGACCCTCAACTGAGCCTCCTCTTGTACAATACCCTCAATCTAGTACCACAAAATGTGCAAGGATAAATGATGATACTAAAACGAGGTTTGACGTATGTTCATTTTTCTTCGACTTTCAGAAACATATTGTGCAAGTGAGAGCAGTTTCCAGCGACAGACGTCGGTCAAGCACGGCGAATGTTCTTGTTACTGTGCAAGACGTGAACGATAATTCTCCTGAATTTGTGAATCCGGTAAGTTCTCGTACGGGAACCTTTTTTACGATGTTACATCGATTGATTGATCGATTTTTTTTTCTCGATCCCACGACAGGTGACTCAGTTGAAGGTGCCAGAAGACACCCTGCCGCAGCGTGCAATAACTAAATTCAACGCAGATGATGCAGACAGCAACGACGGCTTTGGAGACGTCCGTTACGAGGTTGTGGGGCCCAGTGCGTACTTGCTGAGAGCCGACGAGATGACTGGAGAAATTTTTGTGAGAGACGATGCCAGGTTGGACAGGGAAACCAGCGACAAGATCAATGTCACTGTTGCCGCCTTTGACACTCCCCAGGGCGGGCCGTTGAGAAGGAGGACCCATGTCACGGTTTGTGAAATTCATAAACATTATGGACACGATTTCGGTTTTGGTCGAATAAAGGACGCACTTCTATTGCGTTTTAATCTCCATCCTAAAGCGTCACTTGATTTAGACTCATCCTGATCATTTGTCCTAATGTTAGGAAAACAAAAAGTACGTCTCTTATTTGAATAAGTTGGTTTAGATCCAATTTTTTAAGAATTTTAGTTTGCTGATATCCGTGCTTGTTCCTGTTGATAGTTTGTCATGAAGATCGAAGATGTGAATGACAATGCTCCTGTGTTCTCCAAACCGTCGTACGAAGCAGTAATTGCGGAAAATTCGCCGGTTGGGACGTCCTTCTATAAAGTTCTGGCCACAGACAAGGATTTGGACGAAAGCGGGACAGTCGAGTACTCTTTGGTTTCGATTGACGATGATGCTGAATTTTTTGGGATCACTGCTGACACCGGACTGCTTTTTGTTGCGAGGTATTTTTCAGACGATACAGTATTTTTTTTCGGACTGTATTTTATCTAAACCGGTGTTAACCGTATTTCGCGAAATCAGGAAATTATGTGACTTACCTCAAGGAACGTAGCTTGCTTTAATTTCCCGTAGGCCAACTGAAGAGGTTTCTCCGAAATTTTCCGAATTTAAAATATCTCATCGTTATTTGCTTAATATCGGGTGACATCCGTTTAAAAAAAATCGATCCGCAATTTCTGAACTCAAAATTGACCTCCAAATTCATCTTGCTGAAATAAGGATTTTTTAGTTAATCGCCGCACTACTGAGGAAGCATATACTGTAGTGCGGCTTTTTCCTCGAATTTTGTTTGTTCGCCACGTAAGTTAACTTCGGAGGTTTCTTCAAACTTTTTTTGAATATTCTGTATATTGTCATCTGCTTTTAATCGGGTGACGTTCGATTTTCAGATCGACATGGTTTCATCGGCTTATAATGACAATTAGTTGCTAAGACATTTATACACCATTTATTTTTCTGTTCTTATATCATCTTTTTTTGTTCGTTTTCCCCGTAGGACTTTGGCCGGACGAGGAAGAAGAGACCCGTACGCATTGACGGTCCGTGCGATGGACAAGGGATTGCCGCCTCTCTTTTCAGAAGCCAGGGTGGCTCTGTACGTGAGCGACGTGGCAGTGAACGATGGTGTTCCGTATATTTCGAAGCCAGCGTCGGGAGAGATTGCCTACGTTGCTGAGGTTCATTTCTTTTCTCTTTCACCTGTTTCTTCGGTTAAAACAAATATTCCTTCGTGAATGGGGAAGTTTAAAATCTCTTTGTGAATGTGCAGAGTGATCCACACGCTGATGGACCGGCAAAAATATGAATGTTTCCGCGAGTTTTGAACACACGTGGTTGAAATTCGTGTCGGAAGAAGCTTGAACGAGTAGAAAATTACAGTAATATCTGGACTAACCCAAGTTCACACTCCTGGGCGAGGAAAAGGACACTTTTAAACTCTTTCAAGTACTGCCACTGTCGCTGACATTTCGAAATGGGATGAAATTATTGAAATCATGTGGACAACGATTATTATTAGTCGATTGTAGCAAACTATTTTTGGCGTTCTCGTCAAGCGGTTCTCTTTTTTCCTTGTGCCGAAATCACGAGTGAAAAAAGTAAATGCCTGGATCATAATTTGGTTTTTCTTTCCCAAGCTTCAAGCACGTATTGTTAGGATAATGCAGAGACATTTTTGTTTTCATCATTTTACCTTACGCATTGAAAATGTTAGGAAATCGGATAGATCCTTAGGTCACGCAGCTTCCTTCGAGACAAATTTGATAAAACTGTAGAATCTCACAGATTCCTTTTGATTTTGAATTTTCGAGTCTGTTAACGCGTGGATCATCTTGTAGTAACCATATTTTAACGAATGATCGCGGTAGAATAATCATACTTATTTTTGAAACTGATTAAGTAGACGAATTCATTTCGTCTGCATCTGGTTTTTTTCCTAAATTTTCGAGAACTTGATTTTATGCGTTTGGTGCTTGTTTAGAATGCGATTCCGGGAACTCCTGTTTATCAAGTCGTTGCCAGTGATCCAGATGACCCCAGGTCGAACAATGGCCGTCTAATTTACTCCTTATTCGATGACTTCGACAAATTCAAAATCGGTTGGTTTTCCACTATTCCTTATGTTTTTCTCGTGGGATTGCTGTGCGGTTGAATCGGTCAAATCTCAATCTTCTAATTATTTGGCAGATTCGGAATCCGGGTTAATAACGAGCTTGGTTGAGCTTGATCGCGAAGAAAGGGATACTTACATTCTGGTGGTTGTGGTGAAGGATAGTGGAACGCCGCAACAGTTGACGTCCAAGGATTTGATAGTGAGGGTTTCTGACGTGGACGATCACGATCCAATTTTCCCGGCACTTTTCAAGGTAATGCTCGTCAATGTCTAATTTATGCTTAAAATTGTTTCAAATTTGCTGAGCGTCTCTTTCATCGAGAAACTTGTCTATTTTGTAATTGTTCTAATTGGATGTGTCTCAGATTCTTGGTCAGATTTTATGTTGCCCTTTTTTGTGTGTATTTAGAAAGGGCCGGTTGTGATTCGAGTGGAAGAAGAAAAACCTCTTGGGTCTGTAGTGGGTAAAATTCGCTGCGTGGACCAAGATGTTGGAAGAAATGCAGAAATCATTTACAGAATCATAGGTGAGTTGAATTCATTTTTTTTTATTCAAATACAGTATTGATGTTCTTCATCTGCATCATCAGCAGTCTTCTTCTTTGATGGAGATGCATGTACAAAATGATTAGAAAAAAATGTATACTGTAATTAAATTTTTTCTTTTACTTATTTTTCTGACGTTGGCCCGAAAAAAATAGTACTGAATTTTGTGAACGATTAAATGAGGTCTTGTTTTTTTTCAGGTGGTTCGGGATCAGAAATGGTCCAAGTTAATTCAACGAAAGACGGAACTGGCCTGTTGGTGTTGAAGAGCCGGTTAGACCGAGAACTCATGCAGGAAACATTTGTTGCAGTGCATTGCTTGAAGAATTCTTCGAATGTCGGGATACAGTGGAAAGCTTACGATCCAAATGTAAAGTATTCCATCGACATTGAATGACTTTTTATATTTACTCAAATGCTTAGTTTCCGCGAGATTTCTCGAAAATTCTTGTGGGTAACCCAGGAGCCGTCATTGAAATATTACAGAAAGTGATGAATAGTTCTGACTTTATTCTTGATCATAAAACTTCCGCCCTTCGTAAAAGATGGAATTGAGTAAAAGCTACAACTATTTTCAATTTCAAACTTAGTTCATCACGGAAACTCGAAAGAGGTTATAAATTTCCAACTTGCCATTTTTGATGAGGACTCTTTCTTCCGAAAATACTCTAGGGTTTCTCAAGGATCTTCTTCAACCACTCTCGTAACAGCCGCCATACTTATAATTAGTAGCCCATATTTTGAGTGCACTGTGTATGACCAGTCGAAAGATATGAAGCTATATCCTCATATCGTGTTGATAGTTTGATTTTTAAAGTTGTGAATTTTCATTCTAATTATGCGTTTTTTGTTTAGGAGCCATCACATGCCTTGTTGCATATAATTGTGGAGGATATTGACGACAATCCTCCGAGATTCGTGAATCGAAATTACACACTCGGTGAGCTGATTTGAATTTGTATTTTTTTTTTCAACTTTCTGAACGCTTCGGCCTTATCAAAAAATGTGACCTGAACTGTGTAACTTTTTCCTTTTTCGCCGAAAACCAGGAGTACATCCGACGATTCGGCAGTTCTCTGAAGTACTTCGTGTCAAAGCAACTGACGTGGATTCTGCCGCCGAACCTATTTCTTACGAGTTGACCAACACATTGTACATTAATTTGAACACGGGAGAGGAAAGAAACGTTACGGGTGTTTTCAGTCTGGAGGGAAAAGACGAAATTTTGACTGCCACGGATTTCTCCAAATTCAGCGGAGGGATGTTCGAGTTGACAATTGTGGCAAGGAATGGGGAATCTGAAAGTCAAATGGACACTGCAACTGTAAAGGTGAGGTACAAATACGCGATGGAGGGTTAGTTCATGATTTTTGTCACTCCTGTGCTTTCATGTTCGGATGGATGAAGAAGAAAATAATTTTTTGAAAGTATTGTATGTATCATGATTTCCTGACGATGCATTGGATTCTCATTCACTCAGATTCAAATGAAGAAGTGTGACAGTTACACAGGAGTGCATATTTCAGTGCGAGGAAGTAATGTTTACCTGCAACTCTCTCATGATTTTTACATTTTCGAAGCATTCTAAAAATTACGAATGATCGAAAAAACTTCGTCGAATTCAATGAAATTCTGTTCTGATTTTGTTAATTTTGTCGGTGATGCTCAGCGTGAATTTCGCATTAAATTTGCGAATTCGTGAGGAAGAAGTTTGCGAAGTAAAATGTGGAAGTGAAGAGAATCTTCCGCAATTCAAAATTGCTCAATTTGATTCATGGTTTTGATCCCGTGGTGGTTCAGAGATTTCTGACTTTGGAACTTCATTACTCGAAGGTCTTTTTTTTTCGAGGTACAGTATTGACAAAAATTGTCAGACAATCCTCGTCTATTGATACTTTTTTTTTTTTTTTTTTAGACAAAAGAAATGATTGGGTCTGATGTCAGGCGAAAATATTGCTTAAATTCAAATAAAAAAGTAAATTAATGTTTTTATAACTCTGTGTTTACTCCCCAGATTTATGTAATGCCCGAAGTCAAATTACTCAAGTTCATCTTCAAAGAATCTCCACGCGAAGTTCAAACGAGTTTGGCAGAATTCCGACAAGACCTGGAAGCTGCAATCGAGGTGCCAGTTGCCTTGAATTTGTTCGGGGCCGAGTATTTGAAAGGAGAGGACGAGTTGGTTGACACAACTAAGACCAGGTATATTTCAAATACATTTATCCTTCACTAATTTATGCACCTAGGAATTTTGGCTTTTATTTATTTTTTATCGCAGCACATGTTTCCATGTCATTGGTCAAGACGGGGAAGTTTATGAGATGGAAAACGCAAAATTTCTTCTGGACTCTGCGAGATTGGAAACCGTGCGTCCGGTTTATAACAAATACAAGGTTTCCGGCATTGAGGTGCGTAAAACCTCAATCAAAAACTAATCTTTTTTTTTTTCTGTGAGACTTTTACCTCTAAAAACGGAATTATTTTTTTGCAGAAATGTGCTGTCGAGAAGCTGGGTAAGAAGACACATTGGGTCGAAATCGGGATTGTGCTCGTTGGTGGTTTGATTGCTTTTACCGCGTTGGTATCTAGCCTCACTATTTGCTGTTTATGCAGCAGGTTTGTCCATTATTTTATTTCATTTTTGGCACTTTTTTAATCGAGCAAACGCAAATTTGCTCACAAATCATACTGAACTCAGTCTTTAAATTTGCCTGGATGGAATCAATGCATCCTCATATTTTTCACGTCAGTCATTCATCATTCGTCTTTCAAAACCTCCTATTTTGAATTTTGTGACGAACTTTTATAGTCAAGCAGATGCAAGTTTCCTCAATAGTATAAGCTTAACTCCGTGCTTAAATTTGCGTGGATGGAATCAATGCATCCAAATTTCCTACGAAAATGATGCAGCAATCGTTTTTCAAAAAAAGTATTTTCGAATATATTTTTTGGAATTGTATCCCATTTATCCTCATGCGACTTATGAGAGGGGAAAGGGCTGGGCTTCAGTTTAAATTTGTTCAAATATAACCCCACAACTCTGCTTTTTAAATAAAAAAAACAGCAGGCCGATTTACAAACTTTTAAATTACAATTGGTGAGGTAGCGTTCAACCCACTTGAATTTTCCATCGGAACGTGGTCCCCCCCCCCCCCCCTCATAAAGTATGTGATGATTTGTCGGATGGTAGTTCGAACTAAATCATTTGCTGTATTGTATTGAAATTCCAGCTATAAGAAACGGCAGAAGAAGTTGGAGTACGAGAGGATGCAGCAGCCGGTTTACAACGTGACGAACGACGTGTACGGAGTGCGATCGCCGTCTATTGCACCGTCAATGATGAGTGGGGACCCGAGACTGGGATTCGACGTCCTTCCCGACCCTACGCTTCATCCTTCGGGCTTTTCACATGCTTGAAAAAAAAAACGAAAAAAGGGATCTCGAGATTAGGTTAGACGACCTCACGGCCATGTCGATGATGATCAATGAAAAATGATGGCAGCTAATGATTGACCAACTTGCTTCCGTTCTAGAGTACTGTATGTGTTTTTCGTTGTTATTGTTATTATTGTAATTTTTTTCTTGTTCATGTAGCGGACGTGTTTTGCTCAAATGCCATTGTTTCGAACGCATTGAGCTAATAGTGAATTTTATTTTGTGCATAAGAATTGTTCCGAGTCTGCGGGAATTACCCAAATTGTTGTGCGAATTTTTCCATGCAACGAACAACCGATCGAAGATTTGATTGAAAAAGAGTTACTGTTCTATGTCTTCCGTCCAACTGAACATTCCAACAATTGTTTTGTGAATGTCACATGACCCGAAACGTGGTGATCTGAGGAACAAATATGGAAGTGTTGTGTATTTATCGAAAAACTGTTGCAGAATGTGCTTGTGATTGTAGAAACATGGGCTAACGTGTCTTTGAAACAGGAAAACGAATCGGGAAGAACGAATCTTTGTCTTCCGCTCAAAGAAACGATAGGTGCCGAAGTTGTTGAAATAAATACATTCCGGGAATGTTTGTTTACCTGCATGAAAATGTGCAGGAGAATCTGTCGATACCTAGGTTTCTTCTATGAATCTTTGGGAAATCCCGTTCAAATCGTCATCGCAATTGAATGAGGCATTCTTTCACAACACCTCAATCCGACCTGACCAAGGTTGAAATCTCACGAAATTGAAAGTTCTTGCACCCGAAAAGTAATCCGTACAAGATAGTTCACATGCTCTCATCTTTAAAAACTTCCTTGGTGTCCTGTTGAGCTAAAACAATTTGTACCTTCTGTCTTTTAATTCCTCGAGGACATCTTATGACGTGTGAATTTAAAAGTTTCGGGTGTGAAATTAGTGTCGCTGATTTTCCTGTTGACACTGTCGAGAATTGGGGATTTTTTTCTAATTATTGGTCCATTGTGATTGCATATGAGAAATTCAGAAGTAATCAGTCAATAGTCTTGAAAAATTTACTTGTCCGTAATGCGGCATTATAAATTTCCTACGTTTAAGATATCTCAATTTTTTTTTTTACATTTTCTAAACTCCAGAAATTTGTAATAGGATATATGAATAAATGGGAAAAATTCACCACCAGGTTTCATTCGCATGCAATGACGATGGAAAACGCTCGCAGGATCGCGGACTGTATTATTGTGCCGTTCTGACGTTTGAAATTCTTCTCCCCTTAATCAAGACGATGTTTACCCTTGTTGTTGTTGTTGTTTGTAACCGCGACAAGTGTGATTCCTCATGGTTGTGGTGGTGGTGACGACTGTGGTGCAGTGAACCTGTTCGGATATGGCTACATCAGACGAGGTGCAGTTGGTGCGGTTGTATACCCTCGGGGTTATTGTCCTCGGATGCAGAGTACACGCCAGTTTCGGGACCATTTTCGGGTTCAATCACAAGTGGGACCGCATTGGATTCGCATCCCCGCAAATAGCGCAAAAGTCTACTCCTGTGACGTCTCAGACATACTACGTACCCAACTCGGAGCCTGCTGATCTCAGAAAGCATCCACCCATCAGGTGTACGTGTGTCTTTGGCATTTAATTGTAATACAGTGGGACCTTTCCTGAAGGGAATTTCTAGGGACCAGCAGAAAAATTCGGAGGATTGGGAAACTCGGGCTGATGATGCTTGGGATTAGATAAAAATTCGAGTCAAGAGAGGTTTTTGAATTGAGGAGGTTTGGGTTATCGAGGATCAAATGTAATTTTTTTTAGTAAGAGAATCACTGAGTTTCCAGTCTCACAGATGCTGTCTCTGATTTTAGATGCTGTGTGAAAATTTAATTCAGTCCAAGATGCAATTAGCAGTTTTTTAATGCTCTTCCGATGCTTTTGGCAAAGAAAATGACCAAGATTGTGGTTTCGCGTCCCCATTTTTTGGCTTTTGGCAAAGAACAATGGAGCATGCTAACAAGCTTGCTTGTTGTAAAGTTGGAAGCCAACTAGTTTTTTGACTCATTCGCTTAGGAACTTTTACAAATAATGCCGCATTGACAATGCATTATACAACAAAATATTTTTAATTTACTCAGAGGTTTTTGGGGTACAATTTTTAATCTATTTTTTGTGACAAGATGTGGTTTGAGTTTAAAAGTTGAATTTCTATTTGTTGGTAGATGCTGGAGCCCGATTGCTGGAATTGTTTTTCAACCCGAGTCAGGACCCGTGTTTGGGCAAATCGGGTTTGGAAGGAACGTGTTACAATAGCTTTGACTGCTCCCGAAGGAAAGGGATCGCTGATGGGCCATGTGCCACTGGGGGGCCCGGGGTTTGCTGCGTGTGTGAGTTTTAATCAAGGCTTTTCTTTAGAATTTTCTGGCTTGAATTTCCTGCTTCGTGTTTTTGATTTTTTGGGTCTTTCCAGTTATGGTTAAGTGTAACGAAGCCGTCGTACAGAATGGAACTTACTTTATCAACCGGAATTATCCTGAGCCAGACACAAGCGCGGATGTGTGCCAGGCGACCATCGATACCAAAGAAAACATATGCCAATTGCGACTTGATTTCATCGCTTTTCGAGTATGTTTCATGTAGTGGGCTTCTAGCGTAATTTACGAAAGCGTTTTTCTTATTTTTAGCTGAAGGGACCTGAAGCTGGAACCTGTTCCGAGGACCGTTTCATAGTATCTGGCCTCGGGGCATCCCGAGGAATACCTACTATTTGCGGCATGAACGATGGCCAACACTGTAAGCAGATGTCGCTCTTACGTTTATCAGTGTTGTCGGATTCCCGCGTGTAGATTAGCAAAAGTTCAATTTATTATTGTATTGAATTTTTTCAAGATTTATTCCCCATTGATTTTAATACTGTACTTTAAATTCATCAGTTTAAATTTATTGTTCTTAATGTTTAGAAATTCATTCCTATTTTCAACATTATTAATGTAATTTAATTTTACTAAAAATCACCAATTTACTCGAGTACCACGCGCACTTCTTTTTTTTCGATAAAAAAAACAGGGCAACAAATGAGGTTTGCATCATAGTCGGGTACATATTTTCCACTACTGTCTTTTTTCATCTTTAAACTTTTCTCCGGGTCAGAATGTTTTCAAAGTGCTTTATTGTTTATTTGTGTCACACATAAAAATCAAAGTTGATGTCGGCTTGGAAGTGGGCTTATATTTAGATTTTTACCCCATGTAAATTTTAAATTACTGCGTGAATTTGGAATCTGAAAGCTAAGTCGCGCGTCTTATGCGGGTATAGAATTTTTTCCTAAACTTTAGCTAAAAAAACTAAGGTGCCTGTCTTACTCGAGAACGCGTGGTACTCAAGTAAATACGGTTTAAAAAAAATTTAGAATTCAATTGCTTGTTCGATGTGTTTTTGCATCCATCAGTGTACATTGACTCACGAGAAGCGTCGAAGCAAGTGACAATGAACGTCCTGCTGCTTAACAAGAGTGATCGATTGTGGGTCATAAGAGTGACGGAAATCAGCTGCAATTCCGCTTTCAAAGCTCCTGATGATTGTCTTCAGTTTTTCACCGGCTTTACTGGCTACATCTCCAGCTTCAACTATAACACTGCGTCGCACGAAGGGCAGTACTTCGTGAGTTTTTGCAGATTATTTGCTCCAATCTTGATAAACCGTATTGGTTTATTTTTGTGTGCGCAGAACAACCTCGACTATGCTATATGCTTACGCAAAGAAAAAGGGCATTGCAGCGTGACCTACAAAAATCGCGACAATTTCCAGGTCCTGAACATTGGCTCTCACAAATATGGTGCGGTTTATTAATTCTTTTAATTTCTTCATTTTGTTGTTTCAACTGAATTTTTTTTTATGTTTTTCTGGTGAATGTAGGTTATTCGTCTACGACCTTGACTACATCGAAAGGAGCTGCTGGTGCTGGAATTTTCCAGTGTCCCGATGATTATATTGTACTTACGGGTGGTTTGAGACTCTGTGGGGAAAAGCTGAATGACGGCAGTCAGTACACGAATTCTTGTATGAATGGACCTGTCATCGGTATGTCCTTATTTTATTTTTAATGCGATAAATTCCCTACGAAAGTATTGCGAAGCATTCACAAACTAAATTTTGCAGTCGAATTAGGCGAAATTTTTTTCTTTGCCTTTTTGCAATTGGGAAATGAGGAAAATGAATTTTCGGATGAAGCAATTCCGGCCTCCGGTGGGATAGTCTACAGGAATGCGCAGGTGGATTAATTTTTATGACTGTCTTGAAGGTTTTTCGAAGTCAAGCCAGAAAAAAATAAGCTCAGGAAATAAGCTATACATTTTACCACTGTTGCTAGATAGCTATGAAAATCTCCAAATCGTGCCAAGAAAAGGCTAAGCATGGGTACAAATGTTTTCACATAAAAAAATAAATTAAAAAAAAGATGGACTAGAATCCTTGGTAGCGAAATTATTTAATTTTGAACAAGAAAGGAAGCTTCAAATTTTTGTTTACATTTTTGGATTATTTCGTTGGTAAACTTTCGAGTTTCTTTGAACCATTTCTAGAAATTTGCTACCAGGTTTTACCTGCCGAAATCGCAGTAATTGAGAAAGTTCTCTCTTAATCCTTTTTTTTTCGCAAAAAAATTTGATGGCAACGTCATTTGTTTCTGTTGAAACTATAAAATAAAATTGTATTGAAGAAAGGGTTCCGTTCAAGTCATTATGTTTCCTTGCGCAGAGTCCACGAGTGGGCCGTGGATCATAAAATTCTTTACGAACGGCGGCTTCGTCGGCCAAGGATGGCGGTTGCAGTTCACCCAAAACCCTTGCAAGGAAACGCATTACTGAAATCAAAATAATGAGCAGCCGAGAGAGCTGTGATTGTTGGAACGTCAGAACAAGCTTGTGGGAATGTTTCCGTCCAGTGAAAAGCATCTTCGCGATCGGAGATTTGCTGCAGTGATCAAAATCGGTCGTCTTTGATATTCAGGTTTTCTTTTTTTCTTTTTTCAATTTCACCCGTTATTATTGTTGATACTGGTGTTGTTGCAATCGACTGTGTGATGCAAGTACCGAGAGAAGAAAAAATAGTTACCATGACCCCATCGAGGAGATCTAGTGACGTAAACGTTGCTTTTACTATTCACCGCAAACGGGAGATTTGTATACGTGTATTTTTACGAGACGGAAAGAAACGGAGAAACTTTTTGGCACAAATGTAAAGAAGATACTGTACAATCCAGTCCATCGGTTTTCGTTTTTTTTCGTGTTTTTCCTGTCTACAATTATTCAGTTTGTCGTAGTTGATACAATTTCTTTTTTCATCTGTTTATTCGACGTCGAGGTGTCGACTGTCGTCGCAAATGGGCTGAAGAAGCGTGTATTCCGTGTTTGTTTGCGCGAGTATGGAAGGCACGACATGTCGTGGACAGGGATCACAAAGAGAACCGCCATCTTGTTCTCGTCTATCTGCATTTTATGGCTGTGCATTAGTGAGCAAAATTTTTTTCAACATTATTTCACCGGTCTCGTAATTTATTGCGTTTATTATTTTTTTTTTGCAGGTTATTATTTCCCCGAGCGACTGGATTTGAGAGCAACCGCGACGAACGGAGGAGTTGCTCCGAATGCGGAAGCGGTTAAGCAGCAAAATGGGGACGGAACTTACGCGTGGAAAACGGATCATCCGAAATTGTCCAAAGTGCGGCAAATGTGTAACGACCCTGCGGGTATCAAAGTTTTGGAAGAAGGTTTGTGTCAAGTTGAAAACTGTTTTTTGTTTTCTTATCTTGTGTCTATCCTGGACTTTTCGTGTTGGAGTCGTCTGAAAGGGCTGGTGATAGGTGCAAGTTTTACGACCTAGAAAGTAATGCGTTAAAAATCTCGTTTTAACGAAATTTTTCATGGGAACAATGTTATGAACATTTTGTTTTACATTCCAATTTTCACCAATGATCTCAGTATAACACATTTTTGCCTTGATTATGTGTGAGTGGGCCATGGGACTTCACAATAATTGGCACAAAAACTGAAAACCATTAAATCTGTTCATCAATAAAAAAAACCATGAAAAATGAAAATTCTGATCTTTTTGTGCAGAAAATTTAGCAAAATATGTTCGTGCAGGAAATTTAGCATAATTACAACAAGTATGAAGTATGATGCTCTTGCCAGAATTTATCTAGCTTTGTTTTATAGTTCATGAATTTGTCCAAGAAACATTATCTTTTTCGGAACTATTTCAGGGAACATACAGTTGTCAATGAATAAAGGATCTTCTTATGTGTGTATTTTCTGTTTCTTTTGGGCTATATGATCAGTACTTTTTCAGGAAATTCAAGAAAGGGAAGGAGTAAAATAATATATTCGTATTTTACATTTTTTTTATTGTTCGCTATTATTTCATAAAAAGAATTGGCAATGATGAAAATTCTTTAAATATCTGTTGTATTTGAAGTACGCCAATGGTGGCATGAAAACACTCCTTGTCATACGAGTGGTACAATTCAGAACATTTCTCAAAAGCCTTGGCCTGGAGTACAGTTTTTTTTTTTTTTTTTGCGACCAAGTTGAAACGGAACGAGGAAAAAACTTTTGTCCTGATAACCTCATTTTTTTTTCAATTTTAAAGGTTTACATCCGCCGGATTATCAACTCAAAGGCATCGCAGTTGTCACTCGACACGGGGAACGTTCCCCGGAAATCGCATTCCGCGGCCTGGACACATTCAACTGCAGTTTGCCGCCGTCGTCTGCGTACGCGACAGACCTGAAGGCATTCCTGAGCACGGCGTCGGAGTTGGACAAGGCCGAAGAGCCGTCGATCCCGGCACGATTCCGACGGCCTCGGATTGTGTCCAGAGACGGCAGTTGCCGGCCGTGGGCCATCACGCAAACTGGGGCTGTGCAGGCGTCGTTGAATGGCCGGGCCATTTCTGACGCATTTCTCGACGCCGGCGTAGAGCGGCTCAAGAGGATCTCACCTTCGGATGATGTTTACATTGCTTCCACAGGTTGGAGAATGGACCTCTTCGGGGTTGCCTCAATAACTCGAACCTCCACATGTATAATTTTTTCCAAGTCCCCCGTCTGAATTCTCTTGGATGTGATCCATTAAAAACCTCTCTAATTCGAATACTTTCCCCTCAAACCTCCATAACTGAAATTTTCTGGAGGCTTTTCGGCTATTACAGTATTTTATTAACAAAGGAAAGAAAAAAGTCATAAAAAATGTGATTTGATGTGCTTTGAGAAAAGTGAAAGACTAGTAAGGTTAATAAACCCTTGCCTCCAATTTCAACATTCTATCAACTCATTAAGATGCAATTTAAAGTCCTGAATATCACAAATTTCAATGCAATTGCAATATTTTATTCATTCTCTCCCCCAATAAAAATGCATGCTTCCCTAACTAAAATTTGTCTTCGATGATCCTTTGAAGTTCTACTCAAAGAGGTTTGACTGCATATCTAACGTGATACGGTATCTTCATGCGCGGGATTTAAGGAAATTTACGTACTGTACCTCTGTCGTATACAGGTGGACCCCCTTCTACGATAGAATTCAAGGGACCAGGAAAAATTCGTTGTAAAGAGAATATTGTTGTAGAGAACAAATACAGTATTGCATGGGGTGAGAACCCTATGGGGAACAAGACAAATTTGTTATAGAGAAAAAATCGTTGTAGACAAGATTGTTGTAGAGAGAGTCCACCTGTATATTATTTTCAAAAATATTGCATCTGTTTGAGTTTTTTATGAATCTAGCCTGAGGGTTGTAAAAAAAAAAGTGAACAAGTATTAAGAAGTAGGGGAATTGAAGATAAATGCTTCAAATCTGTTCGTGGTTCGGAGAAAACTTGATTCTTGTAATTTAATCGCAATTAGAGAGTCCGTAAGGCCTTTTTGAAAATACTGTACCTGAGTATTTATGCACACTGATCACGAAGTTTCTTCTGAACAGCATACTCGAGAACAGTTGAGTCTGCACTGGCGTTTTGGTCGGGCTTTGAGAGCAATCATCCAAAGATGAACGTGACGAATGGGCGCTGGCCCGAGATGGGCATTGTGGACAACGTGGCCTTCTGCTTCCGAAGGTGCTCGTGCAGACGAGGAGACGTGCTGAGGCGGACGGAAGACCGGGCCAGGGCCGCGTTCTTTCGTGAGCACCCTGCAGTGGCCAGGCTGACCAAGGAAGTCAGCAGGATCGTGTATGATGAAAAGGTTGAAAATACTGTAGATAATTACACTAGTTTTTTCGTTTCATTATTTTCAAACACCACTGCTTGACTTGCGTTGTCGGAAATGAAACAAAAAATAAATCGGATGCCTTGAAAAAGTGGTTTGAGATAATCGCTTCTGATTTTTGTCAAATTTAGACGAAATCTCTGTTTATATGCTCAAATTTGAATTCTACTGTAATTGCTTTGCTCGAAGAAAAATCGTTGAATAAGTAAAGGTATGGTTTTTTTTTCATTTGCAGGGTCAGAAACGGGCCAAATGGCCGAGTGACCTGTTGGAGTCGTTGGTCCTGTGGTTTTGCCACGACCGTCCTTTTCCGTGTACTCAGGATGCCGAAACGGGTGCGAGAGCCTGTGTGAAACCGCAGAATATTGCCAGTCTGTTTTCCTATGAAAACCGGGCCGATGACTTGAAGGACGAGCTGCGAATGGCACTCAAGGTAAAAAAAAAGTTGAATATTTCGATTTTCAAGTACTGTATACTAAACTCGTATAGTAATGATTTTCCACGTGAAAATTTCATGCACAGAAATTGGGGTCACTTACGAAATGTTTCCACGTGGTAATATTTTCTGGGCAGAAAAAATGACTGACAGCAAGTTTTGAGTTGGACCTTTTTTTTAAAATTCCCAAGGCAAAGCTAGCATGGTGAAAGAATCCCAGAAATCCGGGCACTGTCCAGGTAAAGGCAAAATTTTAAGATCCATTTTTGTGTACCTTGGGATTTTTGATCGAGTGAAGGATTTATTCGAAGTCTTTTTCATTTCTTCACTTTCTTGTGGCAAACATGCCCAAAAAATGGTACCCCTTACGAAGTGAGCAATTTCTTTGTGTGTGCCAAGATGGCCAACATTTTCGGCTGCTGAAAAATTGGAAGCACCAGATTTATTCTATATTTATTGTGACTTGTCTTTTTTTACTGTAGGGATACGGCTTGGCTGAAGAAATTGTGCGTTTGGCAAAGGAGAAGATTTTTGTGGAGCAGAAAAAACTGGTGCTGTTTTCTGGCCATGATTACACTGTGGAATATTTGCTGTCGTTTTTCGGGCTCAAAAAGGTGACCTTTAAAAAAATCCTGGAATTTTTTGCACTGCTCGGTTTAAAAATTTAATTTCAGAGATTCTGTCTAGTCAATTTACCCACAAATATTAAATAACCCCTCGCTGCTGGGGATATATTACTTCGTTGTTTGAGACAAAATTGTCTTCATGCAAGTATGGGGCGTTTTCGGGAAATTCGAATGCGGCTTTTAATTTTTAAGATCACAAAGAACTTCTTCGATTTTTTTTTTCGAGTGTGGTTTTTCGGAGTTCTAACTTTTACTTGAAGCAATTTATTCACGAATTTTTGCATTGAAATTTAAAGTCGGTTGAACTTTTTCTGAGTCTGGAATCATTCGGTCATTTTTTTTTAGCTTTGCATTACTCGGTTAACATACTCGTACTTTTCTGATACAGTACTTGTCGTTCTCCTCTTTAATGGATTAAATTCATTGACCGGGCACATCACTCAATTTTGTGTATGCGGAGTTGAACGATATGGTGTTTGTTTTTTGTTACACACAGGACTTGCCGCCAGTTCCGTTCTCAGCACGACTTGTCATTGAATTGTATGAGAACTCGAAGGATCCCCTGGACCAGCGGTTCAGGGCCATCTACAATGGCAAAGACAAGACCAGTCGGGTGTCCTTTTGTGCCAGCAACGACGCCAAAGGTGGATCAGAGCTGTTGGACGTGCAGGAGGAGGCTCGGATTTGGCAGGCTGTGAGAGACCCAGATGGGCCAGGAGTGGACAAGGAGCCGGGCCAGGGCCTGCCGTTTTGGTCCATGTGCAGGTTTGCCGCGTTGGATGAGTTTGTGCAGTCTGGCTTCGTGCGTGGGCTCAAGGCGAAGTCCTTTGAGGCGGCGTGTCGGCTTCCTGTTGAGAAGAAGATATAATTTTTTTTTACTTTTTAAGATTTGGCTGAAGGTTTAAGCAAGGATTTTCGACATAAACCTCGGAAATGCTAAATTAAGCTTCAAAATGAAAATTTCTATGTGAAATGTTTTTTATAGTGATATTATGCTCATCATAAATTTTATAAGCATTCCCTAAAAAACTTTAGAAAAAGCAAATCATGATAATTGATAGCATAATTTCTTTGAAGAGTTGAATGTTAAATTCCTGGATCACTGATTAATTTTGTGATGCATCACTTTTTCATGCATTCCTATACGCAAAGATGAACTACGCATTTCTCATAATAAAAATCAATCTTCCTCAGTTGATTGTTAGATTATTACCTGCATTTGATAGAAATTCGTAACGAATTTTGAGGAATCTAATGTGTAAGTTTTCAAGTCAACTTTGCTGCTCTTGTGAAAAAAGGATTTCCGCTTGAATGGTGGAGATATTATATTTATGCTTCTGGATTTTGATCTGGAGATTGAAAAGCAAGTTGAGTAATAAACTAATAATCAAGGAATCTTTGGGAAAGTTTTTAAAATCTCTTCTGGATATGATAGCGTGTGATCATTTGTAGATCTCCTCGGAGGCGCATGACCTTTGTATGACCCATCATCTACGTTCAAAAAGTTTGTCAAGATTTTTTTCACTCTAGCCTTTCGTGGTACAATTAGTCTTGAGAAGTCTCCCAAGATTCGGTCAAGTAGGCATTCCCGTATTACATTCGCTTCCTGGCAAATTTCCATATTTTTTGCGAAAAAATGAAACTTTGCGCGCGAAATATATTCCAGCAAGAAAAAATCCTCGACTTTTTTGCATTCCTGTATGAGGTGGTACAGTACTTCATTTTTTTTCAAGGTTGCTGTGCTTTGTGACTTCCAAAAATTGTGTATTCCTGGGAAAACTGTTTGGGTCACGGGTTACCAGAGTTGATTTCATAAGTTTTGTTTGTTATCGACTTCGCACTGAACTTTTGAAGCAACCTTCGTATTTCAGCTGTAATTTCCAATTAATTTGAGAAATGCTCTCCCTGTCTTTCCAGAAATTTTAGTTTTCATCCAATATTTGAGTGCTCATGGATTGATGCTGTGTTGGTGGCTTTGATGCGTTCCTTTTTATTGTTTGGATTTTTGGAGAAGGCACAGCTGTGATGTTTTTTTTTAGAGGGAAATATTGAGTCTGAAGTTATTCTTGGTTCCGGAAAAGAAAAACCTCCGTATTTTTTGTTTTAGTTTTGCTTTTTTGGCGATCATGTTCAGAGATGTCTGCTTTTATTGTGGACTAAACATTGGTTTTGCGTCCATGTTTTTCCGCTTTTGCACGTGAACCGTTCCATTCCGGAATTTCATGTATTTTTGTCATTGCACTTCCTGTTGAAAAACTTCCAGACGCGTGAGAGAATGAAAGGAGGGAAGAAAATCGTTTGCTGGTTTTAATATTTATTTCACTTGGTTTTTTATTTGTTTCAACAAATATTTTTGAGATGCATTTTTCTTGGTCGCATGCATCCAAAATTTGTGAAGGAAATTCCCGTCAGATGATTATCATACACTGAATTGAAAAGTTAATCTCATAATCAAACAGAAAACTCCAGAACTTTACATCACTGGCTTCATCTCAATTTCTTTTACATAGTCATAACCACTCAAGAAATGAACAAGGTTACTCCCAATAAGCGGGACAACCATCATATACAGGGCAGGCCAGAAAAATTATTTTTTATTCTTTCCATTTCTGACTATTCCTGATATTCAATCATAAAATGGCAATGTGCCCAGATAAGTCAGGTTAGGAATGTGTCTCTTCTAAAGGCAGCATGAAGTGTGCTGTTTGAATTACTGGTTGTGCACCTCAGTTATGCCTAAAATCAGCTCTAGAGAATGGCAGTTTAGCAGAAGAAGTTGCCTGGCAATGTTTTTGGAAAGTTTTCATTCAAATGGTTCTTGTGACCACACAGTGGCACTTGGGACCATAAAATTATACACCATCCAAAGGGAATTTAACAAGCTTGCATTTAGCTCTTTTTCTATATACCCACAGCTTGATTTCCTACTGGGCTATTGTAAGTCAAAAATTGGTTCACTTTTTTTGGCCCACCCTGTACATGAATCCAGCAGCATCATCAATTAAGCAATGGTGATCACTGTCAAGAAAATGCTTCAATTGGAAATGCACTAGAATATGAAGCATAGATATTAAGAAAACCTTACTGAAGTTCAATTCTCTCATTTGATGTTGGGGTTCAAATGGAATACAAATCAGAACAAATCCATCATCTTGAAGCCAACAAAAGAAACTGTGTATTCTCCATTTTTTGAAGAGTCAACAAAAAGGCCATAGTAAAAGAAAAACAATGCAAGCATATATGAAGGAGGAACAATCAGGAAAGGTTATGGAGCCAAGGATAAGGAAATGCATTCAAGCAAAACATGCATGCAGAAGAAGAATTCTCAACCAGCAAATGCAAGAAAGCAGCAATAAACGACGTGAATGAAGAAAATTTTTGGAAATTCAGGAATGAAAGCACATATTAGTATAGTGACGATGAAAATTTCGGCGGCCAAATATTGTAATTTGAAGAAATTTCTCATTTTCCACTGCTTGATGAGGACGATCCACCGCCGCCACCGCTGCTGCTGGAGGAAGAACTGCCTGGTTTTGCAGCTGCCATTGGAAGCATGCCAAGTGCCAATAATCCCAAGATGGCCTATTTGTGTATACACAGAGTAATACATTTTTAAACAAATAAATTGCAGAGCACAGGAATCCTTCATAATGAATAGGATGAAATAAAATCTAAAAACATCACATAAAAGTAAAGAGAAAAATATGCATCATGGCTAAATATTGCAGAGACCTTTGAGGAAAGGATTTTTGTGAACAAGAACTCATTGGAATAAGATTTACGCTGACTCAATTTTTCTATAAAAATATTATATTATACCTTAAACTTCTATGAAGTATAAACATAGCCATATTTTCAGGAAAAACCAGCATCAATAACTTCTTGAAAGTAAATAAATGAAAACAAACTTGATTAAAATAATACTGTAAATCAATCAAAGATAAATATAAAATAGGTATCACTTACAACAACAGCAGAGAAAGTCCTCTTGAAGTTCATGGCTGTTTTTTTTTTTGGTAACTTCCAACAGAAAGCTTGAAACTGACTTAGATTTTGGAGTGATGTACTGTACTTGCTTCTGTAACACACTGAGCAGTTGTGATGCTGAACCAGAAGACTGGTCAGCGTTTAAATACCCAACGATTCGATCCTTCCTTTGTTTCCAGGTAGACAATTGACAAGAGCTTTTTTGTTTTGTTTTTTTTAGCAAGTTCAACGAACCCAGATCGAATGACACAAAGAAAATGCAACCGCATGCAGTGAAAACACCCGGCAGTGAAAAGTTTTAGCAGTTTTTGTTTTTTTAATGTGTTAGCCGACATGATGAGATACTGCAAAACACTTAGAATAAAGTTTTTCTGAAATGGGGATGTTTGTGAGACACAGCGTCGGCTGGCTCAAATTTCAATACTGTACATATAATTTTATCATGAGTCAGTGTAATTAAATAAAAATGAGGATTTTCTTGTGCTTGTAAGACATTTTTATAACTGCATTTTTTATGTACATGACATGGTTCATTAATAAAAAAACATTTATGCTGCAGTACACGAGATTTTGCATTCTAACATTTTCCATAAGGTCACAGCACAAAAACCATATAAATAAAGTTTGAAGATCTTTTTGAGACAAATTTTCAAGATTCATTGTAACAAAATAATATTTATATCTGCTGTTTCCCCAGCATATAGAATTTAGGATTTTTTTTTACTATTCAGTTTGCTTCTTGAATTTGATTAAAGGAGAAATTCTCAATAAATTTGTGCTGTGCAAAGAATGTTACAATGCAATAATGAAATAGGAAAAGGGATTTTCCGAATTTTATGAAACAATATTTCGCCTCAAATGTATATTCAGTGCTTATACATTTTTATTTTTATCATAAAAATCAGTCTCATGATCAATTTTTTGTCACTCAAAAAAAATGTTGAAGAAGTACGCAGTCAACATTTCATATACAGAGCAATTATTTCTTGGCGCAATAAATCAACCAAGCAGAGCCAATGCGAAAGCACAGTACCTAAAATTAGCACTCATGGCCCTGCAACCTTGATGACAAAATTCACACCTATTTTTCCTCAAAGCCAATTTCGAAACCAAGTCATTCATCAACCTTCCGCTTTAGAAGTCAAAAGACTGACATTTTTAGAAAGGTGAGCTGGAACTGATATGAATGCGATTTTCATGCAACACAATTTCAAAATTATGATTGCTAGAAAAATTTCATTCTTAACCCAACGCAATTAAAGTATAAAGCATTGTTTTTTTAATTTTTAAAGTTTTTTCAAGATAATTAACAGTAGTCCAAAGATGGAAAATGTTAACTTTGATGCAAAAGTTTAAATAAAAATATTACATTTTAAATTCAGGCTAATCATCATCATCATCATCCCAGTATTATTTTTCAGTACATGTGATAGTGTTAATCTCTCTAGGGAATGTAGAGTATTCCAGAAGGATCAAGAATGTGAGGCTATACCTGCTGAAACTATCTTCAATGTCTTGTAATTTCCACAAAAATTACAGTATATAGAGGCAGCAGTGATGATTGACCAATGGGCAATTTTTAGCAAATATTACATCCCATTAAAAAGTTTGTCTTTCATCAGAATAAATTAAATACTGAGAAAGGAAACATAGAGCAAGAAATGTTTCTCTAGTCCAAAACGAGTTCATTGTTAAAATATCATCCTCCATGCTTAGCAACAATCATTCTTCAAAGGTAGAAGGTTTCTGAAACATTTGTATATATGACTTTCTTCCAGCTAGTATTATACTGTACACATACTGTAGTTGAACCTCTCAGAGTCAAATTTCAAGGGACCAGCAAAAAAATTAAACTTAAGGAGGTTTTGATTTATATCCATGTTTGATTTATGGGATCAAGCATTTTTATTGTGGGAAACATGGGAGAATTTCACTAATTGAATTGGTTAATTGCACTATACATGGTGTTATTCTGGGTCTTGAATAGCTTCTAAAATGAGTTGACAACATGCTGAACTTGGAGACAGGGGTTCATTTGCCCAATTTAGTCTGTCAAATCCTTTCAAAGCACCTAAAATTCCATTTTATTGCTTTTTTCTTTCCTGTATCAAAAAGTAATAACAGCCAGAAGGCCTCAAAAAATTTGACTTACAGAGGCTTTAGAGGAAAAGCCATTGTGTGAGGGAGGTTTTTAATGCATTCTTTCGTCTGCATCCTTTAATGCAAGGGAATTCATATGGGGACATGAAATAATTTGATTTTAGGGAGGTATTTGACTTAGGGAGGTTTGACTTGGCAAAGTTCAACTATATTAAACTTTCCCAAACTCAGCTGATTTTTCACATGACCAAGCTGTGAATGTGATGTGAAAAAGAAACTCTTCTTATTGTTCTGAGATGATTTGTTGAAAATCAATGGTGGCAAAAGAAAAGTAAATTTCACCCACTTTTCCCCTGTTGAAGGATCAAGTGAGGGCAAAGCCCAAATGATCTTTGGGACAATTGAGCGCCATCCAACCAAGCGCCTGTGAAAGGAGCTGCTGGCATTTTTTTTACATATATAAAAAAATGTATAAAACTTTGTAGCAAAAACTGTATAAACTTTTTCGCAAAAAATGTATAAAACTTGTTAGCAAAAAATTTATAAAACCTTTTAGCAAAAATTGTATAAAAATTTTTAGCAAAATATGTATACAACTTTTTAGCAAAAAATGTTTATACATTTGTGTTTGCTCTCACAAATGGTCTAAATGGCATAAATTAGCCTGCATAATTTGCCCAAACTATTTGACCTTTCTTCCTTAGGACGAACATTTTAGAACAGTTGAATATTCACACATTTCCTACACCTACAAAAATTTTATAATTTTTTTCTGTGAGCAGTGAATATTGATACAGAAATTTCTCATTTCAAAAGTGCCAGTAAAAAATTTGAATTTTAAATTAATTATTTATTTTAAATAATTCTGGAATTATGTCTCATGGTATTTCTTTGTATGCTAAGGTATGTTATGTGAAAAAAAATTTTGTTGCAGGAATTTTACTCCAGAACTTCTAACAATTTGTATGAAAATTCCTGCCAAATCTCTTAGAACTGTCTAATATTCACAGATTTTCTGGACCAACAGAAATTAGCTGTATCATTTATGCAAGAAAGCAATCAGAAAATCATTTGAATTTCTTTTCTTGGGGGATGGGGGTTTTCTCTAATTCAGCTCAAAAACCATCAAGCAATATGTATCTGTCTCAAAATGTCTCAATTTCTCAAAATGTATTTGTCTCAATTGTCCCTGTCTCCAAAAGTTTCTGTCTC